GTGCCGGGTTTGCGACGGGCGAACGGGCGGACGGGGGGGGCCTTGGTTATGTGAGATCGCGCACCTCATCCCACACGCTTCTTTTTTCTCTTTTTGGAGCGGCTGGGGACAGGTCCGATAGGACGGCGGCCGGCGGATGGCACTCGGTGGGAGGGGCCGAGGGCCCGGGACTCTGGCGCAGGCTGCGAGTCCCTATCCCCCCTTGTTGTGTGTGTGTTGCGTTGCGTTACGTTGCGTCGCGCGTGTACAGCTAGGTACCCACGGGTGTCTTCCGTTTCACGAGAACACTCCTTGAAAAAGAACCGAAGGGGCGACCTGTGGTGCCCCAAACGTCCAACTGTCGTCGTCGCGCGCGCGCAAGACGAGGATCTTGGAGAGCATCGGCGCGTCCAAACGGCCAACGGCGGGCCAGGAACGCGCCTTGGGTGCTTCCGCGCGACTGCGCCAGGGTCCACGTTGAATTGAAAGGGTCTCTTTTCCTTTTCTCAGGGCGAAACGCAGCGATAATCCGGACCGGCTGCGAGCCCCCATGGATGGGAGCTCGAGCTCTCGCGCTAGCCGTCCGCTATTGCGTAACGGGCTGGGCCACCAGTATTTTGGGTTTGATGAGGGCGCCAGGCTAGTTGTGACGGAAAAGGGGACGATTTGCGGACAAGGGAAAAAGGGGAAGGGATTCAGGCACATGGTCTCCCACGCACACACGCACACGCACACACACCACCCTCAGGAACAGGAAAGGGGGCGGATCTGGCATGGTATGGTACGGTGTGGTGTGGTGATGGTGTGCAACGTGAGCTGTTGCTGCTGCTGCTGCTGTTGGGCTGCTTCGAGCCCTCGAGCTCTGCTGCGTGGCTGTGTGGCTGCGTGGCTGCTGCTGACTTGGGAAAACCAGTCGTCGACACGCTAATGCAGCGGCGGCGGCGGCGTCCCGGGAACCAGCGCGCTGGGACCTTCTTCTTTTCCCCCTTTCCTGCCGTGCCTGCCTTCGGGAGTGGCCCGCGGTGGGCCGGGGAGGCCAATGAGCATGTGAAACCGACCAATGAAAACCCGTGAGATCCGTTTTAGGCCGGGGGGGGTGACTGGACTGAGCTGAAGCAAGGCCTCCTCCGAAGGTGTGCCCGATGTGGCGGCAGCGCCTTCCTTACCTCAGCATACCGGGACACACCTTGCCTTCACCTCGCTCTCCTTCCCTCACCTTGGAAAGCCGAGTAGCAAGGGCTGCACTACTCTGTACCGTGCACTACTAATCGAGGCAACTACTGCATGTCTGTGTAAGGTGCTGACCTATTTCCGGTAGTTGAGACGCAGGGGGGAGGGGGCCTCTTTCCCGAACAAAGGCCTTGTTGTCGATCTCCTTTTGCTGGATCCCATAGTTCGACATGTCCATGTACTCTACCTCTGTACTCTGTACAACGGAAATCACCCTCTCTGTGGTTCATCGAGTCTGATTGGTGGATGATTCTTCTCGACTTCCCCCCTTGTTCTTTTCTCTTCTTTTTCTTCTTCCTCGCCTGTTTAGGCTGGTGGTGTGCGACGTTCGCTTGCCTGCGAGCGACGCTTTACCAGCGACGGCGAGGTGGACACACAAACAGCTGACGAGGCTGTTGTTGTTTGCGCTGCCCGCGAGTTTGTCGTTGGACCCGTTGCGCTGGTTGTCTGTTTGCTCTTTGTTGCTTGTTCAAAGGTGACGTGTGCGCAAACTCAACAACCAACAACCTACAGCAACCCGCCGTTTGTGACAAACACGCGCACACTGTGTCATGTATCGACCAACAGACTGGCAGGTTCATCTTGTCCCTGGCCCATCCTATTGGCTGTATGCAGGGCGCAAGATAGAGTCGCAGCTGGGCGCCCACACACACTCTTTCTTCTCTCTCTCTGTCTTCCTCTTTCTCTCACTCCCGCATACGCGATAAACCTCTTCCGGAAACTTGGGAACTCTTGGTGGCCAGTGTACCTTGCGCCGCGCCTCTCCCTCGCATCACACCCCCCCTTTCCCCGGGTTATCATGGTTGGGGATATATGCGCCTCATCCCTTCCGGGTGCGCGTTCCGGCGCGCCAAATATGACATTTGCATCCTCGTGTAACGGCACCGCCAGCAGCGATAGCATAAAGAGATAAAAAAGCAAACGCGCCGTCGCCGTCACCCATGTCCTCCATCCGTGGGCGAGATCCCAAGGCCCACAGCGTCGCAAACTCTTCCTCAAGCATCCCGTCTCGGCCGTGTCTGCGCAGCGGCCAAGAGAGGGGCGTCAAGGACGGACTCTGCATGACGTTGCATAGCAAAAGACGTTTGCCTCAGACACACCTCAGCTCACCGAGACCCTCTCGACACTGCGCCGCGGATCGCACCGCCGGGGGCGTCGCGGACACAGCCCAGTGGCATTGAGATCCTTCTTGTCGTTCCAAAGTAGGACCTGAAGCGGCGGCTGTGGCCTCCCCTACCCGGGAGCCTCAATGTGGTGACTCTGGCTCGCTTGGGTTTTGACGTGTCGCGCACGCAACGTTCCCCGTCTGGCTTTTGGGGGCGCGAGTGGTGCTCCCGGGGAATGCGACGTCTCAACCAAATGGTCGGGTTCTCCGTCTCTCGCCAGTCTCACCTGAGGGAGACGAGAAGACGGGACTGGCCCCCACCCAACAAACCCTCCGCCCCTTTTGTTCAGTAGGTACACTAGGTACTGAGAGGCGAACGAGGCAACAAGGTCGACGACACTGAGCGGATGGGATATTTTGACAGGCGGAGATCATCCATCCCACGTTTCATCCCATCTTTCACCACCACCCCTTTCGGTCCCTGTTTGCCCTGGGCCGTCCGGTACGTACACTACTGAACAGACTAGGTGCGACATACCTGTCGTCCACCAACGCTTTTACCCAAACGCATGGCAATACATAAGCTACTATTACTATTACAACACCCCGGCCTCGGTCGTCCCCAACCTCCAGAAAATCCCTACCCGGTGGCCCTTGCCTCCTTCTCGAAGGCCCCTACACTACTATGTATGACGGGGGAGATGGAATGATGAGGGTCCAGCAATTCGGTGAGAGTGAGGGAGAAACTTTGCGTCCCCCTTGGCCCTGGCCCGGGGAAAGCAAAAGCCCTCGAGCGACGTGGCCAAGACAGAAGATCCCCAGGGGAGGCCGGGACAGCTGGCCGGGTTCTGCATATCTCAAACCGCCAAATTTCCCGGGGCTGTGGTTTTGGAAAATTTCCTCTATCCGCTTCTTTTGCCTCCCTCTCGGTTTCCCAGGTTCAAGAGCAAGGCCGGGGCCAGCACCCCATGACGTATCCGCAAAAGGCCCTGGCCGTTGACCCAAGTCTCTCCTGGTCTCTTTGGCTGTCTGCCCGTCTGTCCTCCTCTCCACCCGCCATGCGGCCACTGCAACCGGGGCAAGGGTTCCGGGTCTCCGGGGCCTGATGGGTCCCGAAGCAGAAGAAAGGGAAAGGATGAAGAAGAAAAAAGTAGGTAGGCCGCAAAAAGTCCCCAGGCCGGGTCCCTCTTTTCCCACTCGACACACGCCTGCGACCCCCATCATCGGGTCCCCGGTCAACGTCATCCAGTGGGAAACATTGCCGTCTCAAACGACTCCGTTCCCCACCGGCTGCCATCATGGTCCACGGTGACTTGGACGAACACAACACGAGCCACACACCCCTCCCCCCTTGTCATGCCACCCCGGCTGAAGCACGTTGTGGATCTCGTTTCTGTATTTCTTAATTTTACCACGTTATTTCGAATTTTGGATCTTCCTTCTAGCGCGCTCCTCTTTTTCCTTCTTCACCTTCTTCCAGTGGGGCTCCAACCATGTCTGGGCAAAATTACCCGTCCACGGTCCAGCGGTCTAGCGGTCCAGCGGTCCAACGCGGTGACGGCACGCCCCTTGACCGAGACTCTCTCCCCCTGCACCGACCGAGAGGAAGACGATCAAATTTCAAAACCGTTGGGTGTCCCCTTGCTCTTCTAGTACGCTACGGCCCCTCCCTCCGGCGCCGAGGGGCTAACTGCCGCTGTGAGAAGGCGGCTCTTGCGTCCCCCTTTCCCCGGTGACATGGGACTCCAGGAAGCGAAAACACAGAGAAACAACCACCCTGGGATGTTGACTCACCGGCTCACCGGGGGACGGCGGCATGGGGATTTCTGCGAAATTGGGCTTCCTTTCGGTCTAGCAACTGCCGTGACCCTCAAGTGGCCCGGTCTGGCCCGGCCTGCAAAAGGTTGATTGCTTTGCCGGGACCGCCCACCAGACTGAACCCAGTAGCTCGACCACCCAGGGACACGTCGTTGTCTCGGTGAGGCCTCACCGGCGTGGATCCCTCTCATCTTCCTCCCTGCTTGCATGGGCCTGTGGAGGTACGACCTGTATGTACATAGTATGCACTACTAACATGGGCCAGGAACTCTACATAGGCCGTTGTACTTCATCATTTCAAGCGCCCCCTCCCCCCCCCCCCCATCTATGGAACATTGCGGCTCCCCTTCTAGAATATCCGCAGACGCCCCGAGTCGCCGGGACGCTCTACCCTATCCACACCCTGGCGGCATTCCCATCTCGAGCCTCAAGGACCTGCACTGCGGTGTTACCGACCGCCAGGCTCGGCGCCATACCCGTGCTCTCTCCCGCCCTCCCCGGCGAGGCTTACTAGCATGGACATTATGAGAACCAGCCCCTTCATGCAGTGTACCTGCTGAAGGTACATGGCTACGGTACCGGCCCCCGGGCCCGGCCCTGCCTGCCGGGATTGTGACAGCTCACATGTTCCAGGGGTCCTCAGATTTCGGGGTACACGTCGCTGCGCAGTCATCAGCTAAACCATCCCGCTGGTACACAATGGGGACGACGCCCAGGCGACGGGGGCAAAGACGGAAGGCGGCGGGAGACGAGACGACACCCAGGGGGGGGCGTGTTGCTCACAGGAGGGGAGTCGTGAGGCTCAAGGGGGTGAGGGCGAAGGCGGTGAAAGAAGAAACTGTGTGGAGTGGAAGAAGAAGAAGAAGACTTACGTCCGTCTGGCCAGCGGCATGCCCTCCCTCACCCTCGCCCACTCGTCTAGGTCCACATCCACGAAGCCAACGGCCCCCTCGGCGCCCTCCTCGGCCCTGCCCTCGGCGTCCACGCCACCAAGCTCGAGCTTCACCCGGCCCCAGGGGTCGATGACCATGCTGTGCCCGTAGCTGCTCCGCTTCGGGTTGTGCGCGCCCACCTGCGCCGCGGCGACGACCCAGCTCTGCGTCTCGATGGCGCGGGCCCGCAGGAGCGTCTCCCAGTGCGCCTGACCCGTCCTGATGGTGAAGGCGGAGGGGTACAGCAGGACCTGGGCGGGGCCGACGGCGGGATCGACGAAGGGGCTTTTCGGCCCCGGGTGCGTCAGCGCGAGAGCCGGCTCGGCGAAGCGGAGGTCGAAGCAGATGAGGCTCCCGGCGCGGCCTACGGGGGTGGGGAAGGGCGGTGTCAGAGAGGGGCCGGCCTGGACGGTCGCGCTCTCGCGGAGGGAGCCGTAGTCGAAGAGGTGGAGCTTGTCGTAGGTCGCGGCCTGGTTGATGGTGCCGTCGGCGTTGATCCAGAGGCTGCGGTTGAGGAGTTTGGAGGCTGCTGCCGAGGCGTCCGTGGTGGCGGCCGGGACGGCCACGGGGACGGGGACGTGGATGCCGACGCTGACGGCGACGGAGTGGGCCTTTGCTGCCTCCTGCAGGCCGAGCACGAACGGGGACTTGGACTGCGGCTGGGCGAGAGAGAGGGATTCTTGGGGGCTGGAGGCGATATAGTCCGAGGCCTCGGGGAGGAAGAGGACCTGAGATGGGTGTTAGTGCCGAGTGGCCCTGGGTTTTGCAACGTCTTGCGGCTCGGGGGTTTCTCGTGTTATACGGCAAGCCACGCTCTTGTCGGAGTGAGAGACGTGAGGGACAAAGAGGGGAGCAAGCCTACTTTTGCGCCACCTACGGCCGCCTTAGCAACCAGTCTCACGCATTGCTCGAGGTTATGCGACAGGGATGCCGTCGAGCAGATCTGGCCGACAGCCTATCACGGTAAGAATGTCAGTGAACCGCGGCGGCCACGTGGTTGAAGGTTTTGGGGGTGGTCGTACCGCAATCGCCATGGTGGAAGATGAGACGAGTTGATGAGAGCGATCCGGGATGTCCTGGGACGAGAATATCCGGGAACTGGGGAGGTGATGATTGGGGTGAGCAATCCCTGATGGTTTGGGTTGTCCACGTGGCGGAAGCGGCTCGGGTCGTCTACAGGCTGAGCTTGTGCAACGGTGAGTGGTGACGATCCTTCATGCGGCGTGAACGTTGTGGTTGGGTGCCGGAAGTAAGTGCAAAGCATCATCGCCGCCCATCGGCATTGCTTCTTGGGCGGCGGCCCCCTCCTCCATCTTATCGCTTATCTCATGGTGGGTTACAGCGGGGTAAAGAGCTGGCGCAATCCCGAGGCCGCACCCCGTCATCGGGGGGTCAATGACATGAGATGAACGAAGCTCGATTTCCACCCGCAGGGTCAGGATTTCATGTCTGTTATCTCCCCGGGAGGCTCTTCGTACCGTCGTGGTTTCAGTGAAACCATATAATATTACAGCAACGCCGTAGGGCCAGGGAGGGCGGGCGAGATGCGCGCCTCAGTACCACTCGTCACCTCCGTAGCTCCCGTCCAGCTTCCCCTCCCCCTCCAACCTCGCCAGCGCCTCCTTCACCCTCACAACCATGGCCTGGCCGTACTCCGGCCCGATCGGCGGCGCCGGCTTGCTCGAGTCCTGCCTCAGCCAGGGGACCGTCCTCACGTCCGCGGACTGCGCCCGCGCGTGGGCGACTGCCGTCTGGAGGACCGCGGTCGCGGCCTCGTCGAACGCGCCGCCGAGGACCACGACGCGCGGGGCGGCGGCGTAGTTGCCGCTGCCGATCGTGCTGGTCTCCGGATGTGAAGGCGGGGGTTGGGCAGCGAGGAGGGCGGGGAGGATCACGGCGCCCGAGGCAGGCGATGTGATGAAGTGGATGACTTTGGGGGCGTGTTAGTCGCCGGACTGTGCGTATATAATCATGGAGATGTCCTGACCCATACGGAGAGGGGTAGAGAGAGAGGAAGGTCATAGGGTGAATGAAGGGTGTCCCGCGGCTTACCTTCGTATTCCGGCTTCAGACCCGCGATGACGCCACGGCCGATCCGCTCCGCCTTGCCGCAGAGCGCGATGGGTATCGCGGGCGGCGATGACTCGTGAGGCTCATCGTTCGTCTTGGGTTTGCTGTTGAGCATCTCGCGGAGGGTTTGTGCTTCTTGGTTTTGGGCTTGGGCGTCTTGCTTTATGGCGTCTTGGGTCGCCTCGTGAGACCAGAGCTGCATGTTTATCGTGGGGCTCTCTATTCCGAGGTCTTTGGCAGAAGTCTAATTGGGGCTTGTAGCATTTTCTGAACACCGAGTGGTTGCGTTTCACAGGAGCTCGAGTGAGCCCTAACCCAGACTTTGTTTGTCTCACGTCAGGTTCGGGAGGCTCGGCTGTCTGGCAATCTCGTCGATTCGTCGAGCCCAATCCGGGCTAGCCAGACCAACGTCATTCTGCAGACGATAGTGAAGACTACCTACACAGGCGGAAAAGCGTCATTTGCACCTCGTTCGACACTCTTATCACTGTGCCAAATCAACGAAGCCGGACGAAACATCTCATAAGTGTCATTAATATACTGCGGAGGGAGACTTTTCCCCCAGGGCCGCTTCATGTCTTATGTACTCCATATCTGTTCACTTCATCCCCGGATTACTTGCTCCTGCCCGGTATTATTAAGGGCTTCTAGAATTATGTAACGGTATGTTCAGGGGCAAAGGAACTAGTTGCCCAGGCCGTTCTGGGCGAGGAAGTCTTGGATCTTGCTGGTCACTTCGACATGGGAGTAGCTCTGGGGGGTTGTCTGTCAGCGCTGAAACATGGTAACAGGAATGAGTTTGGCTCACGAGAGTTAGGCCGTGGCCGGCATCGGTGACGACGTAGGACTCAAACGGGCTTGCGTTCTTGAGGATCTGGGCAGCTCCCGCCAGGATCGACGGCAGCTGGGGGTCGCCGGTCGCAAGGCAGTTACCTCCGCAAAAGGGCAGGTCCTTTTCTGCAGGGAGAGCTATGGTCAGTCATGGCTTACACACGAGGAGAGGGTTCCACATGTTCTCGACTTACCACCAGTGATGACGAGGACGGGCTTCGCAAAAGTGCTGGGCGACCCCGCCTCTCCTCCAATGGTCAACAGCTCGCCGACGGTCACGGGCTGGCGGCTCTGGTACGCCGCCTTCAAGATGGCGGGGTCAAAATTGTCCTCGGCGAAGAAGCAGATCTGTACGCCACCCTCGTAGGAAGACGCCATGTACCCGGGAGGGTAGTGGCTCAGCGAGGGGGCGTTGTTGGCCTCGACGAACGCGCCGCCCAGGAAAAAGTATGGCAGGAAGGTCGAGTTCGCCGCGAAGCCCGTCAGGATGACACCGTCCGAGATGTCCGGGTACATGGCCGTCAGCGCGTACGAGTGCACCGACCCGAACGAGTGGCCGACGTGGACGAACTTCTCAAACGTGCAGCCCACCCCCGGGACGGTGCCAGCGCGGAGCTTGTCCGTCAGCGCCTTGAGGGCGGCAAGCTCGAGCCAGCCCTGGATCTCGTTGACGGGCTCGCCATGCGAGGACTCGGCGATGCCGAGGCGGTCCCAGGAGAAGGTCGAGTAGCCGTAGTCGTCGACGGCGGGGCCTACGTAGCTGTAGTTGTAGCCGTGGGCGGGGAAGTCCCAGTAGCTGCGGTCAAAGGCGATGCCGTGGGTGAGAATCTGAAGGACGCGGCCGGGGCCGGAGTCCGGGTGACAGTACGTCGACGCCAGTTGGTAGGTGCCTCCAACGTTGGCATACTATAGGAGGTGAGTGTTGGTCTTGGCAATACCTCTGCAATCAAGGCACGGGGTTTTTTCTTACATCCACGAAGTACTCTGCAGAAAAGTTTCTTCCTTGTTCTGACATACCAATCAGGAAGTTTGAGACGTCGATGTTGGTCTCGGGGGTTGTGAGGTTGAAGACGCCGTTCCTCGCTGTGATGGAGACCTCGACGGTGAGGTCCCGGCAAACTCGCGCCGCCGCAAGGGCAGCGAAAGCCAGCGGGAGTGTGGATGAGATTAGGTTCACCATTATGCAGTCTTGCTCGGACTGTTATTTGATCTTCGGTTGTATGTACAACAGGAGAGGCGTATGAACACGCGAGGTCGGTTATGTTGCTGGAGTTGTCTCTAACACCTAGCCAAGGGGAGACGATTGACCTGGATACTTATATGTCAATCAAATCGATAGTGCGCACATCTCAATGTCTCGTATTGAAGGCCACGATGACACAACCCAGAAACCATCATTTGGCCACACGGAAGACCAGCCAGATACCCATCACCACCACCCACTTATGCGGGCGTGATGTCAGCATGTAATTGGAATTCCCAATGGGCTTACTAGTGACCCCTAGAAAAGGTGGCGCCCAGAGCAAGCAGCGTGACCGATAGGCAAAGCCAGCCGAAGCGAGCCCAGAGCTACCGACATCCTCTTGGTCCTTCTACCCCTGTATCCATCTGGCGGGCTAGGGATGGTGCGGAATGAACTTCAACTTTCTCGACATTGTTCGTAGTGACAACCCGAAGCTTCTGCGTGCTTGTTTGCGCAAATGACTCCATTCCTCAGAGCGTAGCGCGATACGGAGTCGAGTCCGTCTTGGCGACAGACCACAAGCATGGTCCAAGGGTGGAAATGCCATTCGACGAGAATCAGATCGAAATGTTCAATCGCCGAGGCACCGGCGCAACCAAGATTGCCGCAGATTCCAATGGAGCTGGAGCTGTGCCAACGGTTGACGCAGAAGACGACTAGCAACGAGGAGACTAGCGAGGCCCGCCCTGTCTAGCGGCGGCCACCAACCAAGCGCCGTTGCTGTCGAGACATTACGATCCCCACGATTCTTGTCTCCCGCGCTCCACATAGCTTACATCAATGTCGACTGTGCAACGGGTCCAATGGTTTACCGTTGCGGAAGGCTCAGTCATCCCTTCCCAGGTTGTCCGGAGGAACTCCGCCGTGAAACAGTGAAGTCTATGCAGCCACCGGCCATCCCAAGAGCCTCGTGGGCTAGTGTGGTGCTCCGACCTACCAAGGTATCTCATGAGCGAAAAACTGGATTCATGGTGGTCATTCTCACACCCAGCTAAACCTGCAGTCGCTGTCAGCACGGAAACCACGGAAGTCGGGACGATGCACGCTGTTACAAATACTGACCGAGCCGATCTAGCAAACATTGGCCCTTCGATGGCTCAAAGCGGCAAAGACTTGCGCAAAGTAGACGTCCCCGGTGGGTTGAAAAGATAAAGCTCGAAAGATGATCACCATCCATTGTCCAGACGTCACGGCATTGAGGAACTCCACAAGCCCGCAAGATCATTTCCTGCCAACTCGCATTCCTGACAAATCATAAAGCACCCATGATTTCGAGCGACCCAACGGACAGCCCGGGCGCAGATCTGCAGCCGAGCTCGCCGGTTGCAGACGTCTTGTCAAATAAGAGTTGGCGGGTGACAATATGTGAGAGAACAACGAAAGGCGCCGTGATGGCTGCTTACTCAAGTCCACTACAAATCCCAGCTGTTCCCGAATGCCGCATCACCGAGTTCTGCGACTTGCCATGTAGGGATTGTGGACGGGCTGATGGCAGGTAACGCTTGGTCAATTGACAAACTTCAGTAATTTCTTGTTTTTGAGATCAGACCCTAACTGAAGCTCTCGCTGTCTGCCTCCCAGGCGCTTTAATGGTAAGAGGCCGTCCCCTTTCCATGATCTGAAGGCCCGATCTGTGTCTCTGCGTCCTCGTGGCCCCAGCTGGTTGGCACCGCTTTTATCCCCCCTCTGTGAGAGCTACTATGCAGCCGACCGTCCCTCTTGACCATGCTGTCTGCATAACGCCATGCTAAAATGATAAAAATACAACACGGAGGTCGAGACACTCCTATGAATCCGATATGTCTCATGGGCATTTACCCAACGCAGATTGTTGATCGCGTCGAATTCCACCCTGTTCCTACTTGGGGTCCGACGTGTCCAGCTTGTCGTATGCCGCCTGCATCGCCCGCAATTCAATCTCGTCACCCTCCAGGGCCGCCACCCAGTCTCGCAGTTGGATGTTCTTGCCCTTTTCCTTGTCTTCACGCCAGTTGCCGAGCCGAGCTCGCCCCTCAACTGTCAGAGCGTGGTTCGCCGGTGGTGGGGGACCCGAAGCGGCTGCGCCGCCTGGCTTCCCGGGCGTGCCCATTCTTGGCGTGCTTGCACCGCTAGCACCGCCCGTCATCCACGAGTATGATTTGCCGCCTTTCTTCTTTCCAAAAAGTGACCCCGTCTTGGGCATGCCAACGAACATGCTACTTGTGATATTCTGGTTCGCGTGGCTGCTAGCCTCTGCCTTCTTGACAGCATCGAGTTTCTTCTGCTCCTTCTTCGAGATGGACTTCTCCGAATCTGGGGCCGAACCACCGGGGGTGCCAGGCGCAACCGAGCCGGCGCGGGATGGCGTTGATACGGCTTCGGTGGTCCCGTCTTTGCGAGCATTGCGCTTCCGCAACCGTCTCTCTTCCCAGTCTCGCTCAGCCTTGCCCACTTCTCTAACCGTGTGGCTCATAGTGTTCGTGGCAGAGACTTTTTGCACCTTGCTGGGTTGGCTGGAGGTAGCATCTTCAAGAGGGCCTGTACGAGAGTCAGCTTAGTGAAATCACATGAGTACAGCGTGTACCGACGTTTCTGAGCGCTTGGGCGGGGACTGGCGCCGTCTTCAGTCGCCGTTTGCTGCGTCGCGTCCTCTCCCTGGGTCTCCAGGGAATTTTTCAGCGGTGCTGCAGCTGTCTGCCACTCCTCGGGAATCTCTCCATGTGACGATGTCTGCCGAATCTGAGCAATCCGATTCGAGTCCTCCATGAGGGTCCTGAGTCGCTGTTTGGTGGCGAGGGAAAGCAGAGCCAACTGGTCAACCAAGAAAGCCTCCTGAGGGATCCATGTTCCCGAAGTCGTCACCACGGTAGAGTCGGGTCCGTTCTTGGTGCTGACTGTCACGCTGGGCGCCGGGAACTCCTCAGGTAGACGCATCCGACCCATCGGCTGGTTGCTGTTCTTGATCTCCAGGTTGAGCGACAGACCCTGGTCCTTGGCAAACTTCTCCGCCTTCCGGAACACAACAGGAACTTGCAGGAACGCGTTGTTAAGCTCCATAGTCCTAGTCTGAGCCAAACGCTTCGCGGACTCCTGCCATGCTTTCTCCGCCGCCTGTGCCACCAGTTGATTCTGAGCGTCGGTGCCAGCCGGCTGAGCAGGCTGATTCGCTGGACCAGCGCCATAGAAGCTTCCCTTATTGCCGGGGGGATAAGGAGGGTAACCAGTTCTAGATTCAGGCACATAGAGTTCGGATAAGAACTGCTCTTCGGCGCGCAAGTCGATGCCAGTTCCAGCCAACGAATCCGTCACGTCGTATTCGTACTCCTTCTGCGGTCGGTCGGGAGGTCTCGAGGGCGGGCCCATAGTTCCGGGGGTTGACGGTTGCTGCATGACAGGCGTGCCTGGCGTATTGGTACCAAGTGCCAAAGTCGCGGTGGTGTATTGCGGAAGGGTAGGGGGCGCCGGCGGTTGAGGGGTAGACACTTGCGGAGTTGTCGGTCGCGTATCCGGTAAGGCAAGAGCTGGTGTAGTGGTGCCGTTGGCGTATGGTGTCGCATAACCTGGTGTCGCAGGTTGTTGGGGTTGCTGCGACGGCTGCTGCTGCTGTTGGTGCTGTTGCTGTTGCGCCGCGCTGGGGTAGATGGGAGACCCGGCAGACGTCGCAGCTGTGGAAGGCGTCACGGGAGCGCCCGGACTTGCCGCGTAAGGTGAAGTAGAGTAAGGGGATTCAGGTTGCGGGGTTGCGCCAGGAGATAGTCGCGGTCGTTTATTAGGAGGAAGCGCAAAACCGGCTTGCGTCGCGGCGGGAGAGGGGGAAGGCTGAGGAGGCGAAAACGCCCTCTGCGGCATCTGAGGCTGCGGTTGCGCCATGTTTGCTGCGGTTATTACAGTACGTCGAGAGATAGTTTACAGTCGATCGAAATAAGAGGTTGGCCAGAAGCCGCTCCGATGAAGCTCAGCAGGCCGAACAGCCTGAGCAATCCTCACGCGACTCTGCCCATCTGCCGTGTGCGTGGTATCGCCCGGACGATGAATTCTCGAGGTGGCGTCAGGTTCGCTGGAATTTCGCTGCAGCTGGAGCTCAGTATTCGCGCGGTCGTGATGCTCTGAATGGTTGATCGTTGGCTGATATCGAGCGTGACGGAGTGGTAGGTATGTGGAAGAAGGAGGTGTCGCCAGATGGAACTCAGAACCGCGTAAATTTAAAGTCACGTGATGGTTCAGCCTCCTCTCGCATTTGGCGCAACGTGGTCCGAGCGTCTAGGCTGAAGGTCCAATTGAACCAGAGCTGCAGCCAGCTTTTACGCGACTCCTTCGGCACCTGCGCGTCACTCCAGTGTCCTCGTCTTTGTGTTGCTCCACATCCCTATTCCTCTGCTCTTCGTTTAGGGAGGACCGTTTCCATCGACGACACATCGCGCAAAGGGACTGACCTGTTGCAGATGAGCTAACTGCCTAGGCAACAGTCACCATCCGGTGCAGCAATCGTAAACTGTAGCTCGTCTTGCTGTCTGCGACAAGCGCACTTACAATCATGGCGGCGAAGAGAAAGGCCTCGGCCATGGCGGCCACAGTCTCGGACGAACCGGTTGACCCTGCGGACGAGCTGATGTTTCTTTGCCTAGGAGGTGGAAACGAAGTCGGCAGATCATGTCATATCATCCAATACAAAGGAAAGACGGTCATGGTACGAACACTCTACCCTTGCCAGACAACCAGATACTAATGTTCTCCCCATAGCTCGATGCTGGTCAACACCCGGCTTACGAAGGTCTTGCGGGGCTTCCTTTCTTCGACGACTTCGATCTTAGCACCGTCGACGTACTCCTGATCAGCCAGTAAGCTCCCCTTCCCTCCCATATGCTGTTGGATCACAGGGCAAGGCGGTGAACGACTTGGAAAACAATATACGGGATCATGCCCCTGGCTCGGGACGGCGCCTTTTGGCGACCCTGGTACCCTGATGGAGCCTCTTGCTACGACTCTTATGCTATTTCATTCGTGTACACAGAAACAATACAAAACTTCTTTCCCCACCTGCCTTGCCTTGCCGTCCTCGTCATCGTGATAGCTCTCGGCGTCGTCCCAGAGCGTCGGTGTAGATACTTTGCGCTGGTCCAGGTTGCTAATGGGACGATAGTTTTCACGTCGACCACGCGGCTTCATTACCATATGTCTTGTCCAAGACCAACTTCAGAGGACGGGTCTTCATGACCCATCCCACCAAAGCTATTTACAAATGGCTCATTCAAGACAGTGTTCGTGTTGGAAACACTTCGTCCAACCCGACGTCTCAACCAGTCTACACAGAAGCAGACCACCTGAATACATTTCCTCAAATTGAGGCTATCGACTACCACACGACACACACCATCTCCTCCATCCGCATCACACCCTATCCCGCCGGCCATGTTCTCGGAGCCGCCATGTTTCTCATTGAGATCGCCGGTCTTAAGATCTTCTTCACCGGAGACTACTCTCGTGAGCAGGACAGACATCTGGTTTCCGCCGAAGTTCCCAAGGGCGTCAAGATCGACGTTCTCATCACCGAGTCAACCTACGGCATTGCCTCACATGTGCCCCGACTCGAGCGAGAACAGGCTCTGATGAAGTCCATCACCAGCATCCTTAACCGTGGCGGCAGGGTCCTAATGCCCGTCTTCGCTCTCGGAAGAGCCCAGGAGTTGCTCCTGATCTTGGATGAGTATTGGGGCAAGCACGCCGAGTTCCAAAAGTTCCCCATTTACTATGCCAGTAACCTCGCCCGCAAGTGTATGGTCGTCTATCAAACTTACGTCGGCGCTATGAATGACAACATCAAGCGCCTCTTCCGCGAGCGCATGGCCGAGGCCGAGGCTTCGGGCGACGGCTCCGGCAAGGGTGGCCCCTGGGACTTCAAGTACATCCGCTCCCTCAAAAACCTCGATCGCTTCGACGACGTTGGCGGCTGCGTCATGCTGGCCAGCCCTGGTATGTTGCAGAACGGCGTCAGCCGTGAGCTGCTTGAGCGCTGGGCCCCCAACGACAAGAACGGCGTCATTATCACCGGTTACAGTGTCGAGGGCACCATGGCAAAACAGATCATGCAGGAGCCTGACCAGATCCAGGCCGTCATGAGCCGCACGACGGCCGGCGCCCGGCGCGGGCCCGGCGGCGAGAGCGAGAAGGTCTTCATCCCGCGTCGGTGCAGCGTCGCCGAGTACTCCTTTGCCGCCCACGTCGACGGCACGGAGAACCGCGAATTCATCGAGGAAGTCGCGGCACCCGTGGTGGTAGGCATACCCATTCTTGGGTTCAACAAGTGGAGGCAGCAATCGACTAACACCTTTGTAGATCCTCGTCCACGGCGAACAGCACAACATGATGCGTCTCAAATCCAAGCTCCTCTCTCTCAATGCTGGCAAGACCCAAAAGGTCAAGGTTTTCAGCCCCAAAAACTGCGAGGAGCTCCGCATCCCCTTCAAGCAGGACAAGACGGCCAAGGTCGTCGGCAAGCTTGCTACCATCCCTCCCCCGACCTCCCTGTCTTCGCCTACGCAGCAACAGCAACTCGTCACAGGTGTCCTCGTCCAGAACGACTTCAAACTCTCCCTCATGGCCCCCGAGGACCTGCGCGAGTACGCCGGCCTCAACACCACGACAATCACCTGCAAGCAGCGCCTCCGCCTCACGGCCGCCGGCGTCGATCTCGTCCGCTGGGGTCTCGAGGGCGTGTTTGGCAGCGTCGAGGAGCTCCCCGAGATGCGCAAGGCCCCGGGTGGAAAGGACGGCACGGTCGCCAACGGCAACGGGACCAAGACTGAGGACGGTGAGGACCAGGAGATGCAGGATGAGCATCAGCAGCAGGAAGATGCCGACGAGGAGGTCGCCCATCCAGTGGCGGCGTACCTTGTCATGGGCTGCGTCGCCGTGCGGTACCGCAGCGACGGCGAGGTCGAGCTGGAGTGGGAAGGCAACATGCTCAACGACGGCATCGCCGACGCCGTCATGGCCTGCCTCTTTTCCATCGAGAGCAGTCCCGCAGCCGTCAAACGTACGTCCCTCTCCCCCTTTCGCGGGTTTCCTATTCCCACTCTTCTAAGCAAACAACTAACACCTCACAGGCTCCGCAAGCTCCCACACCCACGACCACTCCCCTCCCCCGCTCCCCAAGAACCCCCATGCAAACGTCTCGGCCCCGGAGCGCCTCGAGCGCTTCCTCATGTTCCTGGAGGCCCAGTTTGGCGCCGACAATGTCAACCCTGTCGCCGAGCCGCGCCTCCCGTCGCAGGGCGAGGGAGGTGCTGCCGAAGACGGCACGGCCATTAAGGCGATCAAGGCCGACGGCGACGACGCCTCCATGGATGTCTCGGAAGACGACACTCAGCAGGAAAAGAAGTTGGCCGCGCGTCGCCAGGCCGAGATTGAGCGCCTGCACAAGATTGGCATCCCTGTGCCCGGCATCCGCATCAAGGTCGACAAGATGGAGGCCGTTGTTTGGTTGGAGGATCTGGAGGTCGAGTGCAGCCACAAGGCATTCGCTGACCGCGTTAGACGCGTATGCGAGCATGCTGCTGAGGTGACGGCTCCGCTTTGGGGATAAAACCAAGATCTCAGTGGTTGGATGTGTGGTTTCTTTGCAGCGTTTGATGTTGGCGTGTAGGTAGAGTAGTCACATTCATAGTCCTCAATCACAAAAATCTACGGTGGCCTGCAGAGTTTATAGGCTGAATGCTCTACCGCATTGAGCTATGTTACAGAGGGACTAAGGTTACAATGAGAAACAAGATGCAATACATCGCACTGTAGAGACCCAGAAAGGTGAGGAGTTATCAACCCAGATACTCCTTCAGCTCATCGGACTCTTCTAACGTAGTACTGAAGGAAAAGGGGGCGAATGCCCAACCAGCAAACTCTGCGAACTTGGAGAAGGACTCGACCCAGGCCAGTCTGAGAGAGTGCAACATGGCACTGGTACCCTCCATCATGACCAAGATGGCAATGGCTAAGTAGGCCGTTAGCGAATACGACCAGGAGACAGGATTGCAGCAGCAACTTACTAAGGAAGAACCACATGTAGAAGATGACAACAATCGCAATGGCACCAAAGATGCCGTTGAACTTGAGCGCAGGGCCGAGAGTCATGGACCAAAGCACAGCACTGAGCTGCTGGTGGGCAAGCGACAGGGCCCAAAGACGGAGGTACGAAGCCGTGTGAGAAACGCAGTTCAAGCAGAATTCTACGTGTAGTGTTAGTGTGTTACTTCAGGCTGAAGGGTAGCAAGGCTCTTACCGATGGTGTGAATGATTTGATGGATCATGACTTCGCTGAACTCGAACTCCTCGTGTTCCTCGTCGCCGTGTAGGTCTTGCGTGATCATAGCAACGCCCTCACCATCAGACTCAAAGCTGGGGCGGCCGTTGAGGCCCTGTTCTTCCTCGTCGTCGCCATCGAGAGCACTAACGCGAGAGCTCTCTCCAATGCCCCTATAGCCCTTGGCGCGAGCGTGGTTGTGCTCCCAGCGGAGGTAGAACGGCTTCAGGAACAATAGAACCGGGACTTGAATAACAGCGAGAAGCAAGAGGAAAACCTGGACACCGGCCTGTCCAGGATAAAGTTCCGCGCCCTCCTCAAGAGTACCAGGCTGCAAAAACATGTAAATCAACATGTTCAGCAATCCAGGCGGGTTGCGGGGGTTCTGCGGGTCGTTCCAGTTGACAGACCACTTGTAGAGGATGCACATGACTAAGTAGCCAAAGATGGACTGGAAGAAGATCATGCCAGGGACAAAATTACCCCAGATGTCGATCGGCTTCTTGAAATGCTTGGCGTTGACGTAGGCGAAGATGAGAGAGTAGGTCATATGGGCCCAACCCAGAACGATACTCATCTTCATCTTGTAACTGTTGCTGAAGAGGAGGTCGTTGTCTGTGTCGTGCCATCTCCAGTCCAGACCGAACGGGTATCGGTAGCCATGATCGTTGAGTTTACCCGTAAGAGTCTGTCCAGTCTTGTAACCCTCGGGAACCTCCCACTTCCAGGCACTGTCGAAGAGCGTCAAGGACTTGGAGAAGACATCGTTGTAGATGAGACCGGTGAAAAGCGAGAAGAGACCCATAACCAGGGCAATATATCTTCCGTAGTAAAGCATGGCAAACAACTCGAAAGTGACCTTCTTGAGAGGCTTTTCCCAGTAGATCATAGCCAGCGCGGCAGACACCATGATGACGGCGTGTCCAAAGTCACCGAACATGACGGCGAAGAGGAAAGGAAAAGTAACGATGACCGGGAGGGCCGGGTTGACTTCCTGGTAAGTGGGGGTACCGTAGGCGTTGACAATGGTCTGGAATGCCTCGGTGAACTTGTTGGTCTTGATGTAGGTAGGCGGGGTCTTGTTGGTGCGGATTTCGTTGATGATGGAAGGTACCGAAAGTCCAGCTCGGTTCGTAACATCTTGCAATGTAGACCGAATCAACGGCAGATCGTTAGTCGGGCACCAACCCTCGGCGATGAGCGTGTGGCGGGCACGGTCGTACGAAAAGAGGTTAAGGGTGTTATAAACCGCCTTCTCCTTCGTGACGAGGACCATCCAAGCAGACAGAGCCTGAGAGATCTGAGTAAGCTCAGCGTTCAGGGTCTGCTGGGTGTTGCGGAGGACGTTCTGGACGTCGTTGAGACGAGCGTTGACCTCGTGGATCTGGTCCCGACGAAGGTCGCTGTTCTCATCCACGTTGTACACCTCGGCGCCCATGGATTCGGAGATCTTGCGGATCTTGGCAAGAATCTCCTTGCCGTGAGCGAAGATGACGAAGACGTTCTTGTTAATCTCCTCATTGTTGGTGGGGTCGACGAGCGGCTCGGGGATCTCGGACTGGTTCATGTACAGGTTTCCACGCAGGGTTCTCCAGAGGATGCGTTCAAAGGAGGCAACACGATCTCTGTTGATAACACCGGCGACAAAGCCAATGTTCATTCCGGAGAAAGACCGCTCAACCTCGGGGGCAGAGTTGTGCTGCTCAACATCCTGGAGCAGGGGGCATCATCGTTATCGGTAGACGCGCGGATCTCCTCGACGTTGCCGTGGGCCCTGTCAAAGAAACCACCGGCCTCGCGGAGAACCCAGCGCCACTCAGTGAGCTCGACCTCCCGCTTCTTCAATGTTTCGTAGCTGTCGTTGAGCTGGAAGACGCGTTGCTCGAGGCTCTGGCTTCGCTCGGCGAGCTCGTCAATCTCGGATGTCGACGGGTTGGCAAGTCTCTCGGCATCAAGGTCGAATTTCCGCAGAGAGATGCCTGCCTTCTCCATCTGGGTGTAGAAGTAACCTGGCGCGATATTAGCTTCGTCTTACTGTGTCGCCGAGTGGCGCGCGGTCGCGAATGATGACGTACGCAACTGGCGTTCGACATTGTCAAGCCTTCGGATCTCTTGAGTGAAAGTGCGTTGAAAGGCACTGACTTCGCCGTTGAGCTAAGGTAGAGCGAGATGTCAGCTTCGATAAACCGACAACTGTCGTTATTGTAGGAATGAAGGCTGGCAACGTACGTCTCGGAATTGGAGGAGGCCAAGCTCTCCAAGGGCTGTAACGACCTCGCGACCGATTTCATTGGAAATGTATAGCTGCACCATACTCATGTTCGCAGAGCGAAACATGGTATCCTGTGCCGGAGCCATCTTGATGTATGGCGGGAGCTCCGAACCGTTCGAGGGGATGATGATCAAGCTTGTTCGATGCCGGGACTAAACACGGAGCTGCCAAGTTGATGTCGTTGCCTCTGGATGAACAATGGGGCGTGATCGGATCTCGGATAAAGAGTTAGTCCGTGGCTAAATCTTACCCGCCGCTTACCGCGACTGTGGCGCGACCTAATGATGGACTGTGGCGGTGCACCTTCCAGGTAAATATTTTTGCGAATTACCCACAAGCAAACTCTTCGTGATTCTTCCCTCTACAACACCCAACAAGCTTACCGCACAAGACAAGGCGCAGTCGCTGCACGGCAGTGGCCCATGTCCCTTCAAAAATGAAGGCTCTATTTTCCTCACTGTGTAGCTTGTTAGGATAGCTTGCCACTGGACGCTCTTCTAGACTTCTTGACGACTTTCCGCCGAGGATGGGGGAGTCTTGGATGACGGAAGCCAGCAGGCTTCAGCTCAGATTAGTCCAGCTTGCACCCGAAACTAACGTTCAACTTTCTACAGGCAGACGTGATGATGGCGCTTTCGAAGCTTTGTTGGCGGTCCGCAAGGACATCAATGGTCATTCAAAGTCAATATGACGCCTAGAGCAAACCCCAAAGTACCCTGCCAAGGGTCATTCTCCGTCGTGTTACAAAGTCTTAGCGTTTGCCATTAAGAACTTTGCGTCAATTTACAAAGAGATACAATCCATCGCCCTAAATTATGTTTCAATATGTAGACCTCTTCGTCGAACATCTGTTGTCATTCCCACGCTCTCAAAACTCGCTGGACTTCAGCGATTATCAATATGCGTGCGGCCGATCCGCTACATATACATATGTGTACCTTGTTTTTCAATAGGAGTCCGTAAAGGCCGCAAAAATATGCATGTTTACTTAACATAGACACCAATGATGTAGGCATAATCTTTAATTTTATCTCTGCTTGCCTACTCGCCCTCGTGCCACGTGCAACTGGGCTCATCATAGTTCCTTCTTCTCCTTCCCAGATGAGCCAGTCGCAGGCTTAGCCTGTCCCGACCCCGCGGGGACCTTGACCGGCTGCGCCTTGCCCTCCTTCGCCGCAAAGACGAGTCCCACGACCGAGACGATCATCTCAGTGACGAGAGTAACCATCCCCGAGCACGCCAACTGCCACGAAGCGATGCTGACGCTGCCAATCGGCGCCTTGGGGAACGACAGGATCCACTCGGCGTAGTAGGGAAACCAACCGTACGGCAGCCAAAACATGGGCTCCTTGGAGTACCAGAAGGGCAGGCCGTATTGCGGCGCCTTGGTAAGGAGCCATCGGAAGCCGGTCAGGTAGGTGTCGAACTTGGATCTCGCTGCTTCTTGGTTTTGCTCTGTGGGAGGGAATCGTCAGCAAGGTCTCCTAGGTCGCGTGAACGGAGACAAATATCCGTAAACGTACTGCTCTTCTCCAGCTGCTCTAGCTGCTTGTCGTGCGTGCGACGAAGCTTTGCCCACTTGGCGAACTCATCCTGGCTGCTGGTTGCATTTAGCTCCTTGCGTATTTTCAGGAACTCGGCCTGCAGATGCCGGTGCTGCTTCGCGGCCTTCGAGGTCGATATGGGGAGGTAATTGAGCAATGTCCAAAGCTAGTAAGCAGTTAGTCATGGACGATCCTTCCGGGACCGGTTGGTCCAGAGTGAAAGGGAGTAAACGGACCAAATTGTTGATGGTAGCTGCGCCGATGGTGTTGACCAGGTGGGAGAACACCTCCAGCACAAAGATGATTACGAGTAAAGAGGCCATGGTGATGGCCCTTTTTGAAGATTACAGGCTCGCAAACGGTTTTGGTGACTATGAGGGCATGCTGCTGCACTGGGTTGGAGGTGCAGGGCGAGGCTGAACAGAGGTGTCGTGCGGACAGTGCGTGACGGGTCGTACTGAGCCCTTTGGTGGGAGGAAAACGTGGTCCTATGTCATTGCCCCGCGAATTGCATCTTTAGCGGGGACTTGAGCCACGCAGGTAAGCCACGGTCCGCTTCACCAAACGTTAGGAACCAATCATTATGAGCTCCAGCCTCTGCATTCCAACGAAGCACGACTCTAATGTCCTTCAACGTCTGGAATCAGTGACTGAACTGAACCCGTTTCCGTGGACTATCTGTCACTTGCCACCACCAGTGCACGGCTGTTCCGCTGTGTGCTTCACAGACATGCACTGAGTCAAAGACGGTTTCTCCCGCCTTCCAACCACACAACAATGTCGAGAGCTCTGGACAAACATGTCATCGCAGCTCTGAAGAAAGGCGACCACCAGAAAATATTTGACGATATTTCAAGTCTCTTCAAGCAACAGGAAGATGATCGTCGCCTCGAGATTGAGATCCTGGGTCAAAGCCACCCGTTGGGGCCAGACGAGCACCTATTGCGAGACGAAAACGCCGTTGCTATTCCCAAGCTCCGCATAGTGCAGGCCTTCCTCTTCGCCAGGCAGATCTTTGAGAAGCATTTGGCTGGAGATCCCATTGGCGTTGAGCTGCTGCTAGCTGCAACAAGCGTTATGCTGCTTATGGATCCGGAGCACCTTACAGCCACCAACACCAGGAAGCGCCTCCTTCGCGACGCGATCTCAGCGGGAGACGATGTGCATGGGCGTCTGGCAAAAGAGAGATGGTTTGTCGACAGCTTGCTGACCAGCCGATTGCATCGACATACAAAATCGCCCACGTTATGGAGTCATCGACGGTGGTTAATGGGGCAGTACCGTCATGCCGGGCTTCCCGTTGCGGTTCAGCAGGACATTGAATCGATCGTCATGGTAGCCGGAGAGCGACATCCACGCAACTATTATGCCTGGACCCACGCACGATGGTTGACCAGAATGTTCCTGGTTGACGCCGAGCCTGGAGTGCTGCCATCACTTGTCCAAAGTGTCAAGAGGTGGTCTTTCAGACATCATGTCGACGTCTCTGGCTGGTCATTCCTTGCCCATTTGATGGAAAGGCTGGACGATTGCGGCGAACAGACCTCATTGTCGGTCTTCGAAGAGACTTTAAGGCTAACGGAGTCTCTCCGATGGTGCAACGAGTCAGTATGGTGGTTTTTACGGACGATCGTTTCCAGACCAGCCATGGGGCAAGCCAGCCGTGAGAAACTCGCAAGTATCCAGAGAAAGCTTATGGATGTGAACGTCGATGATTCCACTGAAGCCAAGGTGCTGAAAACAGCACAAAAGTGGTGCGAGTCGTTCGGACCCCGCGGCGATGCAACGTTTTCTGGCGCATTGGGATAGATGTGGATGACATAGAAGCTTAAAAAGAAAATCGAGGAAACAAAAATCGAAATCGCGTGGTTGGCGCTCGCGGCGATGTCATCCAGATTTGGAGTTTAATTCGAGGCCTGAAGCCCGTCCATCTTTGTTTGCTTGACAAGCTCCTAGGTTGAGCCTTGAACTTGGTCCCTGCGTGATGGGACTACCTTTAAAGCGCTAGCTGAATACGAGCGAAGAGCCGTGGATTTGCATCGAACCAGGCCTGGAGGGTACCAAAGTCGAGATGTTGGTGAGGTCCATCATGACCAACAACTCTTCGTTGCATAAGAGTACTAATTGACGAGACAATGCGCTGTTTCCAACCGCACAATGGCTGTACCGTATCCTCTAATCGCCAACAACATGTAGTGCATGTTTTCATTGGAGCACTCCTAGAGAGCTTAGCCGGCAGCCACCCCAAGCTGGGCGGAAGTCGGTGTTCATAGGCTGAAACCTATGGTGATCTGGACCCCTGTCAATCATACCCACATTTGAACGCCACATGTGCGCCTGCCGGGTCCGCGCGAAGCTCACAGACACAAGAAGATCGGGATCTACGGCTGAGCGGGCGGAAGTATTTTCCGCCTTGTACATACTGACAGAGGCGGCGGTCTGGGCAGATGATCTTGAAGGCATAGCATCATCACATAGAGTACGTGGCCTCCATCACAACCTACGATGGAAAAAACGTCGTAAGGGTGACGACAGGTAGGCCATCTGCAAACAGTCGAGCCAAGGATGCTTGCTCTTGGTCTGGCGCCCACAGTTAGAGTTGGCTTCCGAACCGGCGCTGCAGTCGGTCCAGAAAGCCATTGCCCGCGAACTGGTTACTACGACGAGAGAACTGGCAACTGGCACGACCAGGCTCTATGACTGCCATTTTCTAGTGTGATGAAGATGGATTTCCGAATTGTAAAGGGCAGTCATTTGTAAGATTGACCAAGAAAACGTTGGGCAAAAGGACGGGGCCGGGTAATTAGCAGCGAGGGCCCAGGTGGCTGTCCAGTCAAGCGACTAAATTTGGGAAATGAGTCTGCTTGGTCTGGTGATTCTCATAGTCCCCAAACCAAACATCTGGCGCCTGTGTCTCCTCTTTGACAGCTCGTTCAGTTAGTTGATCGTCCGTTGAACCCCGGATACAGGCCCTCCAGTGTCGGGCCTCTGCACGCTGAACCAGCCAGGGGCCCCAGAGGTAGCAAGTCGAAAGCGGAAAGAGAAGAGGGCCAAGGAAAATGAGAGTTGAGACTGGAGAGACGACGAGCGAACAGCCGAGTGAAGCGACTCTCTAGGACCAGGGTACCCAGAGATAGGCAAAATTGCGGCGCACTGCATCTTGGTGGCTCCAGCTCTAATTTCAGCAAGGACCAGCAGAAGCAGAGGCCATTTCTTCCCAAGGGCCCGACGTCGAAATGACATGAGAAGCACGAGCCAGCCCCAGCGCCAGTCAGTTCGTTGGATCGTTTGATTGACGTGGGTGGTGGTCGGGCATGTGCCGGGCTCGAGTCCGACAGCTAATGCACGTTTCCGGCCGAGGAATCAGTCTCAACAGGTCGCTGACAGTGACAAGCAGTCGTCATGGTCTTGCCAGTAAAACAAACGGTCTCTGGATCGCGGATGACCGGTAGGCTTTCGGGAACGCGGAAAACGTCGCGCAGCGAGACTTGGGGAGAGAGTGAGACAAAAATCGAGGTGAATGGCCGATGGCGACCGCGGGTTGGACGAATCCCAAAAGGGCCGGCGGGCGTGCTAGCTGCAAGGGGACGGCCTGGAGAGAAGCTGGAGAAGATGGCCCGAAGCAGCATCGAGGCAGCATTGTGAGTGGAGAGCCTCTAAGACGCCCCCTGTTTTCCAAGCGCTAAAGCAGGTTAAGCGTCTTGTGGTGGCTGCGGTTAGCAATTGCCTTTTCGTATCACCACACGTAAACGGTCAACGAGCTGGCCGGCCCAAGGACGCCCAAGCAGGGTCAGAAGGCATTTTTACCACGAGGTCGTGGCTTGCTGTTGGAGACACTGGCGATGATGAAGATGACGATGCAAACAATCGTTTTGCTAAGATACCGGCCCTTTTGCTCCGTCCGGAACTGGATCCGACGCCGAAAGAGAGCAATTGGACGAAGCGAAGAGAGTCTGAGACGGTCAACATGAACAAGGCCCCAAACAGTCGAAGAATCAAGCACGGCAGACGCATGCGTCTGGAAGAAGGTCATGATTGACAGATGAGGGACTAAAGAATGCCTCATATGTAGAGTCGGAGCAATAGCATGGACAGAAGAGGAGCAGGACTGGAGTCAGGGCATTTGGGTCCCCTGAAAGAATGATCCCAAAAGAGAAAAGAATCGACGGTTGGGGGGGACGACAGGTAAAACAAGTGGCCAATCATGGTTGCACAATGATTTGAGTGGGCGTCCGAATTGGCCAAAGAGCAAACAGCCGTTCATCTCAAGAACTGTACAAGGAAGAGACTTTGTTTCCTCGCAGAAACTAGGGAGATTTGGGTGAGGAAAATGCTGTGGCTCATGGTTTCTCGGTTCCTTTCCTTTGTCACTTGCCAGGTACCTCCTGTCATGCTCCCTGGCAAAGAGCGACTTGCATTTACGCCACGGGGCCATGGGGGTCCCACCATGAGCGTGACATGGGGCCTAGCAGCTGCCATTGGTGTTCAGGGGGTGGCCTCGACCGGTACATGGCGTTCCCTGCCCGAGACACTGGCAGAGCGACGCCTCTCTGTCGCTCCGGAAGGAGCAGAACGAAGGAAAGGGAAGGAGACGACAGCGAAAAAGCGAGATACGAAAAGAGAAAAAGGAGACGCTGTGGCCAATAGCAGTCCAGCGGTGCCCGAACCGCCGTAGCAGTCTAACCGTCATCCCTCCCTCATTCCCTTCCCCGTGCAGGGTAAGTATGCAGATCCGACTGTTGCCCATCCCATTTCGACTAAACTAGGTAGGTAAAAGAAGTCCACTCGAAGCGCTGAAGCATGAAGCAGCAGAGTAGGTAGCAACGGCGGAGCGATGCAGACTACTACGTACTACCTTTTAGATACGCAGAGTTCAGTCGAGATGAGCCCCCCCAATGCAATGGCTCCGGTGGCCGAATGCACAGAACGCCGCTACCTCGAGACAATTACACTACTCGTTCTGCCAAACCTGCCCTTTGAGCACCAATCTTTCCCAATAGGTACTCCTGGCCCCAAGCAAGCCATGTCTGACTTTCTTTCTTCTGTGCAGTGGCTGCAGCTCTGCACCTCCAGACCACACCCATGTCAGCCCGCTCATCAACACCACACGACGCACCATGCACCATGTCCGCCGCCTTCCACCCTTCCACTCTTCCACACTTGTTGCGCACCTCCACACTTCCCAATTCCACCCTGGACCAGCCCATCGTCGCTAGAGCCTTAGCTCGACTGGGCTTGCCAGGTCGTCCAGGGCTCCTCGCTCTCCGATTCGCATTTCTCCATATCTACTCCCCACGATCCCCTCTTCGCCTCTTGCCTTGCCTCCCTCCTCACCTCTTATCACCATCTTACCTCACCAACCTCCACCCTTCCTCCTCGTTCCTCAAGGGTGCGGTTCTTAATTTTTTCTCCGGGTTGTCAATCTATTTACTCTCTTGACGGCGCCGCTTCGTTGTTTTGTCTCGTGGCATGACACAAATATAGACAGGAGAATCCGCCCATCGAGTCTGCATCTTCTCCCCTGCCCTTGACTCCTTCACTGTCGCCCTTGTCTCATTTTCTTGCATCTTGTCTCTGGCAGTTGTTGCTAGTGGCGCCCTCTTCAACCATCCGTCCCTCTATTCCATTGCTTGCCCCTTTTAGTTCAACCGGCCCGCGTACAGCATTTCAGAGCCATACGCCAAGCTCCCGCTCAAAGATTACGCATTCCTCCTTGTACACCATCCATCACGTCTCCTGACGGCTTCCGTCCACCATCCAGCAGCTTCCCAATGCGCTCGATTTAATCCTTAATATCATAATCTGTCCGACACCACGGCGGCGTCTGGTACCCGCAACTTTGCCCGAGTTTGAATATATCGACACCGATCAAGCACGCGTTATCTTTGCCCAAAGCGATTTTCGATTATTCACTCCTCCGATTGACCTTACGCCACCGCCTGGATTCGACTTGAACCGTTCACCTTCCTCTCCGACGGCTTCACGATTGGTCAGCCGTGCATCAACTACTCGTCTTTTCAGTGACGGTTGATGCTTCGCCTAGTCGACCAACATCTTGCCCAACTATACGATGCGTTCCACTATCTTGGTCCACCTTTCGCTGCTCATCACGTCCACTCACGCCTTCTTTCCCTGGCCTAGTCCGGAGTGCCTGGCAACGGGTGATTGCATTTTGCCGACGAAGAGGCACTTGAAGGATCAAGATGCGCTCGGATCTGATGCTGTAGATGCCGTCAAGGCTATCAAGGTCCCAGCCTTGCAAATTGGCGCCCAGACCACGGTAAGTAGAGTTGGTTCACATCCATGGTTCGTATCTGGATGCATCCCTTCCAATCCGGACACTGGATTGGAAAAGATTGCATCTGGGGATTTGTACCCGCACCCACACCACGGCTTGCTAACACCCGACCTCGTAGACCAAGGAGTCCGGCCCTGAACGAGTGGTCCGCGAAGTTCGACGACTCACCCGCAAGTATGCGAGGTTCCAATCCGCCGCCGTCCGCGAGGAGGCAATGAAGTCTAAGAGACAGAGTCAGTACCGTATTGTAACGGCTGCTGATACCACCCTCAAGAACGCGGCCGGCGTGGCCCAGGATGGCACCGACTTCTCCTACTTTGCCCAGGTCAAACTGGGTAACAACGAGAAGCCCATGTGGATGCTTATGGACACCGGGGCCGGTACTAGCTGGGTGATGGGTTCGTCTTGCAAATCGACAGCATGTGAAAAGCACAGCTCGTTTGGCCCCACCGACTCGAGCACGTACAGGCCCAAGGGCGAAGCCTTTTCGGTTGCCTACGGATCCGGCTCAGTCAAGGGCGAAAAAGTTACTGACACCGTATCTTTTGCGGGAATGAAGTTCGACTTCCTGTTTGGTGTTGCCAATGAGACCTCGGACGACTTCAATCACTTTCCCTTTGACGGCATTCTGGGACTTTCAATGGCAGGTGGCGAGACGGAGAACTTTATGCAAGTTGTCAAGAACTCCGCACAACTTCCCGCCAATATCTTCTGCGTGTACCTGAATAGGGCAGCAGACGGACCCAACACGAGCGAGATCAGTTTCGGGGTGTGCAACCCTAAAAAGTACACTGGCGACATCACCTACACTGGAGTTGGCAACGACCTCGGCGATTGGGCGATTCCTTTGGACGGCATTGCCTATGATGGTCTCAAGTCTGGCGCGGCAGGCAAGCTTGCTTACATCGATACCGGTACCTCATATGTCTTTGGTCCCAAGGACGATGTTGCTGCGTTTCACAAAAACATTCCTGGATCTACTGCGGACGAGGCGGGCACAACCTACAAGGTACCGTGCAACAGTAACAAGGATGTAACATTCAGCTTTTCCAACGTCAGCTATGTTATTTCTGCCAAGGATTGGAGAGGCAGCCCTGGTACCGATGGCACTTGCACAAGCAACATCTACGGCCATGAGGTCGTGGCTGGAGCTTGGCTCTTGGGAGATGTCTTTCTCAAGAACGTTTATGCCGTCTTCGATAAGGACCAGAAGCGTATAGGTGAGCTTCAGCGGTAGCCTTTTGTCGTACTTTGATAGATGCTGACTGTACTGGATAGGATTCGCGAAGAGGATCGACCCACCGCCAGTGACGACCACTTTAGCCATCGCCTCTACGGCCACACCACCAGTGGTTAACAACCCTGACCATACGGACGTTGGGACTGCTGTGGAGACGTCCGGGCCCGCACTTGGATTGGGTGGTCATGAGACTGCCACGGCGGAGACTGCTGCTGCGCAAACCTCGCCGGTAAAGCAGTCGAGCGCGGTATCGTCCGACGCTCTCATCAAGGTCAAGGCGGCCGCTGCCGCGGTCTTGTGCCTTGTAGCCGTGCTGGGATCCTACTAAGGAACACTTTTTATTTATTTTTCAAGCGCAGCAATCCCACGATTGCGAATTGGAGCGGGAAATTTGATGGTTATGTGCACATGATACCCCTAGGGACCGACACAGCCGGCCCCCTACAATACGGCCATTGTAGATATAGATATAACTTGTAATGGTAAATAAAAGCGTCTGATTCTTTTCTGGCTAAACCGTCGTCTTCTGATCTTCTTGAATGACTCGGCCCGCCTCAGCTGGCCCTTGTTTGTTGTGCTCTTCTCGACAGTTCCTGTTCTTGCCTCCTCGAGCAGGACTTCAGTAGACCAAATCAAACGCCATAGTAAAAACCGTATCGGACGATGGAGATCCTATCTGAAAACAAGACTCTTAGTCAGGCTTCAAGTTGACGTCCTCACAAGAGATTGTTGAACGTTTGCAGACTTTTTGACTCTTGTCCCTTTTTCGCGTCTGCCATAGAGACGTCTACTTGGGCGGAAGGTAGCTACATCCAAAACATGCCACGAACACGTTGCTGAAAGGCCAGTCTCACATTGCGTAATGTCCGTCTACAGACAAAGGTGTGTCTCATGAGCCGCCACAATGGAATAAGCAAAACACATGGACAATTGTAGTGGGCGCCATTTCTAGGCTTTTGCTCTGAATCTCTGTCGGGCTTCTACAACACAAGTCGTTTGTTTAATACTACAACTGCTTCAGGTCCCCTTTTCCTGGTGAAAACAGGTTTCTGAGCTTCTCTAAAATCCTACGCCAGTCTTGATCCGAGACCCGGCAACGTCATACTCTTACTCTGTCTAAACCAAAATAGACAACTCCTTTTACTCTTACAGGTAAGAAACTTTTACATGCATTGCGCCGGCCCGCCGTCGTCTGCGCAAATGTTAGAATCAGAACAGTACATGTTCAAGATAGTTGCAGTGGAGCAGACTTACTACGAATCATTTTGGCGACGGCTTGTATCAGACTGATCACCATGACCAAGCTGCCAAATACGACAATGCCCGCGGCGACGTACGTCTTCCAGGACCGGGTTGTGAGCTTGATGTAGCACAGTGGCGGAAGGATATATGCCATCGCGCAAGCAGAGGTGGCACCCACGAGCTCAAAAACGGCACCGACGTCGCAAGTGAGAAGACTTATGACCATGGCAGAAACGACAAGGGCGGAGCTGAAGATTAGGTGCAGGTTCATGTTGAACGGTTCGCCCGGGAAGAAGTAGTTGAACATGACCTCGCGGCAAACAAATCCCTCGAGGGGCAGGGTGGTCAGCATGTTCAGGCCGAAGCACAGGCGGGCCAATGTAACCATGACGTTGTCCGAGGGGAAGTTGTTGAGAACATTGCCGAGAGTCTTGTCACCAAAAGTAAGAAATCCTGCCAGGGCCATCAGGAGGCAGGCAACCATGGAGATGCCTGTCGAGTAGTGTGTGACGCGAGAAAAGCGGTCGATTGTTGGTGTTTTGAGGGAGCCGTAGATGAGAAGGGAGTTGTGGTGGCAGACGAAGGCTGAGGGGTGGTCAGAGAAGCTCGTTGGTGCGACAATTTGAGATTGAAGATACATACCGAAAGAAATCACGCCGATGGCTTCAAAGATGCCGGTGTTCACAGTCAAAAGGGCGGGTGAGAAGGACCCGCGCTCGGACTTGGGAGTGAGAGCTCCCTGAACCACGACGGTCGTTACGATGACTCCCATGCTGATGAGGGCCAATGTACTTGCTTTTGCCAGCTGTACAAGCCTCATTAGCTATCAATCCATATCATTCCTGTAATCCAGATCACTCACCTTCGCAATATCCCGGTATAGTGTCAGCGGGTAACTGATGCCCAGGACAAAAATCACAATAACGACCTGCCGGTTCGCCAAGAGGCCAAAGACCGGCATCTCCCTCAAATCGGGCCAAATGGCCAAGAAGACGTGTGGTATTGAGTCGCCGACAATGATACCAAATGCGACCATGCCGCCAAACGCAAACGCCCATTGCGCGACCGAGATGGCGATGAGTCCGGTTCTGCCGAAGCAGTGCTCCACCGTCCCCTGAAAGCTGTTACTTCCGGATAGCTTGCTGTTGATGACAATCAGGCAGATGGTCCAGTCGACGACGATCGTGAGGACGACCAGCAGGATGATGCCAGCCAGCAGTCCTGCCTGCTTGAAGGCGTAGGGCTGACCGATGATCCCTGCGCCGATGATGGAGTTGGCCATGTTCATAAAAGCCATGCGCAGGCCCGACTTGGGCCGCGCGCGCTCCTGCTCCGCCCACTCATGTACGTCTTCGGCGTCGGCGCCCCAGGGACTATTGGCGAGAGCGACTGAGGGGGCTTCGATGTCGGTCAGCAGAGGCAGACGGTGGTGCTCGTCGTGATTGTCGCCGCCGGGTGCGTGCTGGAAGAGCTCGTCGTCAATGTCGAAGCTGTCACGGCTATGGCGGGCGGAGCCATTACTCCTCGTCATGGAGGCGCGCGGCGGCGGCGGCTCGACAATGGAGGGAATGGGGTTGAAGCGGACGCGGTTCGGGGTCCGTGGCGTTCCTGGCGAGCGGAGGGATGTCGCATGCTTCGTCACAAAGTACTCGCCGCCGCCGCCGCCAACGCCACCATTGTGAGGGTTATCGTGGGAGAGAGGGTCGTCGGCGAGGAGACCTCTGTCCTCTTCGCTTGGGCCAGGAGCATCGTCCGGGTGGTGGGAGTCGTTTCGGTGGGCTCCATGAGTTGGGGCCTTGGCCATTGTAAGTTATTGCGATGTCATTTTCCGGCAAAAGGGGGTCAGGGGAAAAGACGGGATGATTGGACGGGCGAGGCTTCGTGGTTGTTGAAGGCCGCCGTTCGTCGTCGTCTTGGTTCGAATGTGGTGGAGGAGAAGGAACTCAAACAGGTGATTGTGTGTGTTCTGTGTTCAGAGGCGCAGGAGCGTCTACTGTCGGTCTCTTGCGGTTGACGTTGCAAGCTAGAGCTTACCTGACCTCAGATGGGAGAGTACGTACCATATCTCCCTCGAAGTGAAGGGACCGGGAACTGTCAGCAGTCCGCGTTGCCGGCAGCGCCACAGACAGGGGTGGGCGCCGTTCGATGGGTTGGGGGGTTAATTGCGCTGAGCAGCCATGTACCGAAGTGTACGAGTGTACCATTTCAACGTGAAACGGTACGGCTGATTACTTTGGATATTGGACTAGTCCTTTTCCGCCTTCTGGCCCATTTCTTTTTACCTGGGTAGGTATTCCACACAGAAAATCCGGTGTATTCAGGGCCAACGAGCGACTTATCGATGAAAAATAGTCCCACCCAACTTTGCGATAACAGCAGTAAGCAGCACGCAGTACAGCCGAATCAGACGACCCGAGCCTTTGCCAATGTGCCCTTGAACCGCCGAGAGACATCTGGGATAAGACACTGAGCCCGTCTTGAGTCCTAGCTTAGACTGACTACCTTACAGTCGAGACATTGTTTGCGTGTCTCCGACTAGGTATCGATTGGACGCCCGCTGAGGGAGGTTAGAAGACAACCACTCGGTCGGGCCCAAGGTACCGACAGACTGTCAAGGGTTGCCAATGACACCCGCTTGCAGCTCAGCTCAACTCGAGTATCGATTGATTAGTTCCATGGCTGCCGTAGCCCCTCCATCGCCCAGGCATTTGGTACGATAGGCAGCGTTGACACATGAGGGAGAGAGTCTGTCCCTCACATCCGAACCGGACTCACGAAAATCACACATCAGAGGCGGGGAAATCAACTCCTTTCATTCAACTTTTTTTTTTTTTTCGCACTACAGCCACGCTCACACACACGCATACTCATGTGTGTCACTGCTCTTACGTGACCCCAGCCGTCCAGCACGCACCTAATCTCGTTCACTCACCCGGGGCCCATCTCTCCTCACGCACATACCAAACCAATCTGGTAACCCGTCGCGTAACCGTTCACTCGCCCTTATCTTTCATCGCAGCGCCCCCGCCCCGAGCTCGGTCGTCGCCCGGTTCCGCCCGCCCGTCATGGACATGGACACTACGCCGGCGCTCTACGGCACCCCCGCCTCCGCCGGCCCCGGTCCAACGACAATGCCGGCGCCCTCGCCATCTGCTCACATCCCCTCGTTCGAGTCACATCCCTCGGCGACTGCAGGGCAATCAGCAGCAGCCGCGGCAGCAGCCGCCTCCTCGACAGGGGCTGCTCAAAGCCGTCCCTGCGACATATGTCGTCAGCGTAAGACGCGATGCGTCCGCGAGGAGGGCCGCGACAAGTGCGTCATGTGTTCATTTCATGGCCAGCCGTGCACATATCTTCGCGGGCCGCTCCCGCGCAAGCGCCGGAAGGCCACCGATCCCCCGGAGCAGCGTCCGTCCACCAATGGTTCCGTCTCAGCGCCCGCAGGTCCTCCACCCGCTCCCGTCCCGCTGGACCCTCAGGAAGAGATAACGTAAGTGTTGTGACATTTCCTTATCGCATCATAAGCTTCACTTGGAACGGCACTCAAGGTTCAACTTCATTCATGTGCACTGTTGTACCACACCCTTCCTTTTTCATACATTCCCGTTCTTCTTATTGGTTCATGCTGTCGTGCTCGTCACTCCGACCCCAGAAGACTTTGCCCTCGTTCACTTACACATCTCCTCATTGGTTCATCTCCCCATCTGGTGAGCCACCTGGTCTAATAGATCTGTTCTCACGTACAGACACCCCTCTCCCGAGTTGCTAGAGGCCCTGTCACCGTCCCTCGCCGGCTCAGAACACGCCGTTACCTTCCACCAACCCTCCCTCCTCGATGGAACCCTCGGTCTGCATCTCAAGACCCATTCCGAGTACGTCGGCAACACGAACTACCGGGAACCCTCCCTGCTAGACTTACACCGTCCTCATGACCCCGCCATCAGGTCTGTCCGCCGTCTCGATGAATCGACCGTCTTCCTCATCCACCGGGATCGAGAAACCTCTTCAGAACCTCAGAGAATAGCCGACCTCGACGCCATAGAAAAGGTTGTCCACCCCCTCGGCTCGACACTTGTGAACCTCTATTTCCGCATCGTCCACCCCAGCTTCCCCGTCCTCCACAAAAAGGTCTTCCTTGAGAAATACGCACGCTCCTACCATGAGTTCTCCCCGCCCCTGCTGGCTGCTGTCTACCTCCTGGCCCTAGACTGGTCCCTCTATGACCGCACCCTAGCCACCTCCTCATGGCAGCCCGACCAGACTGCTCTGGAGGCCCTTGCTCTCCGCACCATGAGCGATGACATGAAGCGGCCCAAGATCTCGACCCTCCAGGCGGGCCTGCTCATCCAGCAGCGCTTCCGGAACAACACCTGGACCTTCACTGCGCAGCTCATTGCCTTGGCACAGGGCCTCGGCCTCCACGTGGACTGCAGCGACTGGGCCATCCCGGATTGGGAAAAAGGTCTCCGCCGCCGTCTCGCTTGGGCGCTCTTCATGCAGGACAAGTGGGGGGCCCTCGTCCATGGCCGGCCGTCACACATCCGTCTCGACGAGGACTGGGACGTCCGGCCGTGCTGCATCGAGGACTTCCCCGAGAATGCCGCTGACGAGGAGCACGACCCGGAGGGCAGCGCCGAGGTAGTCGTCGGTCGCGAGCTTTTCCTGCGGCAAATTGAGCTGTCTCTCATACTCAGCGATGTGCTTGGGACGTTTTATACGGCCAAAGCTACTCGTCGCGGCGGCACCCTCGATCAGATCGGCACTGTAGGCGTCGCCGAGCTCGCGAAGCCCATCGTGATGATGCTGCGGGAATGGTACGCCAAACTCCCAGAAGCTCTCCAGCTACAAGAGACGCGCCTCAAGAAGCTCTCAGCAAATGGTAGACCCCCCCCCCCCCCCCCTTCGCCTCTTCCACAGTTGATGCTCGCACCACTAACACACCCAGGCTCCCTCCACCTTGCCTATATCTCCATAGACCTAGCTCTCCACCGCTCTCTAGTCCGCAACATCTCTTCCACCGCGCCGCCGGAGCTCCGCGCCGCCATTCGCACAGGCGCTCGCTCCCGCCTCGCCGCCGCATCCACCATGATCTCCAATCTGCAGATGGAGCACATTCAGTCCTTCTGGGGCTTCGCCGCCTCCGCCCAGCTCGCCGGCATCGGCTCTTTTGCAGGCCTCCTTTGGGCCACCTCGGACGACGACACCGAGGCCATGTACTACGCCGACCGCGTCGAGGAGTACCTCTGGAGCCTCAGAGTGCGCGCGCAGGCGGCGCCGTTTGCGAGGGAGGCGCTGAGGATGCTCGAGTCGGATGTCAGCGGGCTGGGCGCCGTGAGGGCCGCTGCTGAGGTTAAGATGTGAATCCGATCCCGGGAATCGCTCGGGCTGCGGTCACGGTCTTATGTGGGATAAAATGTACATTGTTGTTTTTGGCTGGTTGGGAAAAGTCTGGGGGGCTTCATTGTGCGAGATGCTTTTCGAAATTTGTTTCGTTTCTGGGATACCCGTACACTACCTTGGAGAAGAGACGGACGGAGCCTTTGGTTGTTCATATCGTGTTATATTATGCAAGCTGGCAGAGACCTCCCCAGCATTACAAGAATCTAAATCTATCTAAGCAACGACGTGGATTGCCTCTAGGTCTAATCAAAGCCATCAAGTGAAAAACCATTCATAACTCGTTATGCTTCGCGCAAAAGGAAGACAGTAAGCCGCCTCTTTATCTGGCCTCATTGCGTCTCAACAATGAGCAAGTCATCATACGGCCCAACGATATCCCCCTCCACAACCAGCATCTTAGCAACCCTTCCCTTGACGGGACTCCCAATCTTGATCTCCATCTTGTTCGACTCAATCCACACCAGCGCGTCGCCGACTTCGACCTCATCTCCGGCCTTGACCTCGCACTTCCAGCACCGGCCCGGCATCTGCGCCTTGACTCTCTCGCCCGGCACGTTATCCTCACCTTCTTCTCCGAAGACGCCGCGCCTCTCGGTCTCGGGCGGGTTGTACGGCTGGAGCAGCTCCTCCATAAAGGGTACGCTACGAATCGCCTCCGCACGGAGGCTGCGGGTGGCCTCGATGTCCGCTTTATTAGCCTCCAGCCAAGATTCGTATTCCTCGAGGTCGAGGCCGCCTTCTTCGATCTTGATGAGGTCCGTCATCCGATCTTGGGTCACGGCGGCATCAAGGTCGGTTTCAGAGACGGGGTAGAAGGATATCCTATCAAAGAGGCGGAACAGCCAAGGCTTGGAATCACCCCGCGAGGCAACGGCCGAGGCGGTTACGTCGTCCCAGATGGGCAGCGTGCGCCCTACAAGCTGGTACCCGCCTGGCGAGTCCATGCCGTAGATGCACATGTACTGCCCGCCGATGCCGACCGCGCCGCGCGGCGTGAAGGATCGCGACGGGTTGTACTTTGTCCCGAAGAGGCGGTGCCGCGGGTCCAGGGGCACAGCGCAGGGGGAGCCAAGGAAGACATCGCCAAGGCCTAGTACGAGGAAGGTCGCGTCGAGGAAGATGCGCTCGACGTCTGCGGGGAGTCGAGGGCGTTGAGGTGCTGAAGGAAATCGACGTTACTCGGGAGCCAAGGGGCCGTTGCGCGAATGGTAGCCACGTAGCGGGCCACGGCGGCACGGGAGACGGAGTCGTCGAAGGCAAGGGGGAGGTGGAATGTGCGGGAGGGGATAGAGGAGGGAACCGTATCGCCGAGCGAGACCTCATGCGCACGGAGGGCGGCAAGGATCGTCGTGGGCAGGGTTTTGGGTGTATATTGCACATGTAGGGTGCGGACGCCAGGGGAGAGCTCGAGGACGTTCGGGATGGGGTGTGTTTTGTGGCGGGCGATAAAGGAGAAGATCTGGAAGCTCTGACGAAGAGAGAAGACATCTTCGGTCCCGAACTCAAGGAGCATGGCGTTGTCACCGGCTTGGTGGACGGCGATGCGGCGGCCTGCGCTGCCGATGTCGCCAAGGAAGGGGTTCAAGTCTGGTGTGGTGGGGCTATTGGCGAGGGGGGCCACGTCCACCGCCAAGGGCGTGAGCTCAGCGATGGACTTTTCGAGGGCGGATTCAAGAAAGAGCGCATCGTCGACGGTGATGGGCTGGAGCTTCACCTTGTCACCTGGGCGGAATTGGCCGAGTTTCCACATCTCGGCTGAGGCTACAACGCAGAAGACGACAAACCCGCCGAGACTGGGTCCGTCGCAGGTAAGGATGACGGCTTCATCGCCAGTGAAGCTGACGCTACCGACGGAGTACGGGCTGTCATGGATGTTGGACGGGTGCAAACCTGCTTCCCCGCCGGTTTGCCGGGCCCACTGTGGTTTGGGGCCGTCTAGACGGATGCCGATGCGGTTACTGTTGTAGTGAACGATCCATTCGCCAGCGAAGAGTGTGTTAAGGCCTTGCTCGGTGAAGTGCTCAGGTGCAGTGTGTTGTCCAGGAACGACACCGATAGACCAGTGGGCATTGGCCGGATCGGTTGGGAGGGGAATGGCAGGCCCAGAAGCAACTGAAGGAGCAGCAGAGATCATGCTTCCTACTGGTATGAGATCACCGGATCGCAGGTTTCGTCCGTTGTGGCCGCCGACTTTACCCAGTGCAAAGGTGGAGCGTGAGTTGAAGATCTCGGGGACAGCAATGCCACCACGGATGGCGATGTAGCTACGATATCCGGATGTTGCGGTACCGATTGAGATTGTTTGTCCTTTCCGGACAGTGATGGACGTGTTCAGCTGGGCGACAGTATCGTCAAGCTTGACTTCGGCGGCAGCACCCGTGACAGCTACAATAGCATCGCAGTGGAAGAGAAGGCTGGGTCCGTGGATGGTGCACTCAAGACCGGCGGCGCGCGAGTCGTTGCCGACTAATTTGTTGGCGAGCCTGAAAGAGTAGTCATCGAAGGGTCCAGATGGCGGGACGCCAACGTGCCATAGCCCCTTGCGGCCTGGATAGTCTTGAACAGCAGTGAGAGTGCCTGGGTCAACGACTTCAACTATAGGCGCATCAAACGTAAAGCTGTTGAGCGATGTCGTGGTAAAGGCACCGGATCTGAACATCTCCGATGCGATAATTCGGCGGGCGTAGTCTAAGTTTGTCTCAACGCCCGTAATCACCGTCTTGTCCAAGGCATCTGCCAGCTTCGCCATCGCTGCCTCTCGATCCTCACCAGTGGCAATGATCTTGGCCACAAGCGGATCGTAGGAAGACGACATGTCCATACCGGCCGCAACCCAAGTATCAACACGCACACCTTCTGGAAAAGAGACATCCAAAAGACGGCCAGGGGCGGGGCGGAAGTCCTGAAGCGGACTTTCGGCGTAAACGCGCACCTCAATGGAGCTGCCGCTCACCTCAAAGCCTCCCGGCTTGTCGACAAAAATATCCTTGCTGTTGCCAGACGCCACGCGGATCATGCACTCAACCAAGTCCAGACCAGTCACAGACTCCGTGACTGGGTGCTCAACTTGCAGTCGAGTGTTGACCTCGAGGAAGTAGAACTCCAAGGTGTCGATGTCGTAGATGAACTCAATAGTGCCGACGTTACGGTATTTGACAGCAGAGGCAAGCTCGACGGCGGCCTGGCGCATTCTCTTTCGAACATCTAATGGTACGAACGTGGCAGGACTCTCTTCAATAACCTTTTGGTTTCGTCTTTGCAACGAGCAATCCCGCTCGCCCGCGGACGTGACATTGCCACATCCGTCGCCAATGATTTGTACCTCGATGTGACGGGCGTGCTCGATGAAATGCTCCACAAAGACACCAGAATCGCCAAAGTTTGCCTGTGCCAGTCTCTGGACACTCTTGAAGGCCTCGACGAGTAACGCGGCATCATCGCAGCGCTTTAGACCAATCCCGCCGCCGCCAGCAGTGCTTTTCAGCATCACAGGATACCGAATGCGCTCCGCCTCGGTGAGGGCCTCCTCCGCGCTTTTGAGTAGGTGCTTACTGCCTGGTACGACAGGTACCCCGGCTCCAATAGCTACATCGCGAGCAAGGTGCTTCAGCCCCAGCTGCCTCATCTGGTCTGCAGTCGGGCCGACCCAGATCATGCCCTCTGCCTCTACAGCAGAGGCAAAGTCGGCATTTTCGGCCAAGAAACCGTAACCCGGAATGACGGCATCTGCACCAGCACTCTTCGCGAGAGCGATGATCTGCGCACCATTGAGGTAAGTTTCCGAGACGGACGTGCCTTTGAGGGGAAGCGAGACGTCAGCGTTGCGGACATGTGGTGAGCGAGCATCGGCAGCAGAATGAATAGTGATGGCTTTAAGTCCCATTGAATGCAAGGTCCTGATGATGCGAACGGCAATCTCTCCACGGTTGGCAATGAGAACCGACTTGATGCCGCTGCCTGTCATAGTCGTCTCGACGGAAGGGGCAGAAGGGGCAATGGATTTGACAAAGGTACGCCAGCCGCCGAATGACGTGATGTCGGTGGCACCTTCCAGTCCGTAGGGCTCGCAGATGAACCCAAGAGCCCAGCTTCTGTCTGCAAGCTCAACGGTGCCAATGCCGAGAGGCGAGGGAATCGTCTTCAAAAAGCTGCCTAGCTCCGTTGTAGGCAGGTTCCAAACTTCGACCTGAATGGCACTTCCACCGCTTAGGACACGCTGCAAACCCGGCTTCTTTACTGTACCGCCGGTATTGAGAGAATATAATTTGTAGCTTGGGGAGGTCGTCGTAGCTATCTCTAGTGTTCCTCCACGAGACGTCAGGTCTTTATTCAAAGGGAACCCCGTCAGATGAGCACCTACCACCACAAGACGAGTCGTCTTTGGCTCGCCCGCGGCGATAGCGTCAAAGTTTCGGGCTTCAAGTCTTTCGATCTTGGTTGCACCTAATGGCCGTGTCTCAGTGGAGAGCCACTCTCGGGCCATGGAGAGAAGCTTCGGTTCATCCCATGCCGATGAGATCAACGTAATCCCGAAGGGCAGTCCATCCGACCTGAAACCAGCAGGAATCGCCAGGGCAGTCCAGTCCATAAAATTGACGAAGTTGGTGTAGGTGCCTAGGTAGGCATTCTCCTTGATTGGTTCCCGTACGAGATCCTCGATGGTAGGAAAGGTAGGGGTAGTGGGCACGAGGATGGCATCAAACTCGCCGAACTTGTTTTCGATCTCACGAGTTAGGTCTTGACGAAGATATTCTGACGCGAAGAGATCTGCTGCGTTGAACTCCTTGGCTCTCAGGATGATCTCCCGCACAGTCGGATCCATCTGGTCTTGGTATGCCTCGATGAAGTCCTTGATAGCGGCATAACGCTCAGCCACCCAAGGCCCCTCATACAGCAGGCTGGCGAGCTTGAACAGAGGAGAAAAATCCATTGGCTCGAGGGTCCACCCAAGGCTCTCAGCCTTCCCTAAAGCCTGCGCATAGGCTGCGGCTTGCTCTGTCTTGCCGAACCATGGTGGGTCATCACAAACTGCCATGCGATGGCCCTGAACTGTACTAGGGGTGTCCGGGCGAGCCCTCGAGAAGGAGTCTTCCGGATCGAAACCCTCCGCTGCGGCCAAGACCGTCTCGGCGTCATCGACTGTGAGAGCGAAGATGGAGACGCAGTCAAGACTGCGACATGCCGGCAGCACTCTGGTTGTGCTGAGGGCCCCTCTCGTAGGTTTCAATCCCACCAAGTTGTTCAACCCGGCTGGCACACGACCACTGCCAGCGGTGTCCGTACCCAGAGAGAAGGGTACGACGCCCCTTGCGACGACGACGGAGCTTCCGGAACTTGAACCACCACTGACCCTCGCGGGGTCAAAGGAGTTGCTTACAGGACCGTACGGGGACCTCGTACCCACAAGACCCGTAGCGAACTGGTCAAGATTGGTCTTGCCGAGTACGATGGCACCAGCAGCCTTGAGGCGGGCGATGATGGTCGCATCCTTGTCCACGGGACCGGTTGCAAAGCTGGGACAGGCAGCGGTTGTAGGGAAACTGGTGACGTCAATGTTGTCCTTTGCCGCAAAGGGGACGCCGAAAAGTGGTAATGAAGCACCAGATATGCGTAGGGATTCGGCGTAAGTCCATTGCTGCTCAATCTGGGTTTGGGTGGCCAGGGCAATCCAGGCATTCGAGTTCAACCTGGATTCGGACTCACGAAGCGACAAGAGACGGGTAAGGCCGTCCCCAGCCTCCTGTGCCTCTCTCCATTCCCTTACAGTGAGAGGAAAGGTGTCCTGGGTAGTGGAGCCTGTGAAAGGGCGAGCTCGTGTTAGTATTACCCCTTGACCGATCGGTATGACCCAATCCGGAAGCCTGGGTCAGCAGGGTGACTTCAACGCACCCATATTGTGTATTATATGCCAGAATTATCGGAGTAATTTTAAAAACAATGCGGGAAGGTCGTTGATCGCTGCTTGTTTCTAAGGGTAGCTAGCATTGGGGACACTGGACCTCTTGCCCTTTTTATGATCAAAAGTTTGGTCTCGGTTTCCACCGAGTGCGCAAGTTCATGAGAGAGGCCGTCGTCCACCCCGGATGTACTCTTCGGCAAAGCCTGCGGGCATTCATGTGAGTCGCCGGCGGGCCTTGATGCATCCAATCCATACAAGTCTTTCGAGACAGATCTGGCCAAGGTGGCCGGTCCAATGATGGGAGCGGTGCGAGCTTATCGCAGTGACGTCGAGTGTATGCAGTGTACTGCGATATGGGCAAGCCGGCCGAGTCGTCGGATAACGCTGCCCCTGAGGAAGGTGTGCTTAAGGGGGGGGAGATATCGATCAAGGTCTTGGCTTTCTGGGGATGTTTACAATAAGGTAGAGCTCGGCCAGCCCGGCGGCTTTGGAGGTGCGGGAGGGCCGCCGGCGGGTGAGGCTGACCTTTTGGACCTTCGATGCTACCAGCCGGTGCCGGCCGGATCCGCTCAGATGGGTCCCGTATGAGCGTCTTGTGGGATTACCTAATTTTGGATGCTGGATAATTAATCAGACACCTCAGGGACCCGTCTGCTTGGTGAATGTGGCTCGGCAGCTGCTACTGAGGCACGTGAGGCTTCTCTCAGAGGGATCGATCCTCCTCCAACTTATGGCTCGCCACACCGTGGCACAGCGTCAGGGTACAGTACCTAGCGAGATCCTGCCGCCGCCATTGTCGGCTGTCGCCTACCTTCGCACGGATCAAAGTGGAGAGAGGAATTTTCCCTGCCCGGTTTAGGTTCACTGGGGAAAAACGTTGCCAGCAGGGCCAGCAGGCGGGGATGAGCAGGATGTTCGCTTCCTTCCGAAAGCTCAGCCCTTTTCCCTTGGCCCCCTCTCGCTCAAACACTACTGACGTCGTCTGATCTTACCAACCTGAGTCGCTGTGGTGGCCTCAACAACTCACCGGCCTTGAATGCCACGACTGTTGCCAAGACGACATCAAGATTCATGAGTGTGGATTTTCAACGTCTGCGACGGAAGCTTGGGTATCTTGTGAAAACCTTCACCACGAGCGGGCAGCAACACGACTGGATGAAAGTGGTCGCGTCTGATTAGCCGCCTCTCGACCGGGTTGTGGTCGTACACGGCGTGTCAAACCCGATCACTGATCGGGATCACAGATACCAGCCGAGAATGATTCGAGCTCTGCTCAGTCTGTCCTTCACCGTCTTTCTGCCCGGACATGGCGAAGGCTCCTGACAACAAGCCTCTAAACGTCTCCAGTCATCGAGCCAAATAGACGCCGCTCCAGCCAAACAGCCGACCGCCCCGCCATCTTCATTGGTCAATCTGCAGGGATGCGAGTCGAGTCGACAAGGATCCCATCTGAGCTCGGCGCTTGCGCCTCTTCCCCATCACATCCTGCTGCCCAAAATAGCCAACCAGAACTGGAGCTGCCTGAGACGAGGGGTGTCGTCCTGCGTGCGACGCATCCCTTCGATCAATCGCGTCTATTGTGTCTTCTTCAGTCACACTGCATTGCATATATGTCTGCTTAGTGGCGCTTCTCTCAACGCCCGCCGTCGTGGTCTAACCCCTCACAAAGTTCACAACTTCAGTGTTGCACAGCTTCCCATTCTATATAGCCGCTGTCCCCTTCCTCCCAACGTCTCATCAGTACTGTTTCCCCCTCTTTTTTAGAACTGATTGTCTCATTCCGGCGATTCCAGTTCCTCGGGAGGCCGAGGCCGTTGCTTGATCCTTGTACTGCCGATCTGCTGGCTTTCGAGGCTGAGCCGCTCCATCGCCTCATACATCTCACTTGAGGAATACATCGCGTGGTCACTATGGCTACCCAGACCGGGACCGCCTCAAAGAGGCCCAAGTTGTCGTTGTCTATCAAGACATCGCCGGCCCCTCACACAAGGATCAACAAGTCCCTGTCTGTCGTCGACCCCAAGGATCCAACAGCTTTCAATACTCTCTCTAATGTCTATGTTACCGCCATTGAGCGGTCGACATCCGAGCCGCTCACTGCCATCAACACTTCGCAACAGCAGCCTCCGCGCTTGCAAAAGGACTCGAAACCTCTCCAGCTACGCATACAAACACCTTATGCCGTCTCATACCCCGAGACACCGTTGACCGCACATCCCATCTCCCCTGCTGTTGCTATGGAGATGACCTTTCCAAGTACAATGACTGCGACTCCGCCTCTGTCGGCTGGCCCCATGGACTCGGACGGCCCTCAGATGTTTGGATTCTCTCCCATCGACACGAAGACCCCGTTGACAGCAATCGGGTCCATTGCCTTGCCAGAGCCGCGCTCTCAACGGAAAAGAACCAACCTCTCCTTGACAGGCTCGAAGTTGCCATACACCCACCCTCGCTCCCTCCACAGCATCCTCCGCAATTCGCCTCTTCCTCCCCCAACTGCCAAGACACCCATCTCACCAAGGCGACAATCGCTGCGCTTGCAGGAAAAGGCGGCCCGCCGCGTGGCCTACAATAGCCCCATTGAGCAAACCATTATCACCGAAACGTATACCAAGTCTCACATCGACCTGCTCACTGAAGATGTATCACCGGCGTCACCCACGCCAGCCCAAGAACCGAACAACGTCCTTGACGCCGCCATGGCTTTCACGAGCGACGAAACGCGCGACGGTGGCATGACCCCAGGACCCTTTGAGGAGATGCGGCGGCGAATGGCCGGACTGGCAGCTAACTCGCCACCAGTCAGCCCATCAGGCGGAATCAGGAAGCGGAGGCGCAGGGAGAAGAAGCGCCGTTGGGTTTGGACCATTGGCAACCAAGAGGAGGACGAAGAGAACCTGGGCGGGGCAGTAGCAGCCTTGCGGGCGGCCGAGGCGGTAACACAAACACCAGAGCCTGCCCAAAAGAGACCCAGGGCCCCGGTGGTGGAGGTGCAGACCTGTGGCGATCTCCCGACGCCTAGCGTCGAGACGTTTGAAGAGGCTGGCGAGGTTGAGATGTCGGACACGAGCAGCGTCTCGTGCGATCGGGGCCTAACGCCGGGGGACATGGAGGTTGATTTGACGACGCCAACGGTGCCCAAGCGCCTCATGTCACAGAGCGACCGGCTTGGATCGGCCGACCTAATCAATCCGGAAACTGGTAGCAGACGGGACACGCCCATACCTCCTGATATGGTGGTTCATTGATGTGAGAGTGATGGACTGGATGGTATCTAATTCGATTAGTCGAAGGCGCTTGGGTATCGCATTCTTTGGTGTTGGGGAAATTTTTTCTTTTTTGGTGTTTGGAATCGTGAAAATATGGCTTCGGAGTGTAGGATATGTACTAGTACCAATACAAGTTAATGAGAACACGAACCAACATGACCATGTCCTCGACGTTTCCACGGTGCCCATGTTGGATATAGGGAACGGCCTTGGGATAGTCGACGGTCTCCGCCGAGATAATCAAGGCTGAGGGCGGACATTTGGCCAACAAGCTCGCTGCCATGCACGAGATGTTTTCGAGGCCTGCAAGGTGCCAGAGAACCAAGGGTGGAAGACATATCGGTCGATGGATTGATCCAGAACCGCGTGATGAGATAAGCCCGTCCAGCTTTTGGAAAACGTCCACACTATCGTCAGAAAGCGGAGACGTTGCTCGAGAGTGGACTGGCGAGGACAACCTTGGCTTGCGTAAGGGGTGGTGGTACTATGTATTTTTGTGACAAAAACCCCTGCAAACGCAATCGCTGTCACGGAATTGCGGCATCCATGTCCACGAGCCGCACGGAAAGTTTGCGACAGACTGACCTCATCCACACCTGGTGGACCAAGTGCACGATGCCCAAAACTATCCCATGTTGATCAATGACTTTTGATGTTGATCTCGTCTCCCGAGGAAAGGGCCGCATCAATATTGCTGATCAGAACGAGAGGTCTCTGCAACCAATGGTCAATAGCCGGAGCAAATGATCCAACCATGCACCCCTTGGGCCCTATTCAGCTGTCAAGCTCAAAGGAGGCGACCTAACCCTGGAGCCAAGTAGCAACAAACCGAGACGGCTAAGCCAGTGGAAACAGTCAAGGCCAATGAACACGCGGCCCGAACTGTTGTCTTTCCCCAGCCATTTACGCAAGCACATAGCGATCCCTGCCGCGGATCGGCCACAGCTCGTCGCATCGTTGTCACGCAGCCCATCGAAAAAACAGGTATACTGAAAGGGTAGCGGGAATGTTAACTTGCCTTTTCGCCAAAGAAGCCACGCACAGCAGATTCCATCGGACCCAATTAGCGTGGAGCGTTCCAGCCACAGTTGGCTGATGGTTCTACCGCGTCGCTAGTCGAGGGGACCTTGCTCGAGGAATGTTTGCTGAGAGGCTTGTCAGGAGAACGCAGCCCAACGCAACAGAGTGTGGGATGGAAGCAAGAAATCCGGCAGACGCTCGGACCATCATAAGTACCGGAGACTTCTTCCGTCATAGAGCCTGCAAGGAGCCGGGGGTGGGGCCGGCCCTTTGCTTAGTAGGCCTTCCGGCAGTAAGTCGCAAGACAAACTACGTCATTGACCATCACAGCTTCCCAGCCTGTCAAGCCTAGAATGCAAGCTGCAGCTCGAAGGAGGAAACTCGACCAAGCTAAGGTGTTGGGTGTGTGCCAGTTATGTGCCTGCCACAGCTGGGCAAGGTTGAAGCTGAATGAGCTATGAGGCAATTGGAGGGGCACTTTTTCCACGTCTAGGCCAGCTTTCAATGCTGGTTCTCCGCAATCCGCATCCGCATTCCCATCGCTAATATATCCCATCCCCCAAAGTCTTGATTCTCGACTCTCCCAGTTCTGTCGGCTGAGTTCCTCGTTTGCCAATTCTCTTCGCCTTTTTGTCTTTCACTAGACTTTGGCCAATTGACGGAACAATACTTGCTTCCTGTTCCTATTTCGGTTTCGACAGCATAACCTCAGCTACGACTGACGACGGGGTCTGCCTAAACCCATTTGAGTGCCGCTCCTAATAAGAACTGCAGTATAAGAGTCGGGCTGAAGGGTTGTGAATGGTAGCAAGATGAACATTGACGAGCACAAGCTGCCGACCGGCGGCCAGCATTACAGCGCCCGGAACAAGATCCCCAACATTCACGAGTTCGTCGCCCAGCTCGACAAGGAAAAGCGGGAACGCGATGCCGCCATCGAAGCAGAGGACAAGGAACACCAGAAGATTCAGAGACAGGCTCAAAACCAACCCCATGGCGATTCTAAGGACCATGTCCCCGAGAAGAAGGACCGCAAGAAAACCAAGACGGTGCGGGATCCCGTCACTGGCAAGGACGTCGAGATCGAGGATCCCAAGGATGACTTCAAAGAAGTCGTCGAGAACCCTAAGGTAAGCAACCGGCAATCCATAACAAACCTGCCTGTCATGCTCAAAAGAACGATACTGATATGGAAGTGGCACAGCTTTCCATTCCCAACGAGAATCTCGGAAAGAAGGCCACAATCTCCACGTCGTCGAAGCAGTCCGGCGAGGAGTACCGACACGCCCAAGATGTCACAGCACCTCCCGACCCAGTCGAGCCCGGAAGCACCTCCGACGTGCCGATCCACAGCGAAAAGACCAACGTGACCTTCTTCAAGACTCCTAGCGTAAGCTACGAGCCCATGTTCGAACATCTCGAACGGCGAGCCAACATCTTGTGTGCCGGCATCTTCTTTAGCATTGTCATTGTCGGCAAGTTCTTTGGTGGAGCGCTCTACGGCCTGATCCCTCTTGGATTCTGCGTTGCGTCCGGTGTCTTCTTGTGGGTGAAGGACCTTATTACGAAGGGAAGGAACACGGAATGGTCCAGTGAACAGGAGCGTGGTGAGACTGCCACCGTCAACTTGGTTCCCGAGTCCGTCGAGGTAAGAACCGTTACTCCCTTGTGGCTGGTATTCTGCTGACCATTCATCAGTGGATGAACACTGCAGTTGGAATCATGTGGAATCTGATCAACCCTGAGATGTTTGCTGGTGTTGCCGACACTCTTGAGGACGTCATGGTCGCTTCGGTTCCTGGCATCATCGAGAACGTCCGTGTGGCCGATATCTCCCAAGGCAGCAACCCTCTTCGAATCCTTAGCTTGCGCGCCCTACCGGACAGTCACGTTAAAGACATCAAGGAGGAGTCCCACAGGCAGAACCAGAAGAACACCGACCCCAACGAGCTGGCGGCCATGGAGCAGGCTGGTTCTTTTTACAACTTGGAGGCCTCGGTCGCCTACCATGCAAAGCCATCTGGTGCCGACGTCTCGTCCAAGGCCCGTAATATGGGAATGCAACTTGTGTTCTACCTAGGTGTTAGGGGTCTTTTCGGTGTCCCCCTTCCAATCTGTGAGTTAAACCGGTTCCGCCTTCTGAAAGCATTGCCTGACTGTTTGCAGGGGTTGAACTTCAGGGCCTCGTCGCTACGGCCAGAATCAGACTTCAGCTCACTCCTGAGCCTCCTTTCCTCAAGACCCTTACGTTTACACTCATGGGCATCCCCAAGGTGCAAGCAGGTTGTACTCCGATGATTGAGAAGGGTGTCAACATTCTCAACTTGCCCCTCATCTCCAATTTCGTCAACTGGGCTATTGGTACCGCTGCTTCCATGGTAGGTTTTGCGTTTCCAAATTATCTATCCACACGACTGACAATGGTACAGTATGTTGCCCCCAAGAGCATGACACTGGACTTGAGCAAGATGCTTCAAGGCGACGATATAAAAAAGGAGACGCTTGCCCTCGGTCTTCTCTTTATCCGTATCCACAAGGCTGTCGGTCTTAGCAAGCAGGATCGCCGTGGCAGCGAAGGCGGTGGCTCTGACCCTTACATCACTGTCGCGTGGAGCAAGTTCTCAAAGCCTCAATTCTGCACTCGTGTTATTCAGGATGACCTGAACCCCGTCTTTGAGGAGAGTTGTGGGCTCTTGGTCACTGCCGACCTGATCAAGGCAGATGAGCAGCTTTCGGTCGAACTTTGGGACAGCGATCGATCATCTGCGGACGATGTTGTTGGCAAAGTTGAATTGAGCATCCAAAAGCTCATCCAGCACCCTGGCAAGATGTTCCCTCAAGTTTCGAAGCTTGCTGGCGTCAAGGCTGAGACTACGATGCCCGGTGAGCTTCACTGGGAGGTTGGTTTCTTCGGCAAGACCCAGTTCCGCAAGGCTCTCCGCACCGACGGTAAGGATGTCAACCTGCCCCCTGAACTGAAGGACAAGAAGGAGCTCCAGGATGAGAAGGGCACTATCGAGAACGCAGAGGAAGATGCCGTCGAGCACACCCCTCCCGACCCATTGTGGCCCTCGGGAATTCTCAGCATCGTCGTCCACCAGATTGTCGGATTGGAGCTCGCCAACGTCAAGGGTTCCAACGGCAAGCGCAAAGGCCGCGAGTACGAGCCTGCCCGTCTGGATGCTGGTGAAGTCAAGGAAGAGCAAGGAAGCAAGTTGCCCAGCTCATACTGCACAATTCTTGTCAACGATGAGTTGGTTTACAAGACGCGAACCAAGGCCGTGTCTTCACAACCTATATTCAACGCTGGCACGGAAAAGTTTATTCGTGACTGGCGATCAGGCATCGTAACCATCACGGTTAGAGACTCGCGCAACCGACAACACGATCCCATCATCGGTGTCGTGCCACTTAAGCTATCCGACATTCTGCAAACCGGGAGTGAGGCCACAAGATGGTATCCTCTGGATGGCGGTGTAGGATACGGAAGAATTCGCATTTCGATTCTCTTCAGATCCGTTGAGCTTCGCCTTCCCCCAACTCAACTGGGCTGGGACGTCGGTACGTTCGAGTTCACTTCGCGCGAAATTACGGCTGCCGGCTATGGTCACTCGAAGACCAAGATTAGACTCCGCACGGGCGGAAGCTCCGCCAGCATCAAGAGGGACACGTGTAACAAACTCGAGGACCAAGAGGGGTGTTCTTGGGATATTAGCGGCGAGAACAAGCACGACAAGATTCGGCTTCCTGTCCGTTACCGATACAGGTCTCCTGTCTTCTTCGAATTCTACCCACCAGGTAAACGTCACGCCGAGGCATTCGCGTCGCTGTGGCTTCAAGATTTCCCTGATCAAGAGGAGCGGGAATTTGATATCCCAATTTGGAAGTGCGATAAGGGTCTGCGCCTGTCACAGAACTACATTACCGAGCAGAACTTCAAGGACATTCCCGACATCCACATTGAAGAGCTTGGCCGACTGAAGTTCCGTGGTCGCTTTTCCACCGGAACGGACAGTGACCACGTCAAATTCGTCACTGACAACGATTCGCGCGAGACCATTGAGACCTGGGAGGCTTGCTTCGCAGAAGGTGTTCGAGGCGAGGAAGTCAAGACTGAAGTTCCTCCCGCGGTCCAGAAGCTCCATGATGAATCTCTTACTCACGGTCGCGATGTCCTTGCCCAAGCCGACCCAAAGGACAAAGAGAAGTGGTTGTCCAAGGATGGCACGGATTGGAGCACAGCTTTCGGACAGGACCCTACCAAGTTGATCGACGGCGAGCAAGAAGATCTCAACTCCGAGGGACGCGATGATTTCGACGAAGACTACGACGACGATGATAACAGCAGCGATCTCGACCTTGGGATTGCGGACGCTAGTACCAAGGCAGAAAGCGACGGAACCCGGCAATCAATCGATAGCAATGTCAGTGAGGCACCTTCGAATGCTTCCAAGAAAGGCAACGGTCCCATCCAGGCATACAAGGACTACAAGAGCAGGAGCCGAGACCTGCACCGTCAGCACCGCGGGCTGATGCAGTGGCGCCCGATGCGAAACGTGCAGTTTGCGAAGAACGAGGCCAAGTTCGCCGTCCGGAAGATGACCAAGTTAGGCGCTCTCAACGGGCGCAAGCCGGATGTTGAGACAGAGGTTTAATCCGCATTTCTTTTGTTCGAGTCAACATTGGGGTGAAACAAGTATTGAGGCAATGAGTACCTGGGAAATGTGGTTTTATTCTCTGACGGCCTTTCATAATGTTTATGAAGTATACCTAAGTTCAGCAGATTGTGTAACGAATTGGGAGGGTGGCGTTGAGGGTGTATTTGTAGTCAAAGCAGGCAAACATGAGTTTTGAGCAATAACCAGCCCTGGTCTCAAGTGAAATGTGCTAAAAATCATTCACAACGGAGCCCGAAGTGGGCAACTGGAAGTCCTGGAATTATTTCTTTTCAGTTTCTTTGCTAGCATTGACAACTATATTGAATCTATGTGTAGTCTGGGTACTTCCAAGAGTTGAATCATTTCTTTCCCTTTCGTCCGCTGAAGCCCCATCCAATTTGGTTCGCCATCTTGACGTTGACGCCGAGCTCATCAGCATAGGTGTAAACCAGACCCGGGTTCTTTTGGAACCACCGACCACACATAATGACATCCAAGCCCGCCTGGAGGAAGCCTTCTGCCATGGTTCCGGTGCTAATACCACCAACAGCCGACACAATCAACTTGTCGCCAACCGCCTTCTTAATCTCCTTGGCGAAGCCTGCTTGGTAACCAGGGCCGCCCTTGATACTCGTCGACTGCAGAGGGTGGATGCCTCCCGAGCTGACGTCGAGGAAATCAACGCCCTTGTCAGCGAGTATCGGTGCCAACCTGCAAGAGTCCGCAACGGTCCAGCTCTCGGGGAACTCCTCCTTCATGTCGTCGAACCAGTCCGTCGCGCTGATGCGCACGAATAGGGGCATCTCCGTCGGGATCGCTGCACGCACCAGGTCGGTGATTTCCAGCACCAACCGCGTGCGGTTCTCCCAGCTTCCGCCGTACTGATCTGTGCGCTGGTTGCTGATAGGACTGAGGAACTGGTGGACCAGATATCCGTGGGCAGCGTGGATCTCAACAACATCAAAGCCGGCCTTCACAGCCCGCTTCGCCGCGTCAACAAAGGCAGTCTTGAACTCTTGAATCTGCTCTAAAGTCATGGCCTTGGGTTGCGGATAGGCATCGTTGAAGCGCAGCGCCGAAGGGGCGTACACCTCGTCGGGCCAGCCGCCAACCTCAGCGCTCGAGGTGGCGTTCATGTGCAGGAACGGCGCGACGGTGCTGGACTTGCGACCAGCGTGGCTGAGCTGAATGCCAATCTTCTGGCCTTGGCTGTGGGCGAAGTCAATAATACGGCGTAACGGCTCGATCTGGCCGTCCTCCCACAAGCCAATGTCCTGGGGCGTGATGCGTCCCTCTTTCTGCACCGCTGTAGACTCCATGATCGAGAGGCCGGGCCCGCGCTGGATGATGCCACCGAGATGGGTCAGGTGCCAGTCCGTGGCGTAGCCATCCTTGGCCGAGTACTGGCACAGTGGCGCAAGGAAGATGCGGTTCTGGAAGGTGAGGCCCCTGACGGTGAGCGGGGTGAAGAGTTTGGGGACAGGGGCGCCGGTTGTTGTGCTGATGGCCGTGCCGGAGACGGGGTCTTGCTCCGGGGTGAAGTACGGGGCATTCTTCGCCGCGGGGCTGGGGATGGGAGCGAAGTACAACGACTCCTTCGTTTCGTTGGTTTGTGAGCCCATGGTGATGTGTTGTTGATGTCTTTGTTCCCGGGCAGGTTGTTGGTGAGGTGTAATGATGGTGTGACGAGGATGAGAGACACCGGACGAAGGATATTGCTCGTTTTTATGTCATTAAATTTAAAGTCTTGCTGAAGACTACCAACTTATGTCATGAAATTGTTTTGCAGTCCGTAGGCGTGAGGCCGAGTGTTTCGGCGCCAAAGGTTCGCCGCCGAGGCCTGCCCGGCCTAACTGTAGGGCTTCGGTCGCTTCATTCGTGGTTCAAGCCGCCGGTGGATGTAGTGTGCGTCGGAACCCTGCTAGTACTCAATTCTTGAAGATTTTACTTCGGCATGTCCTTGTGTACAATTTACCTCTCGTGGCAGGATGGCCGGATGACTAGTCATCTCCAGCTGCCGGGAGACACATTGCAGAAGCCGCTAGCCCACCTCAAAGGGTATTCGGCGCACGACCTTTTCATGCCGTCGGCAAAACGGACATCACGCCGGTCACCTAAGAAGTGAAGAAATTGGTTGGGCTTCCAAGACCATTCCACCTTATCAAACACCTTCTAGAAGCCTAGGCATTCCATCTTGTTTATCTGCAATGCTTACCCGCATAGATCGCGTAGCTAGTCTGGCTTTTTTCCTGGTCAGATTGGAGCCCCGGGTGCAGCTCTGGCCATTTCACTGATAGTAGGAGTTCTCGCATCATGTCTCACACCTCATGTGCGATCTACAAGTAAACAGAAGGTCCAAGTTATGTGGAAGACAAACACAAAGTTTCTAGAGAATATGGAATTTTAACCTCGACAGCCAAAGCCTTGAAGTGGTGATTTGCAGACAGCACCCTCCAGGAAAGAAAAGGCTCTATTACTATGCTTACTTGCCTACAGTCTTGTATATAGAATTATATCCGAGAAGTGACTTCTCTTCCAATGCCGCAAAGTCTTGTCCCCGAAATCGTTCGGGGTTCAAAGCATATCGAGTTTCTTGGTCCACACCCTCACCATCAATCAATTTCGTCAGAAACTTGGCCGTGCCTGCTGCGTGAGTGACCCAAATTGCAACAGCCAAATGTAAGCCTGGCGTAGATTGTACTGACCCAGCAAGCGGCATGTTATCGGGCGTCATTGAGAAGATCCCATTAAAGCTGGCTCCCTGGTCGAAGTCTTCTCCGGTAGCTGGCGGCAACAACCCTGTCGCAGATTTCAGTGTCTGCTTAAAATCTTTGACCCATCTTCCAATGGCGGTGCCATTCGTCGGTTTGCATCCGAGGGGCTCATGGTCATAACTGCCGATACCGTATTTGTCGCCGTGATCTCTGGCGTAGACATGATGCTCCGGCCAACGGACGAAAGGCAGCTTCCGTGGTAACGAGTTCCTTGGTTGACCATACATGTATGGGTGACCGACAGGGATGACCGGTACTGGGAAGTCAAGATCGCAGCACAGGTCTTGAGCCCAGATGCCCGTCGTGATGACGACTTTGTCGGCATCGAGTTGTTCGACAGAGTCGCCGTCAAGAACTTCTACGCCGGTAACGCGACCATCCTGGATAAGAAGCTTATTGACATCGCGTTGCAATAGTTGCACCCCTGACTTCTTTGCTTCCTCGTGATAGAAGGAGGTGATTTTGCAAGCGTTGGCCGTGCCGTCGGTTGGAAACAAAACCGCCATCCCAGAACTTGACTCCTTCACAAGCTCTGGCGCTAGTACATGCGCTCTCTCGATGCTCAGCATCTCAGCCGACAGACCCATTTGCGCCGCACTCGTGCATCTCGACTTCAGTCGCTCAACTCCAGCTGGTTGAAAGGCAATTTCCAAACCGCCCACAGCGTCGAAACCTCCAGGGATCTTAATGTACTCTGCCACGGTCTCAACAGCCAGTTTAGTAAGGACTTTGGACTCGTTGAATTGGCCGACGAATCCCGGTGCGTGGCCTGTGGAGCCGAGGAGCGGGCCGAAAGAACGGTCGATTATTGTGATATTCCGGGGTGTAGGTGATGCGGACAAGAAATGGGCCAAGGCGGACCCGACAATGCCGGCACCAACGATTATGATGGTTTCGATAGGTTCGGACATTTTAGGAACGGGAAGGAGCGGATCGATGTGGTTAATTAATGCGGTAAGAAAGACTGTCCGAAGAGAGAGTTTAAAGTTTATATGCCTTTTTTTTGCACTACTGGCCACTCGACTGCTGAAGTTCTCAACTGCTACGCCCATTGATAGACATGAATGACAAGTCAATGCAAGGGCGTAGAGACTAGTGAAAAATTGCCAACATAACCAATCAAGGATATGGTGCCCCATTCTCGATACGATGCATAGGCCCGCAATAGCTCTCTTGTCCTGATCAGGAGTTGGAACTCCACTAGATCAGTCGAGTTGGTGCTTGGCTAAATCCTGGTGCCATATTCACGCTATCAATTTGACGAGGACAGGGGCACAGGGCAACAACAAAACGCAGCGAAAAACGGAGTGGAGATAGGACGTTTTATCATTGTGAACGGATTCAAAGGGGAAATCGTCGGCAAACCATCATATTGCAACATCTTGGTACACACCAAGTGTGCACGTTCAAAGGCGGCGGCTATCAATATTCTTTGGTTGTCGTTATGAGTTATACCGGCTAGGACCCAGCTGAATGCAAAGGGTAAATTGCAGTAGAAGTGCGGTTAGCGCAAAAGCATGGGTTTTCACGCAATGGGGTCCCACACCTCCATATGAGGCCTTATACAGCTTTTGAGGGCAGCAAACCAGCCTCCCCATACAACCCTTTACTTGGGGCTCAGGTAGAATAAATAAATGCACGCACGTTGTGCAGTTCGCGTGAGTTTACATTAAGAGAGGTTTACCAGCACTAGCCCAGAAAGCATCTTTATGATATTGAAGAAGTGATCAGGACAGACTGAAGCATGTCGGGGAGAGGTGAGGAGAAGTTTTGGATCAGAGGATAATTTCAACGGGGTAAAATACCAATAGCTCGAACGACCAGGATCATGATACAATCATCAAAGCAACAGTTGAGCTAATAAGAGTTTATCCGTCGCTTCAGATCTAAGAGTACTTATAGTATTCTCTTCATCCATTTAGTTTCGATGCAACTACAACCTATAACTCTTGGTATCCTTCTCATTTCCTTCAGCTTGACATCAAAAACTTGTGCTTTCAAAGGGGTAAAATCAACAATCCAAACATAAAGATGACATGATCATTGAATCTTTTCTCAGAGGCGACACTGGAAGCTTGGATCACAGTCCCCGTTCCCGTTCTTCTGGGTGTCTTCCTTCTCACCTGCCAAAATGGCATCTTTTTCCTTTTCCATTTTTTAAGGTAGAGCCAGTGAACGACAATCAAACACTCTGCGACAAAAATAAGCGCCGAGTGAGAGAGCTGTTTCTGATGTATTGCTTTATATTGTAATAAATAGTGTATCTTGGAACGTTCGTGTTGTTTGATGAAGAATAGAAAATGTTGTAATAGTTTGAAGTTGTTAGAAAGTGGTGATGATGTTTTGGAACCTGCGGAGGAAGTGGAGTGGTGTAGTTACCGCACAATCATTTCAAGATGAAAGGAGGGCTTCAGGAAGCCACATCAAACAGTCGTATGATCACACGCTTTAGATCATTGGACAGTTAATCAAATGCTACGTTAGTAATCAATATGATTCGGGGCGTAAAAAAGTTGTGTTAAAGAGGTTTTGAGGCTGTGTTCATGCAGGTGAGATTATTAGCTCAGCCTGAAGAGATAGTGTTGGGCGGGTAAAGTGTTTGGTAAAGCCTGACTAGCAGAATCGGCCCCCTTCAGCTCGCGTCGCCGGACTTCACATCATCATCAACAATCATCTAAACCTCGGCATTGTAGCGTCAACCAAATACCTCTTGACTGCATCACTGTACTATATTCCTCATTCATCAACAAGACTAGAAGACACATCTTTCGTCAACAATACCAGCGGCCGCAAGATTTCAACCCGCTCTCAGCTGGATTGAAGATGACGGGTCACAATGATCAGACTAAAAATGTCGAGGCGATCTCGCAACGGGCTGTGGTGAAAACCCTCCAACCGAAAAGAAAAAGGCCATACGTCAATGATGGCGGCGATTTGACGCACGCACCATCGATGCGGGAGAAGCTGGCAAAGTTGAATTACTCAACCAACACGCCGACCGGTGTCATGGAACCTCAACCGTTGATAAAACTATCGCATGAAGACTACACCGTTGCTTGAGTGTGTGCTCTTCCGCTCGAAATGGCAGCCGCAATGACTATGCTCGACAACATCCACAAGCCTCTCCCCATGAGTCCAAACGACAGTAACGTCTATACATACGGTGATATTGGACCTCACAATGTTGTTATCGCATGCTTGCCATCGGGGCAGTATGGAACAATTAGTGCAGCAGTTGTGGCAAACAACATGCACTGGAGCTTCCCCTTCATCCAAATCAGACTGATGGTTGGCATCGGTGGCGGTGTTCCGGGCGATGGCCGCGAGGTTGACATCCGACTAGGGGATATTGTAGTCAGCAACCCTGTGGCGACTTCTCCAGGTGTTGTGAAATACGATTTCGGCAAAACCATGCATAACGGCAAGTTTGAACGGACAGGGTCCTTAAGCAAACCTCCGCCATCTCTACTGGCAGCGGTCTCCCGCCTACGTACCGAGCACGAAATCCAGCCCAGTCGAATTCCCTCCATACTGGCTGACATGGAACATCGCTATCCATCCATAACGCAATACTTCTATAGTTATGTTGATTACGATCGATTGTTCAAAGCCCACATATAAGCATATTGGGGCCGACTGCGACAATTGTGACTCGTCGAAGATAGTTAAACGAAGCCCACGACCTGATCAGTCTCCACATATTCACTATGGTACTATCGCCTCTGGAGATAAAGTAATGAAGTGTGGTCGAACCAGAGATAGCATTGCTAAGGAACTTGGTGTATTGTGCTTCGAGATGGAAGCAGCTGGGTTGATGGACAACTTTCCATGCTTGGTTGTTCGCGGTATTTGTGACTACTCAGACTCCCACAAGACCAAACGATGGCAGAAGTATGCCGCTACAACTGCAGCGGCTTACGCCAAAGAACTTCTCTGTCTGACACCACCAAACGACCATCACGAATCTCACAAGAGCGATGGCTCGCTTAGTGACGGTATGTTTGCTTTGTTTTGTTACGAGTTGTCTCTGGCTGAACTAATCGCAAATAGCCCAAAAGAAGTTAGAGAGGTTAGAGAGCTTTACGAGTTCTTTGAATTTCGATCACATCGATAACAGATACGCGAACATCAAGGAAGCTCACATCCGAACTTGCGAATGGTTCCTTGAAAATATCGACTACAAGATATGGCTAGACGCAGAGAAAGTAAAAGAGCACCATGGCTTCTTGTGGATAAGTGGCAAGCCTGGAGCTGGTAAATCAACTATCATGAAGTTCGCCTTCAGTCGCGCCCGGATTGCTGCTGCTCCTCACGTAGCTGTCATCTCCTACTTCTTCAATGCCAGGGGCAGAAACCTCGAGAAGTCCATCGAAGGAATGTATAGGTCACTTATACTTCAGCTTCTGGCAGAGGTGCCGAAGTTGCGGGAGTTGGTCGACGATACAGCAGCGTATTCTGCTCAGAGCATCTCAAGCATGAGTTATCAGTCAAAAGTATCGTTTTTCCAAGGCTTCTTTAGCAGAGAAATTGCAAAACTCGGCCAGCACCAAGTTATCTGCTTCATTGACGCTCTTGACGAGTGTGATGACGATCAGGTTAGGGAGATGCTGGAGTTCTTCACAGACGTGGGACAGTGTTCTGTTCAAAACAACATTAAGCTCTACATATGCTTTTCGAGCCGCCATTATCCCTATTTGGATATCCCGTACTGCCAGAGGCTGACTTTAGAAGATCAGATGGGTCACACCAGAGACATGAAGTTGTATATTCAAGGGAAACTCAAGATTGGAACCTCAAACCAAAGCTAGGAAATCCCAGCAGAACTTTTATCGAGATCATCCGGAGTGTTCATGTGGGTAGTGCTGGTTGTCGAGATTTTGAACAAAGAGTTTCGGCAAGGTCGTATATTCGCAGTGAAAGCAAGGTTGGAGACGATACCCTCTAAACTGAGCGACTTATTCAAGGATATGTTGACTCGGGACGAGGAAAACATGGACGACTTGCTCCTCTGTATTCAGTGGCTAGCCTTCGGCGAAAGGCCCTTGCGACGTGAGGAGTACTACTTCGCCTTAGTCGCCGGACTCGACCCTAAAAGTCTTAGCGAATGGAATCCCATCAACATCAAAGAGGATTCTATGGAGAAGTTTGTTATCAGCTCTTCCAAGGGTCTTGCTGAGATATCGACTGAGTCTCAGGATACGCGGGTGCAGTTTATTCACGAATCAGTTCGGGACTTTTTGCTCAAGAATGACGGGCTGAAATTTATTTGGCCTGAATTAGGAGACAATTTCGAAGCAAGAAGCCATGAGCGACTCAGAGACTGTTGTTACAACTACATAAAACTCGACACATCACCCTATGTCGCCGAAAACAACTTCCTTTTGGACTTACCTTGGAATTCGACCAGAAGCCTACAGGAAGAGGTGATCACAAAGTTCCCGTTGATGGAGTATGCGACCAACAAACTCTTATATCACTCTGAGGTAGCAGCAAAAGAACTACTCCAGGGCCAATTCTTGCAGGAACTCTTCCAAACTAAAATATGGGTTCGCCTTCATAACCTTTTCGGACGTTCAATATACCCAACAAAACCGACAGGCAGCCTTCTCTACCTTTTTGTAGAGAATGGGTACTCTCTTCTAATAAAAACAGCACTAGATTTTGCGATTTCTGCACTAATTAATCTCGAAAAATATAAAAATCCAGTCATGATAGCGGTTAGGAATCGCAACCTTTATGCAGTCAGAACCCTGTTGCAGTACAACACTAGAGGAGAACAGAGCAGCAACATGCTAGAGCCTCATGCAAAACAAGTCGACAGGCGTAAGGCTGCCTTTGTCAACGACCCTGATGAGATCGGGCGAACACCGCTATCGCTGGCTGCAGAGATGGGGTATCTTGAGGCAGCAGAACTCTTGCTTGACGCAGGCGCAAACGCTGGTCTACCAGATAAGAATGGCAAATCCCCACTACACTGGGCCATTTTTACAAACCGAGACACCCCAGACTCAGGATCAAGTAACATAGGTCTGGTGAGGCTCATACTTGGTCGTTCCGGTACCTTTGGTAGAGATTCCATCCTCGAAAGTGGATCAACAGAACCCTTAGACGACGATCCTGACGCCAGAAGGAAGTCACCAATCCCAAGAATGGCGGATACTTCGGAAACGCATTACATTGCCACTACTTCGACGCCAATCGTGCGTCTTAGTCAAAAGTGTATCAATGATGCCTTTGCTTGGGCAGTTAATTTGAGACAGGATGCTCTTGCAGGTCTTCTCCTTGACAGAGTGCCTAGCGCATGTTTTGCGACTGGTAGCCTTGCAAAGGTTCTTCGCATCGCTATCCGCTCAAAAATGGTCATCTTGCTAAGATCGCTACTCAATAAGGGCGTGGATGTGAATGGGGTTGTCCACAACGGACAAGCAGCACTTCATTTTGCCTGCAGTCACAAGCAAATAGCTGCAGCGAATGAGTTGCTAAGAGAAGACCCGGGTTTTCAAGCATTTGGTTAAAAAGACAAGTTGCTTTCTCAACTCGTGCACATTTTCAGAAGCCAAAACGGTTGGAACGATTGGGAAAAGAGGATGAGCAGTCAGTTTCAAGCACACCTATTCAAACATGATAGTTTGTTGGCGCCGTGAGATAAGTTTTAGGATATGTGGGACGGGAACAGTGAGATGTGAGATTGGAATGACAAGATAGTGGAAAAGGGAAAGGGGCAAGAGAGAATAGATAGTGAAACTAAGCTAGTCTAGAGTAGCTTCATTGCGACTGCAGATGTATGCGGTCTAGCCACGTTGGATAGGCTAAGCTGTTGTTAAGAGATATTACTGTAGATTATTTGAGGCGCTACCTAAGGCGGCGGGTGATCCAGCTGCACCTGAGGCGTATACTGGTGCAGATCGAGATTGGATACCTACTTTGCGCGCTTGTATGGCACCCATTTCTTGTCACAATTCAATAATCAATCTGTACTAGAAGAAATGTAACTGTTCTTAATCTTGACAATGTATTGATGATCCAATGGCTTCACAGTTGTACCCTGGACACTTCGTCGTTGCATAGAAGGCATGTATTCTGTACGACAGATGGAGAAAGCATCCGCCTATGGTGGCTCAATAGACAAAAGGCTGAACGCCAATAGATGCGATTATAGTTGACGTCGTCCTTGATTCACCATTAGCCATGATTCTAGGGAACCTGTCTTGGGCTATGAGGAAAATAAGGTAGATCCTACTAGACGCAGACACATTCGTATCGAGGGTCAAGGTTGAGGCCACATTCACAACCGCCAATTCCTCCAATAATGTTGGTGCATTGCTCGCCCTCTGTAGGGCAAGATTGCCAATTCTGTCGTTCCACGATAGACGGACCAAGTTTCGACACCGGCGAGGCCAAAGTCAAGCCAGCAGCAAACGCGACAACGCTTACAATGGCCGAGAAACGCATTGTTGGAAAGAGCGAGAAGAAAACTGTTCTGATAGGAGCAAAAGTAGACGAGGGAGGAGTAGCGCATTTTCACCATGGCTGAATTGGTACTTAATATAGTAGAACAACGTCGGTTCCGTCGGACTTTCACGGCCACACTGGGAGTTAGAAAGAACGCAAGAGGTGGGGCACAAGTACCAGACGTATCCGCGAGTCATCCGCAGCATGACCTCTGGTTTATGACTATCCGAATGCATTAGTTATATTGAAATTACGGGCCAAAGCTGTTGAAAATCACAATTGACTTTATGGTTGTGGGGCAACACCAAATAAGACCGGGTAACATGGCCTATCTCCGGTTGTGAAAAGTCCGCCTCGCCGAGTTGCGGAAGCCTTTTCACTAACAAGTCGTATAGATTCTTCCTTTGACACACAACTAGCGGAGAGTATAAGTCACTGCTGTTGAGTCGGCTCTCAAGGTTCTGCCCAAAGAGAGCACATGTGCCAGATACGCCACTGTGCCGTCTATATTATCTGACAGTAACTGAACAAGAATTGGCTTACTGAGCCCCGAGATAACTGGTTTAGTTCATGTCAGACTCTGTGCGATTTTCAGACGTTGAGTCGACTTATTAGCGGAAGTATCCAAAGTTCTATTATTCAACTCCAAGCGTAGGTAACCGTGTGGAACTTGCTCTTTATCGAGGACGTTGTTTACCATTTCGAGCCAACAAAAGAAAGGCGATACTCAACAAAATGAAATGCCTGTGCTGTTTGTTGCATTTGCAGCTGAGCAGCGCATAGACAAATTGATTTTTACACATTCTGGTGCATGTTCAGTTCAATGCCACGAGACAGCTTGAGCAAACCCAAGATGCATGCCTTCAGTTGGATGACATAGACAGAACCACTTGATACTGAGAGTGGATACGAGAGAAGGAAGGATGAACACTATTATTGGGCCTCTTTTCTCTGATACTCGTAAACATAGGTTTCCGATTGGAGAGAGTTACTGGACATGGTTTCAGTTGGCTGCCTATTAAAAGTTGCCTTGGATGCTAAGTAATTTATTGGCAGTCATTGGGATAAGAAGCACCCCTAGAATGGGGGTTCATCAAGGGTGTGATTGGGCCAAACGCGAGCAGTCTCACACAAACTGTAGGCGACTAGGTCATCAGGAGCGAGATGTGCAACTCAAACCATGCTACACTGTCTACGATATGGTCTGTATTTTCGTTCAGTAAGCCTGTATCTGAGACTTTGCATATGTCTGTTGCGGAAGAGGCGTAGGTGTTTAGGTACTTCTCAGCCACTGGAACGGCGCTTTACTACCTAGGCAAGAGGGTCCCAGCCCACCGTTAAAAGACCGTGCGAGAAACTCTGGAATGCCAGGCTGAATCGGATTTCTGCACAGTACATTACATAGACCCTTGTTAAAGCGGACCCTTATCGGGGGCGGGGTGTTCGATAAGGATTTTTTTGCGACCGAAAATGTTTGCACAGACGGGGATCTCGACTACACCGGCTTCCATCGTCTCCCAAAGTTGATCCCGACGGATTGGAATACGACAAGCACTATGTCGACTCCAACTCTTGCCGAGAAGCTGGACAAGATCCGCTCTCCGGGTCTTCAGAGCCAGAAGAGGGTGAGTCTCTTTATTTTTGCCGATTCATCGTCTGGGAGCATTGCTAATACAGTCGGTAGACGGCGGTAGTCCTCGAGGCGGTCGACACAACGTTGAAGGAGCAGAACGCCCAACCCACCCCGACCGGCTACTTCGCCGCGCTTCTTGGCCTCCTCACCCAGGCTGTCGAGAGCGGCAACGTTAGCTCCGACACAACGACCTCAGTTGTTTATCTTCTCGACATCGTCACTCCGTTTGCGCCTCAACCTCTCCTCCGCGCCAAGTTCACCCAAATTCTCACGTCGCTCGCCCCCGTGCTTCTCCAGCAAGATGCCGAAGCACTCCTTTTGCGGTCGTCTATTGGCTGTCTCGAGTCCCTACTCCTCGCACAAGACTCGGGCGCCTGGGAACTCGGCGTGACCCAGATCGGTCCCCGCAGAGCCGTCGCCGGTCTCCTGAACCTCTCCCTCGAGCACCGCCCGAAGATCCGAAAGAGGGCGCAAGAAGCGCTGCGAAATGTCCTCAGGAACCCTCCTCCGAGTCCCTCGCTCGACCATCCCGCTGCCGACATGTGCGCCCATACCGCTCTCGCCAACCTCGAGGATATCGCCGGAAAGGCTGCGCAGGCGAGAAAGCAGAAGGGAGCCGAGTCTGCACACGATCCAGCTCTGATTCATGCCCTTCAGCTGATCAAGACCATTGCATCTGCTAGTGGAGGCTGGCCTAGCAAGAAGATTGAGTCTTTGTGTGAGTTGCTGCTCGGAATTTCGAGATCAGGCAACGAGTACATGACGATGGCCACCTTTGAGATTTTTGAAATGATTTTTGAGGGTATGGCCGACGAGGTCGCTTCTGCCAAGCTCCCACGACTTATGGAAATCATTTCCGAGCTGCGGCCCGCCGCGAACGACACACAGCTGATCCCCCCATGGCTGGCAATTCTCTCAAGAGGATACGACGTTTCCGCACAAATCGAGCCCGAGGACGTTTTCCAGAACCTGCCTGAGATCTTTTCCATGGTCGCTCAGTACCTGGAGTCGCCCGCACACAACATCCGAATTTCCGCCTCTGAATGTTTGGTTTCTTTCATGGCGAACTGCATTCCTAAGCAGGTTATTCTTGAGCCGTCCATCTACGACGAGAAGACACTGGACAAGATCGCCAAGATTGCCGAATCTTTGCTCAGCGTCAAGTACCAGCAGGCCTGGATGGAGAGTTTCAACGTTTTTGGAGCCATGTTCGATTCCCTGAGGTGGCGAGCATACCCGATGATGCTCAACATCACCAAGGCCGTCGGAGAGCTCCGTGGTAGTGACTCGTTCCAGGGCAAGAAGGAGGCTGACGAAGTCATTGGAAAGGCCATCCGCGCCATGGGTCCCGAGGCTGTTCTCTCCATACTGCCTCTGAACATCGCTAAGCCCGCCAAGGGTCAGCAGGGTCGCGCGTGGATGTTCCCCATCCTCCGCGACTACCTTAGCAACACCAACCTTGCTCATTTCCGCCAAGAGATGGTGCCCCTCAGTGAACTCATGTTCCAACGGGTGCTGGACCACGGCAAGGCGGAGAAGACTATGGAAGTCAAGATCTTTGAGACTCTTGTGCAGCAAATTTGGGCAACCCTGCCTGGCTACTGCGATCTCCCGCTTGATGTAACAGAGGCGTTTGACCAGTCCTTCGCTGAGCTTCTCGCAAACATTCTGTACAAGCAAGTCGAGTTGCGTCTTGAGGTTTGCCGAGCGCTCAAGATCCTCATCGAGTCCAATCAGGCCATTGCTACCATTGAGGATGACAGCGAGGAGGACCTGGTGCTCCAAAGCCGTGTCTCCAGAGCTACTGCGAAGAAGAACCTGGAGCACCTGGGCAGCTTCGCTGGCAATATGCTTGCTGTTCTGTTCAACGTTTACACCCAGACTCTGCCTCAATCAAGAGGTCCCATCCTCCTCACTATCAACGCCTTCCTCAGCGTCACCCCCGAAAAGGAGCTTATCGACACCTTCGACCGGGTTAGCAAGATGCTTGCAGCGGAACTGCAGCAGACTGCCGACCAGGAGAAGCCCAAGCAACAGCAAAAGCAGGGTGCGATGCCCTCAACAAGCAACACCCTGATGGATCTAATCATCACCATTGCCGTTTACCTGCCCCGCGAGAGCTACACGGCCCTGTTCGAGATCGCTACTGTCATCATCTTCAAAGAGAATGAGCCGCAGCTGCAAAAGAAGGCTTACAAGTTGGTCCCTCGTCTTGCCGAGTCCGAAACCGGCAAACTGGCACTCGAAGCACGCAGCGACGAGCTGCAGCAAATGTTCCTGACGAGTGCTGAGAAGGTGTCGGCTCCTGCTCGTAGAGAGCGTCTGGGCGCCCTGTCTGCCCTCCTCCCTTATATCCCCGACACCTCTCTCCACTTCGTCCCGTCCATCCTTAGCGAGGTCGTCATTTGCTGCAAGGAGAACAACGAGCGCGCCAGAGAGGCTGCTTACGATCTTCTTGTTCAGATTGGTCACCGCATGGAGGCTGCGAACGGCGCTCCCATTGACAACACCAAGGTCCCTCACATGCCTGCGGACGCGCCCGCCGGCAAGGCCAACCTGGAGGAGTTCCTCACCATGGTCAGCGCTGGTCTTGTTGGTAGCACCCCCCACATGATCTCTGCGTCCATCACCGCCCTCAGCCGTGTGCTTTACGAGTTCAGAAGGTCCCTGAGCACACAGACTCTTGCCGACCTTGTCCAAACCATGGATCTCTTCCTGACCTCCAACAACCGCGAGATCGTCAAGAGTGTCTTGGGTTTCGTCAAGATCTGCGTCGTCAGTCTTCCCTCGGAACTCGTGATCCCTCGCCTGTCGTCTCTTGTTCCCAACCTCATCATCTGGAGCCACGAGCACAAGGGCCACTTCAAGAGCAAGGTCAGGCATATCCTGGAGCGCATGGTACGCAAGTTCGGTTTCGACCTCATCAACCAGAACTGTCCTGAAAGCGACAGGAAGCTCATCGTCAACATCCGCAAGACCAAGGAGCGCAGTAAGAAGAAGAAGGACGCCGCCAAGCAGGCTGGCGAGGAGAGTGACGAAGAGGATGGCCGCCAGGGACGCAAGTTCGACAACGAGCTGGACCAGGCTCTCTACAGCAGCGACTCGGAAGGCTCCGACGACGAGTCCGACGACGAGGGCGCGGCCGCAGGCCCCAAGGGCAAGCGCGCCAACCGGAAGGGCGGTAACACGTATATCGTCGAAGACGAGGATGAGCCGCTTGATCTGCTCGACCGCAACGCCCTGGCCAACATCTCGTCCACCAAGCCCGTCAAGATGCGCAAGCCCACCAAGACCAAGGCCCGCACCGATCTTGACGGCAAGCTGATCCTCGGCAAGGACGACGAGGCGATGGAGGTCGACGGCGCCGAGAACGACGGCTCCGGCGTCAACGCTTACGTCGCCGCGCTCAAGGGCAAGGACGTCGCCAAGAGGGGTCTCCGCGGCAAGCTCAAGTTCAGCAACAAGCGTGGACAGGACGATGAAGAAATGGAGGACTTGGACGATGGCGAAGCTGCGGTCGTCAAGGCTCAGGTTGACAAGAGCCGGGGCGGCGGCAGGCCTTTCCGCGGCGGACGTGGTGGTCAGGACCGTGGTGGTCGCGGTGGCGATCGTGGCGGCCGTGGCGGTCGTGGCGGACGCGGCGGCAAGGGTGGTATTGCCGCCGGCCGCAAGGGCCTCGGCGAGGACCGAAGACGGGGAGGACCCACGTCGAGCGGAGGTGTCAACAAGGGTCGGAGGGGTGGTGGACGTAGATGAGACGTCGTCGGATGTTTTGAGGGTTTTGGTGATATTTAGTGTGATTATACCCATTCAATGAGGTTAAAAGCGACCCCGAGTTGAAAGGGAAAGGGTCTCAAAAATGTCGGCGTCTTGTCGGGTACGGTCAATAGAGAAAAAAACGAAATTGGTATTTACAACGATTGACTGGAATACGTATATGCACAGAGGCAGCAACCTGTCATTGTCTAGTGTCATGGCGGTTGTTGGTTAAACACGCCCCTGTTTCGACTCTCGGCCTGCTTCAAACCCAGACCAGGGGCTTTTCCTTCTTCATTATTGAACATTGCACGCCGAGCCCCCCTCTCTCTCTGCATGAAAGACACAACCAACCACTTGCTTTGCAGCTCCTCTCCAGTGGAAAAGAGAAAAAGAGAAAAAAAGCACATCGTAATGGAATCCTTAAACAACCCGAAACTCCGGAAGCCGCACTCTCGACGGGCTTCTGTTTGCTACTGGTACTTGCTGCGTGATCTTTATCTGAACTTGCTGTAAATGACGGCGATGATGAGGAGAACGAGAATGGTGATGATGGAGATGGTGATCACCCGATTGGTAGCCATCCTTGCATGATGTTAGCCTTTGTCGGCCCCCATAGTCTAACGGGGTATAAGGGACGATATTTACCTACGTGCCATCCCCCGCAACGTCTTGACGCTACGGTCCACGTATCCCTCGCTTTCAAGCAGACGGTCGTGGGTGTGCTGGATGGTCTCGCGCTGTGTGTGCAAATCGCCAAGAATGCTTGCACCGATGCCCTCCGTCTCGTTGGCGAGCGCCTGGCTGGCCTTCAACCGCTGCGTGGACCTGTCGAGGCGGTCGGTGCCCGAGAGCAGCTGCTGGCGCTGCTCGAGCTGGACGTCCTGGCCGCTGCCCGAGGGGTTGTCGGTGTAGCGAGCGCCGAAGAGGGCGGCGCGGTCGTCGGCGAGGGAGCGAAGCTTGCGCTTGTGGCCGTCAACGTCGGACTCGTGGTTGCGGAAGCGGGCGTTGATCTTGGAGCGCAGGGTGGTGGGGATGTTTGCCTTTTCGAGGCGCATCTGGGCGAGCAGCTCGTCGGCCTCCTCGAGGGCACGCTCGGCGGACGAGAGGGCGGCCTTGCGCGGCTCGCCTGACAGTTCGGGGATCTGGTCGAGCTTCTGAACGAGGTCGGCCTGAACAAGCTTCAGCTCCGCTTCGTAGTCGCTGAAGCGCTCGGAGCCAGGCTCGGTGTCGAGAGGGTTGGACATGGTGGCGGTTCGGTAGGTTAGCGTAAGAGGGATATGCGTGGCTTCGCCTTCCAGGGGCGATACGGGGATGATTGAGAAGGTGAAGCGGCCTCCTTTTCAGATCGTTCGTTGAGTCAAAAGGGAATCCGTACTTCGTTCGTGGATTATCGTGATCGATGGTCGTCAATACGGGTTCGTTGGTAGTTGTAGGTCGTAAAGGTGGGAAATCCGAAAACGGTCTGGATGCGGCGGGTTCGGCTTCGTCGTAGTGCTGGATGGTGCTTGGTCGCATGTCGTCTGCGTAAGTCAGGGCCGGCCTTGGCGACATCATGCTCCCGAGTGGCTGGTGCACCAATCGGATACCAGCAAGGTGCCTGGCGTCAGGCTCCAGCCACTGGGACCCGAGTGGGAAACTCCTCAGGTCCAGACACGTCCGGACGGACACTCTGGTGGCAGTGCACGTGACTTTTATGGTCCTAGCGCCTGCAGCCCGCGTCTCGCCGCCGGCCTTTTTATGAGAAGCCGCTCTGCGCAAAAACTTCGTTTCCTTCTTCTTTTTTTTCCCCTCAAGTTGATTATTTACCCCGGCTCTAGAAGAAAACCGGCTCTGCGTCGCCAGGGAGGGAGACACTTCGGTGTCTCCTTCCACTTGGACGCAGAGTTGAACTTTAAGCTGGGCAGACTGATGGCGTTGAATAAACGTCACGGCGCTTTTAAGAATTGGAAACTCGAACCACCGTTTTCCGATCCCGTTGAGTGTACGACATATTTTCGCCCTGAAAGGCATGTTGTGACTTGTGCCCCAGGCCGCCCTCATGGCGCCTGCACAAACTTGCTTGACATAAGCCCTGCATGTAGAAAAGCAATCCTGCCTGCCTGGGTGTCTCTTGCCCAGATAAAGCATGATGGACGGACATGTTCACATAGTCTTCGTAAGCCGGTGCTGGCCTCCTTAAGGCTGCCTGGATTCGAACCAACCATGGCCCGCTGAAACGTGCTTGGAGTGTATGTCAAGACTCCCGGTCGAAGCCAGGAGCCTAAACATGATAGGCAGTAAAGAGTCGTCATTCAATGGTCTGTTGAAGATTTCATTCTCATCAATCAATCGATACCAGAGACACATGATTTCGCCCATACCAGGGACGTCCAAAGACCCAGGCAGCAGAGTCTTCGTGATCATCCCATGGCCGTTGCGTCGTCCTCACACGCGTTCGGCTACGCGTCGGGTCAATTTAGCACGTGTTGGCGTGTGAACTCCGAAGGATTCAACAACGCCGTAAGAGCCATCCATCAGATGCGCTGTCCGGCGTTGGTTTTGTACGGGATGATCCGCAGCCGTTGAAAATGCGAAGTAGAGGATTTTTTTCCATAAATGTACTCCGAGAAATCTCTGTTATCACCGCCAGTGAGCGCAAAGAATGGTTTGCAGAGAGAAGTTTTCACATCAGACCCTTCCCTCGTCGAAAAACCGGCAAAAAGGCCGTCCACTCAGGCGGCGACCAGCCATTGTTCGAAATTTTCACCCAGGCGCGGCCCACCCCAGGCAGAAAGCCCACGAAAACCCACCCAGCAGACCCATGGTCCGTGCACCGCTGCCCGCCTGGCCGAAAATCTATATAATGGCGCCCTCCCACCGCGCATCTTAGGATTTTCTTCTTCTTTTTTCTTCATGTCGACAATACTTCAGAGAATCATTTCTATAGTATTCGACCCTCTCTTGGTTCCCTAAAGGAGCCACAGATCCCACCCTGGTTGATGAGTGATATCCTCGACACCCTAGAGTGAAGAACTCTGGTTGCCCTCGCACCTTCCGTCAGGAAGGCGGCATATGGACTTTGTCTTTTGCTGTATAGAGGGCGGTGATGATCTCGTCCCCGTTCGTGGTCTTGCCTTCGGGCGCACGGTCGGGGTGGGTGTCGATGGACGTCTGACAGGCTTTTTCTTTTTCATTGCTTTCTGGAGCTGGTCTCTGGTAGTGAGGAAGAAGTACTTTCCTCAAGTTGATGGTTTAGCATAAGAGCACGGTGCAGTATTATCTGGACGTTGAAGACATGTGATGTGGAAACCACCATGTCGCTGTAGTTGCTGGTATTATGCCTAAATGTATGCCGAGTCTGATTAGAATGTGTGAAGAAGAGCTGCTCACTGTTTTCCACTCTGCGCAACATCTGAACCCATTTTCAGGTTTCTCGGTGGCCTCACTTCCTCGTTGATCGTCGTGGTGCCATGCTCTACTCCTGGCCTTGGTTCATCCACTCCACTGTTTATCCACCGAGAAATCAGACTGAAAAATATTGCCGTCGCCACAGTGAAGCTGAACAGACGTCGTTGTGACCTTTCCCGGCCTCCTACTCAACCAAAATCTTGACCGGCCAGCAGCCACTGTGGCGCTCGGATCGTGAGCCATCGGGCGGGACCCACGACAAGGAGTGGGGGGTTGGGAGCTGGGGGCAGTCAGGAAACGCCAGAGCTGTTGGGGTGCAGGGGTTGGTCATTGCAAGCGTCATGGCGCGTGGGAAGTCCGGAAGAGAGCTGAGCTGAGTTTCGTTTCATCGCATCGTGATCCGCTGGCCGAACACCTGCCGAACTCCTCTCGACCAGCACACCTCTGTCCCACCCGTGATCCTGTCACCGCTGCAGAACTTATCCCAAAAAAAAGACCGGAGACTGTCGTGCCTTCCCCAGTCCTCACTGCCGATAGCCACGTGTCGATCACTTCTGGCTTTGAAGCTTCCTATCCGGGACTACTCGCATACTCGAAGACAGAGGCCAAGATGCCTCCAGGCCAGCCGCTGTAAGTTTGTTTTTCGCATCCACTGTCTCATTAGGCTTCGTTCTTACTTTCATTCACTTGCTCGCTACCTTGCCCACGACCGCCGCTGCTCTCCCTCCGCACACGTACCTACTCAAGAACACCCGGCTGCAGTGTTGCACATGTATCCGTTACTGCTCCCTCTCTCGAACCTGCCCGCTACCTGCAAGGTGCAGCGCTAGGCGCTCTGGTCCATAATCTGACGGTGCTGCCATGTCACTATTCGACGTCGCCTCCGCAAACTTGATACTTTGGCCCTGCCTCTAAAACTCGGGGCAGGGTGTCTAAGTGCAGTTGGGGGCAGCTTGGCTGCTGCGGCATGTGCGAACCATTGCCCTTCTTCCCCAAATCGTCGTCCGTGGCTTGCACCTGAACTTGCACCTGAACCACCCCTCCTTGCCGTCACTTCAAGACACAAGCCACTGCCGGCCTCCCTGATTCTTCCCGCTGCCGCTCTATATATGCGACTGCAGCATTGCACCCCTCCGCGCGCGCGCGACGTACAGACGAGGCTTTCCCAGAACCGCATCTCCTTTCTCTCACCATCTCCTTGCTTCAATAATGCCCCGTAGACCACCCTCGCTGGAATCCGTGGGTTCCCCCATTGACTCCAAGTTTAGGAAGAAGGTTGCCGTCGTCGGCAGTGGATGCGCAGGCATCGCTGCTCTCTGGGCGCTGAACCGAAGTTACCATGACGTCTACATGTACGAGGCCTCGACGAGGCTCGGCGGACACACCAACACCGTGACGTGGAAGAATGGAAAATACGAGACCAGTGTAGACACCGGCTTCATCGTCCTCAACACGGCGACATATCGTGAGTCTAGCCTCGATGACCCCACATCAGAGTCGCACTCACATGGTTTCTAGCAAACTTCATCAACTTCCTCAAGAGGGTCAAGGTGGATACAGTACCGACGGAGATGACGTTCGGTGTAACCCGGGATCATGGCTTGTTCGAGTGGGCTGGCACCAGTTTGGATGCTGTCTTCGCCCAGAGAAAAAACATCTTCTCGCCCCGTATGTGGCGCATGATCTTCGACATCATCCGCTTTAACCAGTTCGCTTTGGACCTGTTGATGGCTGACGACGAGAACGATGCTGCCGCGATGAACGGCGACAGTAAAGGAGCTAAGAAGGAGGAGACGATCGGCGAGTATCTCGAACGAGAAGGCTATTCAGATGCCTTCAGGGACGATTATCTGATTCCCATGACTGCCGCCGTATGGAGCACGAGCCCGGACAAGTGCACCTTGGACTTTCCGGCCGTCACCCTAGTCCGTTTCATGTAAGTGCCCATCTGCTGCTTGCAAGTGGGATTCAACACTAACTTGGACCAGGTGGAATCACCATCTCCTGTCGACGGTTTCTACGAGGCCTCAGTGGCTTACTCTGAAGAAGTGCGGCAAGTCGTACATCGACGCTGTAATGAGCGGCTTTCCTTCTAATCACCTTTTCCTCAACACGCAAGTTACTCAGGTTACGAGTGAGGAGGACGGTAGGGTGCGAGTGCACACTCACAACGGCAAGTCCGATGTCTACGACCATGTCATCCTGGCGACACACGGAGACCAGGCTCTCAAGATCATTGAAGGCTCGGCCACGCGCGAAGAGAAGGATATCCTCTCTGCATTCAAGACCTCTGAGAACTCGGTCGTCCTCCACTCTGATCTCTCGCTGATGCCGGCCTCCGAGAAGGCTTGGTCCAGCTGGAACTATCTTACCCTTTCCTCACCTTCGACCGGCAAGCAGAACATCGACCAAGTCTCACTTACCTACAACATGAACATTCTCCAGCACATCCCTCGCGAGACGTTTGGCGACGTCCTCGTCACGATGAACCCGCTGCATCAGCCGAACCCAGACACGATCCAAGGCTCCTTCACCTATCGCCACCCCCTTTACACTCCCGCTGCCGTTCGTGCTCAAAAGCTTTTGCCTCGCATTCAAAACAAGCGAGGCATCAGTTACGCTGGTGCTTGGACGAAGTATGGCTTCCATGAGGACGGCTTTAGCAGTGGACTGCATGCTGCTCAGGATCATCTCTACGCCAAGCTGCCTTTCCAGTTTGTTGACTCGACCTACAGCCGTGGAAGAAAGCCTTCTCTCGGTCTTGGAGACCTCTTGGTGCGACTCATTATTCTTCTTATTCAAGTGTTTGTCATCAGAGTGCTGGAGAGGGCAGTGGGTGTGGCCAAGAGGGCGATATACCCCCGTGCGAGGAAATTAAAGAATGCCAAAGCCGCGTAGAGTTATAGTGCATTTGTTAATACCAGGAAGTGGAAGCAGAAATCTGCGAACAGTAGCGAATAGTAGCTGTGTACAATTTAGCAGGAGTGTTCAATGTTGTGATTCCTCAATGTAGTGTGACGTCGGATGAGTCTCCGTTTCCCGTCCTTGACCCGTGCTGCAGTATCCCTGTAGAACCAGGAGCTTCAGCGGAGACCCTGCTAGAAGACCCAGCGTCTGGACCCCTACAAGTCACTAAAGCCAACCCCTGTGGCGGAACAACCACCCCCGCCCATCCCGGCCTCTCGGTGCCAGCGCTCGCGGTGTGGTGCCTTTCCTCGAGCTAGGCCTCAAATCCCGATGAAGACCGGAATGGAGATTATGGCATGACATTGAACAAACCGAGCTTCCTCGACAAATCCTCCCGTATACACCACCGCCGCCCGCAATTATGAACGCCCTCCCCCGTCTTCCGTGGCGCGCTTCGTCGCAATCAACGCAGAAATGGAGCTGCTTCTTCTGCCAGCACGCCGCCCGTCCTGCGCCGCGCAGCACCATCCGATCGCCCGCCACTCGCCGAGCGGCCTCGACGACACCACCCAAGCAGACCGGTCCCAGCTTCGGCGGTGCGCCGTCGATGGAGCAGGTTCACGCGCATTATAAGCGCAGGAATGCCTCGACAGCGTAAGGAGACATGCAAGAAAAAACAATTGGAGGTTGGGGAACCGTGGGCTAAGCAAGCGCATGCGCAGATACTACACACTCAGCGTCATTCTCGGGACGGTCGCCCTGTCGTACGGCTCCGTGCCTCTTTACAAGATGGTCCGTCTACTTTCTCCTTGGCCTCCGAGCGTCCCCGGCTAACGAAACATCTAAGATCTGCCAAACGACAGGCTGGGGCGGCCAACCCGTCCGCGCCCACGGGCCGGACGTCGACTACAGCGAGGACGGTCTCGCCTCGCGCCTGGTGCCTGTGACCTCAGCCAAGCGCATCCGCGTCACCTTCAACTCGTCCGTCTCGGACGTTCTGCCCTGGAAGTTCACCCCGCAGCAGCGCGAGGTGCGCGTGCTCCCCGGCGAGACGGCGCTGGCCTTCTACACGGCCACCAACAACTCGGACTCGGACATCATCGGCGTCGCGACCTACAGCGTGACCCCGGGCCAGGTGGCGCCGTACTTCAGCAAGATCCAGTGCTTTTGCTTCGAGGAGCAGCGGCTGAATGCGGGCGAGACGGTCGACATGCCCGTGTTCTTCTACTTGGATCCGGATATGGTGAACGACGTCAACATGCGCGGTATCGAGACCGTGACGTTGAACTACACGTTCTTCAGTGAGTGGTTTGGTCTTTTTTATCCTTGGAATGGAATACGGAGTGCTGATGATATGATACAGAGGCCAAGTACGATGACAATGGCAAGTTCAAGGCGCCTTCGCCCATGGCCTAAGGAATACGAGCCCTTGGTCTCCTGGCCAAGGACAAGACTCAGCTTCGCCATTTACCACATTCCCCACTCCGGCATCTTTCACTGAGATCACTTTATATTAAAACCATCGAACCTGCGTAGCTTGGTTCTTCAGGCTCGGTTTGTGTTACATTACTGTTGTATACCCCCATTGGGGGGCAGAGCATATTACCAGGCGTTCAAAAAGCCATTACATTTGGCGGGAGACAAGTCGAGCTGCGCATAGACACACAGACCGGTTCTTGATGGCCAACGATCCTAGCACTCCGTCGGCTGATGTATCCATACGTAATGTACTTCGATTGCTGGGGTTGGCTGCCATGGGCGTTGCCATGAGAACATCTGAAGGAAGGACGCATGTATGATACCAGCGATGTAGAATGCGAGCACAGGCAGTCCAGCAGCTCATTAAGTCGGCAGCGCATTCAAGATGCTCAGTACTCAAGTAACTACGATTCCTGAGCACCACCGCGTCCACTCAGTGAAAGCGTGCCACGGTGAGGTGATGTTTCTGACGTCCTCAGAGTCAGATTCTTCTCTTAGTTAGATGGGACGAGAAGTGTTCGAAAGAGTGTTTGTTGTATAGAATGTAAGACGGTGATTTCAAACACTGGCTGCGTATAGCAAGCAGCAAGTCGAAGCATCTGATATCAGCATCTCAGAGAAGTGTGTCGGCCTTAGAAATCGCACTCGACCCATCCCTTATCTTATCGCACCACCCACCCTTAAGTCTCGGCCGACCATCCCCGGCTTCTGAAATTTTTCTCCTCCGAAAGGCGCCGGAAAGAGAAGCTTGGACCCCTGGCCAAACCGCCGGGTAATCCAGACCTAATCACGTGCTCCCCACCAAAATTTTCGAACGGCGCAAGCACCACCACGCAAAACTCCTTTTTCCCGGCATCTGGCACACACTTTTGAACTTTTCCTCGACTTGCGACGACCTCAACTTTTTTTCACTCCCTCCTCAACCAACGACGTTCGTACTAACGCCCTAGCCAAAATGACCAAGGTTAACAAGAGTACGTTCATTCTCCCGATGATGGCGATCCCCGTCAATTGAGGCAGATTGCTGACTTTTTCCCTTTGCAGTGGTCGCGTCCTCGCGCCGCAAGTCCCGCGCTGCCCACTTCGGTGCCCCCTCCAGCACTCGTCGTGTCATCATGAGCGCGCCCCTCTCCAAGGAGCTCCGCGAGAAGTACAACGTAAGTCCTACTCTGCTTGCCCGGCTCATGCCCAGCCTGGCTTTCCTCATCGAGGCCCAATCAATCTAACACTCTTACAAGGTCCGCTCCATCCCTGTCCGCAAGGACGACGAGGTCACCATCGTCCGTGGCGCCAACAAGGGCCGCGAGGGCAAGGTCACCTCCGTCTACCGCCTCAAGTACGTCATCCACGTCGAGCGCGTCACCCGCGAGAAGACCAACGGCCAGTCCGTTCCTCTGGGCATCCACCCCTCCAACGTCGTCATCACCAAGCTCAAGATCGACAAGGACCGCGAGTCCATCCTTGAGCGCATCAAGGTCGGCCGTGAGCTCCGCGTCAAGAGCAAGGCCACCGCCTAAATTCCTTCCTCTCCACCACACTGGAAAGCACTTGTCGGCATGAGCTATCCTCTTGAGTGACGGGCTGAAAAGTCTTCTCACGGAAGAGACGGAGACGCGAGACAAATGTCCTCCCCGACCCCCAAAAGCGGCAGTTCAAGGGAACCACGGCACAATAAAAACTAAGGACAAGAACGGCGAGCATACCAATTTCACGATATCCATCTTCGACGGCGGCGTTTTTCATGAGAGTCCTTGACGCGTTTTGGCAAACGGCAAATCTCCATTTGCCTGGAAAGGGAAAAGGGAAGACACGAGGGAAATACAAGGCTAAAAGCAAAAGTTCTAGAAAATCAAAATCGAGAAATTTCGTTTTTCTCAATGGCCACCTCACGCTTCCAACCCGTGAGATGCTCCATGGGAGGTCCTCCCGAAGCTATCTTCGACCCCGAACCGCTCCAGGTTTGGAGTTGTTGTTGTTGCCTCTTGCTATAAATATTGTGACCATGCTAACTGCTGCCGCTGCCGTCTATCAAGGCCTCTTGGAGGACAGCTGTTCCCCTATTGAAACTGGAACGTTCTCTCACGGTAGGTCCATTGTAGACAAACAATTTCCCGCTAGGATATCTCCGCGTCAACCACTGAGTCCATGGTTTTCGAGGTATACGACTGGCGAAGAGTAAACCAGTGGGGAGGCTTTTCCAATAGGAATCACCACCTCTCCCACTCTCGCCCGAAGATTTTCACTGAGCTTTGGCCCTGACGCTGGAAATTTGATGGTGAGGTACATGCACAATCTCCTTGTGTCTGCTTTTTTTTTTTTTGCTTTGAGCTATCGCGTAGTTCTAATACCTTAGTTAATACGATTCATAATACACGAAGACTTGGTCAACCCAATGTCTGATAACATCACTGGTCCACATTTTACCATATCAGGTGTAATCATTAATTCTTTCGAAGGCTTAACTAATCCTTTTCATTCCATCCATCTTCCGCCTCGCATAACAAAACCATATACCACGGATGAATGCACAAAGTGTCTTGAGAACGACCACGTACAGCGTCACAGCGCGGGCTCCTGAATATTTGAAATGAATGCCGTGGTATCGGAGGTGGCTGTAGCATAGGTCATCTCGACGTAATCTGTACAAGTGTTGGGAACGCAAATTCGTAATTATACAGGTGTAGCAGATGCCAAGTTGTTTCGGGTATGACATCTTACTTGGTTTGCTGCAAGCACCATTAGAATCACCTCCGTCGAGAATCGTGGGAGCACACAGTACTTACAGCAAAACGGCTGGGAGGACGATTCTCGACTCGACCATCAGCTGACGCGGTCAGCAAGCTCAAGCCGGCGTTCATGTGGCCTTCCTCGCTCAGCTTGGATGGGGACAAGCGGGTAGACTGATTGGCAACTTTGGCGATGGCAGGCGACAGCGAAGCTGCGGCATGGCCGATAGCGTACTGCGGGAGATAACCATGAGCATTCTCCGGTGTAACAGCGCCAGGAAGGGCAGTCGCTGCTGCCGTGACTCTCTCTGACCAGGTACGAACACTGCAGAAGTGTTAGTACAATTAGTTAGCATTGATAGAGGCAGCGACCGACCAAGAGTTGAAGTAGGCTCTCTCAGACTCTGATTCGACAACATTCTCGGACGAACCAGAGCTTTGCTTGGACTCATCAAGACCCTGACTGTTGAAGTAGGCGACGGGGCGCAATTTGTTGCGACGCTTCATGGGTGAAGTTACGTTGTCTGACTTGGTATCTCTCTTGATGTCCTTACCTTCCCTCTCTTTGAATGTCGGCTTTCCAAATGTCTCCTCGCGGTAGGGTTCCAAGGGGGCAAAGGGATCAAGATCCGCTGTTGGTAGTGTGAAGCCATAGTCTTGTTCGGGGCGACCGGTGGGCAAATTGGAGGTTACCATGCGAGGACGAGGCTTCTTCTCGGGGGAAATTGGGTAAAAGTCTTTTCCGTCGAACTTCGGGAACTTCTGGCGCAGGTGCTCAGGGGCGTCAGTCCAGAAGAGATGCTTGGCCATCTCTTCGTCTTGATTGAGAGGACGGTGGTAGATGTAATCCTTCAAGTCAGGGCTAGGATCCATTCCAAAAGGCACCTCGCCGACAAGATACGGCAGTCCTAGACCAGCATTGTCACGAGCAAATTTGGAGAACTCCTCGATGTCGTGGGCAGGTGTGGGAGGGGCGATAGAAGACAGCAGCCGAGACTCCTCAAGATTGGTGGGAATAGGTCCGTGGAACCGAGTGCCACGCGTGTCGTTCTCTCCGTTGATAGCTGCGGAGACGGGGGGTGTATTTTCGCTGGCATGGCGAAGATCCAAACGAGGCTGGAAGACAGGTGCCCGAGCAGCAGATACAGGAAGGCCGGTGGAAGGCTTACGCACATGATCAGACTCCTGTTGCTGTTGCTGCTGTTGTTGGTGTCTGGTAGGATCGAAGGACACCGGGGAGATGCTGGCGATCATATTGGAGTTGATGAAAGGAGCGGATGCCATGGAAGTATCTACCGCGAGCTTAACTTGGTCCTTCTTGCGAGATCTAGAGGCCTTGTGCTCCTCTGTTGTCTTCGCAGGAGCGTCCCAGGCGGGCTCGTTCTTGTTCTCAGCATCAGCCTTTGAAAAGAACAGTCTCTTGCGAGAATCGGTCGCAGACTTTGGCTCCTTTGAGACGTTGGGGTCGCTTTTCTCCTTCGTGTCGTTCCTCTGAGGAAGAGTGTTGTCTTCGAGAGCAAGTTCGCCCTTGAGCTTAATTTCAAAGTGTTCGATGTCGGAACGAAGCTGGCGAGCGTACTCCTCCATGTGCTTCTCGTCGATCTGATGACGGTTATACGCCAGTTGGGCTTCTGCTTTCTTGAGACTGGAACGGAGACCAGCAAGCTGGTTCTTGGTGATGATGCTAGGTCGAATGGACGAGATAGGGCAACTTTCGGCTTGTGCAGCCGACGTGAAGGATTTGGTGCCGGTCGCAGGGACTGGTTGAGGGGGCTGCTGGTAGAGCATCGACTGACCCATGGGGCTGAAAGCCATTGGCATCATTGGACCACCGGGAAACTGCATCCCCAGTGGCATCATTGGATGAGGCGGAAGAAACCACTGGCCGCCAAGCGGGGGCATGGGCATCGAGGGTACAGTCGGAGCAGCACCAGTCTCATGCTCTTTCTTGTCTTCCGGATTCCCGGCCTGATTTGCGCCACCGCTTAGATGGGAAAAGGCTGTCTGAGACGGAACCTGTGAGACAGCGAAAGGGGGCATCGCGAATCCGCCAAAGGGAGGCATTGGGCCAGGTCCTGTTGTTATCATAGAGAAGGCAGAGTGCATAGCAGGATGCATAGGGCCCATCAATGGGGGGCCGGGCAGGAACGGATTGCCGTTGAAGGCCTGCCCCAGGGGTGGCTGGGTGCCATTGACGTCTCCGGCAAACCTCTCTCTGCTACCCTTGCCAGTGGGGGATACGTGGGAGGCTTCGAGAGTGTTGGGAACGATTCTGCCTCCAGCAGTAACGCGAACATGAGTTGGAGATCGTACAGCTTCGTAAAACTGCTCAAATCCCTTTCGCTTCTGGTCAGGGAGCACGGGTCGTTGAGGAGGTGCCTCGGGCAGAGAATCGGGCTCGGCATCTTGTCCATCAAGCTGTCGACCGGCTTGTCCATCAAGTTGACTGACATCTCCGGCAGGGTGGCGAATAGTTTGGCGAACGGCCTGATCACGAAGCAGAGCAATGCCCTGAGGGGCTTGAGGTTTGATCGACTCTCGGCCCTCTAGGTCGCCTGAGGAGGACTTCCGGATTTCCATATTGTTCCTGGAAAGATATGGGAATCTCCGGTGACGGCCGAGATGCTTCTGACGCAAGATATCCGCTACAAGGGAAAAGTCAGTATTCTTGACCGGGGAAGATAAAGTCGGACAAATATGACAACATACTCAAGACAGGGTTGTCCTTGGCACCGTCAAGAAGCTTCTGCTCGAGTGAAGTCTGCAGCTTGGAACCACGAATGGTCAATAGCTCAGTGATGGTGTAGCGAGTCGAATCCATGGGGAGTATTTGGACGATCATATCGACAAAACTGTTGGCCCAGGATGTCAATTCTGTTGGTCACTGTTGAAACGGGGTCAGCAAAATCCGGAGACGTTGTTTGACGGATGGTCTGTGAACGTTCAGTGATACGTTGTAATGGTTACCAAAGACAAGATGTAGGCGTTGGTGGAGAGAGTCGGAGCAAGAGCCACTTGCTCACAGACTATTTCCTCGCAGAACTGATAGACTTGAGGGATAATAGTCGACCTGATGGGTGGGGGGAGGGGTGTTCCACGAAGCGAGAAGCTTACCAGAATCAACAGAGCGAGGCGACGAAAGGCTCAGCGAGAGTACTATGCATACAATTTTTGTCGTGAAAGGTGGTCTCAACGAAACCAAACCGACAGAACTAGAGTTCTTCGAGGGTTTCGGGCTTAGCAACAAGATGGCTGTGTTCCAAAAGTCGGACAGAAGAGCAAAATGAGGCCGAGCTGGCGAGGGAGGGATTGAGCTGTGTGATGCGTTGGTGAAAGATGGAGGATGAAGAGAGCCAACCGGCCTGACGGGTGAGTACGAAATAACAAGATGGTCGTTGCCTTTCAGAGCTTCAAGATTTATTGGCAGGTAAGCTGTCTCGGTGCCGAAGATAATCGGGACGGAAACTGCCCACCCAGGAAGAAGCGGAAGGAAGGAGCCAGATGAAGGACTGCAGGGCGGACGAGGCAGGTGAGGATTTGTAGCAGTTTCCGACAGTGCCAGGGAAGTCACCAAGTGAAAGACGAGATAAGTGAGCTAGAACTGGAACAGTTGTTCCGAAGGAAGCCCCCGCGAGTCTTAACTGTCAATGGGTTCACGACGACAAGTGCCCACCTGCCCAAACACTGTAGCTTCGTTAGCTGGGATGAATGTCTTTGAAGACATCTTGATCGAATGAAAATAGATCTCAAGATCATGCGAAGTAGCGAAGGTGAAGAATTACTCTTGATCATTTGGGTTCACAATGTCGTGAAGCGGAAACTGACGATCCTGTCACTAACTTGGTAATCATGAATAAGGCAATGCCGTAAAGCACTGGATTGATTAGCATGTTGCGTCATCACAGTCTTTAAATTTCTTAAAATCACAAAGGGCATATCGCTGGATCTCGTTTAAAGTCATCCAGCCTGTTACCTTGCTCACCGAGGAGGTCGACATATAACGGGGTTCTTCCCGTATGTCTTTATCCAAAGTTGAAAGACTATCCTCGATAAAGTAGAACAAAAGTTATGAGAAGCCTTGATAGAAGAACAAGGGAATCTTGCTGAGTTGACATATTGTCGTTAATTATGTGGAAACTTAGGAAGATGATGATAGCTACGAGCAGGAGAGTCCATCCGCCCACGGTATTTAGCCATCGCAATTGCCGTAAGCCAAAGGCAACCGCAGTCTGCTTCTGCTAAATATGATTACAATCTATGATTTCTGATCTCTCCGTTTTCAATGCGATCCTCCTTCACCTCCCGTTCATACTGCCAAGGAACCATTGTACCAATTCACATCCTGGCCCATGGCCGCCCTTCATGGCACTAGCCATGGGGAGACTATAAGGAAAGGCCTACACAAAGCCGGACCTACAATCACACCATCCAGACATTCCATCCGTCCCATTTCTATTAGTTTATGCCGAGTCGAAAGGGTTTTGAGCTTCTCCATTCTTCCAAGAACTTTTCCATTATCCACACATGACCCAATTTCAATCCAAAGAGATACCTATACGTCGAGACTCCCAACCGATGGAAGATTGGCTGCTGTCAAGCTCTGTAGCTCAAGAAATCTACAGAAAACCCCAGTAACGTGAACTCGTCAGAGCACCCATAAGATAAGAATAAAAAAAAGGTGATCCAGCTAGCTTCTGATGAAAGCGTAGCTCCAGCGGCTACCCGCCTCGGCCTCCGACCGGGACGGGACCGCCACGTGATTTGACCGAAGGTCGAAGTAGAACTGCAGGACCCAACTCCAGATGCCAATGTTACAAGCGATGTTTAACAGTACGCTTTCTGCTTTTGAGTTCTTGAGTCCCCAGCGGCTGCGATGCTGTCTAGCTTTCAACTTTCGGCCACACAGGGCATTCGGACAACACCCTTTCCGCTTCCTTAGCCCAAGATCCGAGGCGGGAGCGGGTGTCGAGGTCTTCAACGTGCAGTCGGCTTCTTGGAGTCCCGCTTCCCGGCGTTCATGATAACCCAAGCTTAGGCAATGCGATGGTCATCTGGGTTGGCAGGAACGGGCACCGGAGGATCGGGCTGAGGCTTGGGATGCGGCTTGTTTTCCTCTGTCATCTGGAAAACAACGGTGATCGATGGTGTTTTCTTGTCGAAAGGTCGGATAAGGTTGGACCGGCCTATTTCTGCGGATCACGATTGGGATGACGCTCGGGTTCGAACTCTCAAATGTCTGAAGTGACACGGCTGAAGCGGAGCCAAGCGGGGGAAGAAATGCGAACAAAGAGTTGGCTAGGGGCGAGGGGGTTGCTCAGAATGGGAGTATTGGAAACGAAGAGCTGAACCGAACGACCACCAAGCGAATCGACCCGGACGGCCGGCCTTTTTACATCTTGATCGAAAGCTTCCTCTAGACCCCATCTTGAGCAACCATACATACCACCGCACCACACCGCACCCCTGTGAGCCAAGCGCGCTCGAGCGGTGGGATGGATACGATGCGGAGAATACACACTCCACGGAGGACCTCCCGGTTAACTTAATGGCAGATACTATAGTTTCTCCTACGGGAACGTTTGCCGGAGGAGCACGTGGCTCCCAGCAATGAAACCTCGCTTTAGTTTGATCAAGGGAGCGACAACCAGACAAAGAGGGCGATGAGCAGACGCGTACCATGGTATAGGCGGATGGCGGCAAAGGGCGCCACTCAGGAAGTCCTTATGTTTTTGCCTGTATGACAGGCTTCTCCTAAAGTCTACTGACGGCGCACAGGCTTTGGTCTGTCACACTTTCCCTTGATACAGCCAGGGAGATACCACCCAAGACCACTGCTAGGGGGGCAGGGATCTGAACCCTGCGCGGTACCTTCAGCGAGCAACGATGCCAAAACGCGGATGAACATTTTGGATGGCGGCTGAACGCCTGGGCATTCACTCCAGACGGGTTATCGACGAGGGGGTCGGCACGCAACGAGGCTGCGCACGCGCTACGTCCGTGGCCTGCAATCCCACAGGGTCAACAGCTCGCCTCAGCTCGAGACTATTGCCGGATTGCAACAGCACGCGGGTTCCGAAGGCAGGCGACCCGGCCTAGCCGTAAGGTTGGTTGGGTTCGGTGAGCGGCAGATCGACTTGTGCGGGGCCCTCGCACGTCGGGCCCCCGACAGGGGAAGCCTCAAAGAACAGAGGGGCGCGCCGGAAATTGTTCAGGATCATGCGGTTCTGACAGGTTGCTGTCCCGCCTTGCTGGTGGTTGGTGTTCGCCATTGACGCGCCCCGCCTAGAGCTTGTTACCAAGCTTTTGCGCCCTGAAACGACAGGGTCGTGAATAGGGCCACAGGGATCAAAGTTGGGACTGAGCGGCCCGTGGACAGCATGTCCATTGCCTGAATGAGAAGATGTCGGCTCGCCGACTCTGGGCCCTTTCTCTTTCTCTTCCAGCCACGCTGAATGAAACAATGGAGGGAGTGAAACTGGGATTGTGACGACTGTAAGTTGTTTTTAGCGACGCCATGAGAAGAGACCAGGCAATCGTTTGAGGGACCTTGTTACAGCAGGACTCGAACCGATGCGGCGGGTCTCACATCCGGGACTCTGCACCGAGGGAGCAGCGCGCGGCTCCGTGCCGGGTGCTGGACACGTCCAAAGGCCGCCCGTAAGCGTTGCAGGCCTCTCGGTTCTGGTTGTCACGTCCCGACTTCATCTCTGAGCGGTTGAGGGCGCGCGCGTTTTCCGTTTGCAGCTGTAGCTCCGATGACACCATCTGATATGTAACACAGGGACAATAGTGCATGTTTTGCAAGACCTCATTCGATCCGACGGGCAAGCAGCACCAGCTAGTAATCCGATGGTTATCGTCGATCGGCAACAAGTGCTGTTACCATTGAGGCAAACGAGAGCGGGATGTCAGGGCGGCCCGAGCGGCGGGCGTGACCGTCGCATCTGTTTGGCGATTAACATGGGATGGGCTTTTATTGCACAAGGAGGCTACGGACAGAGTTGTCATCAACACACGTTCTCGTTACCACAATCACCCGACAATTGAGACGCTTGGGGAAAATTGCCCGCAACGCTAAAATCGAGGGCTTTCCCCCGGGTGGGCCGGAATCGAGGAAGTCGGCCGCCTGTGTGGCCACAACCACACCGCCGGGCTCACGGCTGTCTCGGTAACGTCGCCGGGCAGACGAGACGTGGTCGCCAAATGGATACGTACGCGGCGTCCAGATGCACTTTGTGAGAGAAGACGAACAAGTACCAACGCGACATGACATGGCATGAAAGCTAGGCGAACAGAGCGAAGACACTCGACACAGACAAAGTCAAAAACAGCCCAGTTCCCACGCCCGGGAGACGCCGGTGCTGACTATCATTGTCGCCCTGAGCGGCCCGGCTGACCTCAGGCATGGCATGGAGCAGAGAATGCAATGGCACCAAGGCTTTATGTGCCACTGACACGGATACTGGCTGATAAACTCGTGAGTACGTCAGAAGTGGCTTGGCACCGCAAACTCCATATTATTTTTCCGGCTTGCCATCCACCAGCCTCGGTCGTCGGGCCAAAGCAGCGAGGAGAGTGGAAGAGAGAGTGAAAAGGGGGCGGCTGCCGAGCCTAATTCTTTTCCCAAGCCGAAAGCCTCCCCAACCCCCACACTTGAACCCTTGAGGATTGGCGGTGTTTGGACGCTACCACCATCCTGAAGTCCGTCGACTGTCTGTCAATAAGAAAAGAGGGGCAGAAACCCAGCCAAATGAGGGGTATCCGGAGAAGGCAGACGCTCTGGAAAAGGGTTGCTGGCAACCCCCTCGTGCTCGTCAACCCGCCAACCTTCAAGCCACACCCTGTGCTGGACCTGTATCATGACTTGCAGCTAGGCTGACCACGGCCTAGCTGGGCTGCGCATTTGGTACTTGTTCTGCACCTTCAGGGGCTTACGAGGGGCCGCTTTTGACCGGATCCGTCGCCGTGCCCTCACTCATTGGCCAGGCCCCGCGGAGCCTCCCTTTTTTACCGCAACAACCGGACGGGCGACGGGGACGGCCTTGCACCTGTTCAGACGGCAATCTCACAAATGGTGTCGCTGCACTTGTTGAATTGGCTTCTCCGACCATCCATCCCTTGCCCCGCTATCCTTGCGTGCAGAAGAAGCACGGCACGCCGGTCCCCGCAATGGGAATGCGCAACTGGAAATGCATGTGAGGTGGGCAACTGCTGAGCGATCCAGCAACCATTGAGCCCCCTGAATGGCTGCCGCGGGCAAAGAAGAAGCCTGTGAAACCTTGGACTACCTTGGACCACCTTGGGTAGCTCGGCACATGTTGATGTCAGATGGTTTTACCCCTCCTCTTGTACAAGAGCTGAGGGTATTCCAGTTGGTCACTTTGGTCTGAACTTGGACTCTTCTCCCTCCTCTGCTACCGTCACACAACCTAGTTCACTCTCCCCCAATTAGTGTATACACCATACGACCACCACACCCAACCCCTTTGTTTGTAATACCAAGTTGACCTTCAAAAAACTGACTCTTTGCTTCATTTCATACTCCATTTATAGCTTCGGACCGCCATACCCGACGTTGGTTAAGTCCCGCCCGCTTTCAACTTGTGACAACGAGCTGACCGAACAAATGAGAACAGGTCAACAGCACCCTGTTCAATACCCAGACGAAACGACGTTGTCAACCTCATAGCCCCAAAGAAATCCTCACAATGGCACCCCTTACGCCCCATTGGACCCAGCCGTCCCACCCGGACGTCCAGGAGGTCGTCAAGGCAAGCGAAACCGAGTTCCTCACCAAGAGCTTCTCCAAGGTCTCCCTGCCGCCCTTTGCCGTCTTTGCAAAGATGTCGTTCCCGCCCTGCGACTTGGCCGACGAGCCCACATATGCCACCGTCCAGTGCGGCAAGGACAAGCACCTGAACCTCAACAGCGACCTGCTGTACATCAACCACTCTTGCGAACCGTCTCTTGTCAGTCTTGCCGCTGAGATCGCGTGCTCCCCCCTCCGAACTTGGGCTCCCTCAAGCGGGCCGGGTCGGGGTGACCCTTGGAACTGCGAGATTGACAGGTGCTATTTTTAGATTTTTGACACGGGCAACTTCAATGTCCTGGCTGGCCCGAAAGGACTCCAGCCGGGCGACGAGCTGACTGTAAGTCGACGTCTCCGCGTCGCCCCCCCCCCCCCCCCCCCCCCCCCCCCCCCCCCCCCCCCCCCCCCCCCCCCCCCCCCGGCCTCCCAATGTGGCGAACGGTGCTTGACAGGACCGCCCGCTCACGCAATAACAGTTCTTCTACCCCTCGACCGAGTGGCACATGGCCCAGCCCTTTGACTGCTTCTGCGGCACCCCGTCGTGCCGCGGCACCATCGGCGGCGCGCGCGACATGTCCCGCGCCCAGCTCGAGGGCCTCTGGCTCAACGGCCACATCCGCGAGCTCCTCGAGGAGCGCGACTCCGGGGTCCGGTCTGGAAACGACAGCGACCCCACGGCCCAGGCGCTGAGAGACGCCCTCAAGGCTGCCGAGCGCGTTGTCGAGGCCGCCCGCTCCGCCCTCCGTTCCTACACCGAGGCCACCGGCAGCGGCGACGGCCCGCAGCAGCGCCAGACGTCCAAGAACAGCGTCAACGGCACCAAGACCAAGGGCCTCCCCTCGTCCGCTTCCCGCGAGCAGCTGGGTGCCGTGGGCGCCGGCCGCAACGGCGCGAGTGCCAGGGAGTTGGGCGGCGAGATGGGCGGCGACACGCGCGCTGCGTAAACGGGGGCCCGATCTCTAGTCTGCCTAATTCCCGATACTAGGTGACAGGGGGACTCGGCCCATGATGAAGCGTGGAACGAGGCAATTCAACTTGTCTTTCTTGCGCACTCTGTGAATGCTTCTTTCTCTTTCTACATCCCACGCTACTTTCTTTTTCTTCTTCCCAATGCGAATTCAACATCTCGCGTCTTTCCTAACAACCAGAACACGATGTGAATCAGGAGACGAGACAAGGCGGTTTCGAGTTGGAGAGGGAAACGAAAACCATGGAAAATGAAGGGGAGGCATGACAATACAGAAAGCCAAGAGACGGTAGACTAGCCCCATCAGAGACAACCAAAACACCATGCGAATGTCTTTCTACTCGTGACGTGATTGTGTTCACACCCAAGCACAGCGTTTGTGAACAGTTTTTGTGATTTCGGAATCTACGCGGGGACCGACTTTAACGAAACTCCCGATGCCCAACCAATCCGTAATAGTACACACAATACACACAATACACCCTTACTTGTACACGCCAGTTTCCCATGACGCCTATACTACAGTGCTTCGAGCAATATCATCTCTGCTGTGTAGTAGTTTGATTCCGATTTTCTTGTTTCACTCTCATACCCTCCCTCACTCCTGTCACAGTAGCGACACACGTCTAGTCCTTGTGGTCCAGCCAGCGGTCGCCCCAGCTCGCGCGGCGGCCCTTTTCAGTGCCGACGCCGCCGGCGTACCGGCTCTCGTTGTCCTCCCACTCCTTGCGCTCGACGATGCGGCGCGCCAAAAAGGCCCGCGCAAACTTCCACGCTTCTGTGTCGGCCAGGTTCCATGCCTCGCTGGCGCCGCGGACGGCGAGTTCGCGTGCGTCTTTGGTCTTGCCCATGTCGCGCGCCCTCTTGAGCAGCGGCGGCTCCTTCTCGAGCTCCTGGGGGCTGGCAATGGGCCCGTCGGCCGGGTCGTGCTTGGGCTGTGGGCGGCGCTCGGGGCCGGGGACTGGGGTCTCGGACGTGCCGTCCGTGGCGTTGCGGGGGATGGCAAAGCCAAAGTGCCAGTCGAGGTCTTTAGGGAGGTCCTTCTCCGCGGTGAGCCAGAGGGAATGGGCGGGGGCGAGCTCGCCGGCGACGGCTTCCTTGAACTTCAGGACGCGGGGCCCGCCGCTGACCCCGGCGCCCAGGAGCTCGGCTGTGACGGCGCTGAGCCAAGCGTCGCGCTCCGACTTGCGGCGGATCCAGGGGATCTCGATCGAGTCCTGGAGGGTTGTGAGGAGGGCGGTCGTATACGGGTGCGGCACGGTGCCAATGGTGTATAGGGTCGACGTGTTGCGGTAGCGGGCAGGGGTCGCGACGTGCATGGGCTGCCCGGGGACGCAAGGCTTGCACTTCGCGTTGTTGGGCGGGCAGGACGCGGGCATGGGGGAGTCGGCCGGGCACATGGAGAGGTCGCCGGCGAGGTCCCAGGCGTTCTTGATCATGTGCGTCATGTGCTGCGGCAGGGGCTTAAGGACGGCGATGCCGTCCGAGAAGACGTTCTGCCAGGTCGTGTGCAGGTGGCCGTTGATGAGTTTCCGGAGGGCCTGCAGGCCGCTCGCGCGGTCGGCAGCGATGACCTCGGCAACCTTGGGGTATTTGTCCTGGATGATGGCTGAGTCGTAGTAGGCGATGGCCTTGGGCTGGTTGTCAATCTTGAAGGTGTCCTCGGTGGCGGCGGCGACAAAGTCCTTTGTCTCTTTCATCTTGGAGCTGCCCATGGTGGCCTTGATGGCGGCGTTGACCTCCTTCTCGCCGCCGGCGAAGAGGCCGTTGCCCATGTTGTTCCAGCGGGTGAGCTCCGGGTACTCGCCGCGGCGGAGATAGGAGAGGAGGGGGTCCTCGTGAGAACCCATGGGGAGGGTAGTGTGGTAGGCAAGCAGGCCGCCGCGCATGTTGTCCCAGGCGAGCCAGCGCATCATGTCGGTCTTGAGGTCCGGGTCGATCTCCTTGCGCTGGAGCTCGTCATAGAGCGGGTTCTTCATAGCCTCCGCGGCGCTGAGGATGATGGGCTTGAAGCCGCGGGCCCACCAGGCGCGGCGCCAGAGGAGCAGCAGCTCGCTCTCGGCGTCCTTGCTGGGGGCGTCCTTCTTGATGGTGGTGTCGTAATAGCAGTAGATGGGCGGGCGCGGCTTGAGGGGCGGCAGCAGGGAGCGCTCCTCGTCGAGGGTCAGGGAGGAGGAGAAGGGCACCGAGAGCCACTTCCAGTCGGCCCACCACGAAGACTCGCCGTAGGTGTCATTCTGCTGGCGCGGGGGCGGGTGCGAGGGGGACTTGAAGGGGTTCAGGCGGCTCGAAGCACCAAAGGGGTGCTTGAGGGCCGAGGGGATTGAGAACTTGTGGTCGGTGTACTTGGAAAGGCTCGGGCCGGAGGGGATGGAGCTCGGCAGGGTGACGAGGAGAGAGAAGACGGCGAAGATGGAGATGCTCACGAGCAGGAAGGAGATGCGTCGTGTGCTGAAGCGGGGGAGCGGGCGGCCAAAGATCATGTGTTGCTTCGGCATGATGGGCGATGGTTCTGGCCGACGAAGCGGCGGCGGGCAGTGACGGTCGGTATGCGGCTTAGGGTCGAGTGGGATGGGTCGATTGAGGTTATCGTGGGTCGACCGATCGGTCGAGTCTTGGTGGTGGTCGAGCTCAGAAGTGGGACATGTGGAAAGGGAGCTCCAAAGCCTGCCAAGCCGATTGGTTCACAAAGGCAGAATAGAACAAATGGAGATCGGGTTGAAGCTACCGATATATGAAGAAGAAGAATGGGGGAATAAGGAAAACGTCTAAACGAAAGAAGAAAGAACTAGCTGTTTAAAAAAGGCTAGAGATCGTGCCCGTATGAGAGGCAGATTGAAGGTGTCGCACACACATTCGTGGAGGGGAGATAGGTAGTTGAAAGGCTGTCAATTAATTATCCTTCATCCCCTTTTCCCGGAATGGGCTGGGCTCGGGGCTGACGAAGACACAGTCGGCATACGGTAAGGGTGGGGGTGGGAGCCACAGGCGTCAAGTAGCCAACCAAGATGCTGTGCAAAATGTCATCCGTCATGCCGTCCTCCGATCCCCCTGGAAATCTGAACGCGTAACTTTTTTTGGGCTGAAAGCAGGGTTCTTAAGTGGCTTGCTTGCTCGAAAGGGTGCTTGAAAGGACGGAGGGAGGTTGTGTGGCGGTGGCTCGAGTTGTGGCTGGTGAAGCCGAATGGACTCGACGGGGCCTTCCTTAATCTGAATCTTGAATTTCCCAATTCGTCCGTTGTGGAAACTGACGACCTCAGTTATCACAGCATTTCTGCCGGACATCACAGACGCTGCTCCCTAGGATGTTCGTGTCCGCAGAAGCGCCTTGTATATATGTATCATTTGTTTAATTCTAAATCGGTCGCGGACCCCCAGCTCCAATACATGGACAAGAACACATCGCGTAGCCAACCTCAACATGGCCCTGGCTTGGCGCGCTTCGTGTTGCTGTAGTCCGGCGGCACAGTTCACTCTCATTCCGTACTGCGCCCTACAACCACACAATTGACCTAGGAACCCAAGATTAGATGTGACCCTTTTCAAACATCCTTGCCTCGACGCCTGCAACTCAGGAACGATGCCTCCATTGGGCCTAGCAAAGGCAGACTCGACATGAGTTGCAAAAGTGCTCTGCCACGTGTGGATGACAATTCGTACTTTATGACACGCGATCCCCCATTTCTTCGAGCCTCGTGGCTGGTAGTCCTTGGTGCATCTGCCTCCGAGTCTTCACAAAATGGTCTGCCGTCGTCAGATTAACCTCGGCCAGGCGCTGTTGGGCCTCCTGTCTCTCTGCGCAGTTCCCGCACAAGCAGACTACTTCACCGAACCAGCCAGTTTCGAGCTCGACCGTATGGGCACCCGATACACGGTCCCAGATCTCAACACAACCTATACATTGGGCCAGAAAGTACAAATTACGTGGGAAGTACCGACGGTGTCGTACATCTCTCTCAGTCTTGTGCACTGGGGCAAAGATGCGGGCGTGGCCGTTGGCTCGTTGATCAGTAAGGAGATTCCTGTGGTGCTGTACAATGGTTACACCGATTGACATCCAACCAAGCCAACGACCGGAACAACGGATACTACACGTGGTACATAGGACATGGCGACGGCGTCACAGCAGAGATGTTGGCGGCGAATCCCAATTTTGCCCTGAGACTGATCGATCCGACTGGCAACTACACCAAGACGGGCGACCCCGAAGGCTTCATCGGCAGCGAGCTGCAGAGCCGTGGGTTTGTCATCCGAGTGAACGCGACTGAGTCGGCAGTCCCGACGGCCGTCCCATCGGCGGTGATATCCGGGGCGCCATCCGGGGTGTCTACTGGGGCCGCGGCTGGAATTGCCGTCGGCTGTGTCGCGGCCGGCGCGCTGGCGATGCTGGGAGTCTGGTTCTTATTCCTCCGAAACGGACGTCCTACATACAACCCAACCGAGGACCACACGCGACATCATCCCACGCCGACTCTGCATCCCGTCATGCGCCAGGAGACGCGCCAGGACTCGACCTACGCCAGTCCCAACTCATCAGGCGATCACATGTTCATCGTCCCGCCCGCTCACGGTTCAAGCCTGCCGCGTCAAGTCAGCGACATCAGTCCGATCAGCCCTGATAGGCGACATACGCCTCCGCCGTCGTATGTTTTGCCGATGGATGAGCACCCGGGGCCGAGAACAGAGTTATCTGGCGTGCGGGAGCCGCAGGAGGTGTCGGCGACGAACCCGAATTACCCGTCAGAGTTATCGAGCTCTCATAGACATTGACGTGGTGAAACGACAACATATATGATGGTTTCCTTGCGCTCTGTTTTGCTTGTGAGGTTGTGCTAGTTGGAGATGGCCTCTCCAATGGCGCTTCAGTATCAGGGGTCCATCGGGGTGGAGGAGTTGATGGAGTCAAACAGAAGGCGGGCGTAACGTGGGCGACAGCGAGGGCCGCAGCGCGCAGAGATAGCCCCAAACAACCCAATCTAGGTAGTGATCTGTAGTTTCATCCGATTTTGACTGTCGATCGACTCGGTCTTCCTACCTGTTCGCATACGACACCTATTCTTGTCTTGAAAACCCTCGACGTGCATCATTAGTCGAGGATGAGTCGTTGGTGGTGGGCACGTCAGGGACCCGAATAAATTTTGCGGGGAGAGCGATGCCGGACTAGGATCGGAGGGAGAGGGATGGGCAGGAAAATCCAGGGAAGCACCCCGCCGCTCAACCCAGCTGTGCAGGGCAGATGTTGCAAGGAGAGTGAATTAAAACTGCCCTGTAGGTAGTTAAAACGGATTGCACTGAATGGTACAAAGCCCAGATTGGGTCAAAAAATTTGCCGCATTTCTCTTGCCATCCCGTGCCGATGCTGCGCAGTGCGAACTCTCCCAGGCCTGACAAAACTTACACCGCCCTCCATCCCGCCCGTCTCCGTCTGTGACTCAATCGAACTTCAGCTCATCCAAATTCAACCCCCCTTCCGTCATTGTCTTCTTCCCGATCGGTCCCTCAGGCTCCAAGGATATCTCGGGAGCGAACCGATACCCTTTTCCCAAAGCAATTGACGTGCCCCTAGAGTTCTCACGGTTGCATCAATTGAGACTCCGGGCTATAAAAACTTTTTTTCCTTCATAGCCATTTTTCCCGTTCACCTTTTTTCGAATTTACCCCTCCCCCGCCATGGCTCCTGAGCTCCCAGACCCCACTAGGTGAGTAACGAATGCCGCCGATACGGAGAGCCTCCGGTCAAAGAAAAAAAAAAGGACGAAATCATGAATCACGCGCGCTAACACGCATCGCAGCGACCTGCACTGGTCCGCCTTCCGGGGCGCCATTCAGGACATCTTTTCTCAGAATGCCAAGCAGCATCCCGATAGGCTATGCGTCGTTGAGACCGCTTCTTCCACATCCCCCAGGAGGGAGTTCACCTACCGCCAAATCGATGAGGCTTCCAACCTGCTGGCCAACCACCTTGTTGCCTCTGGCGTCCAAAGGGGAGATGTTGTCATGTTTGTCTTTCCGGCATGAGACCTTCATATGTTCTGCAGCGGATGCTGACGTCGAACCAGGAGCTACTCCCACCGTGGGGTTGACCTTGTCGTTGCCGTCTTTGGTATCCTCAAGGCCGGGGCTACCTTCAGTGTTATTGACCCCTCGTATCCTCCTGACCGTAAGTTGTCACCCAATTGGCTCGAGAGAACCATGCTAAGGCAAGGCGGCAGGTCAAAACATCTATCTCGATGTTGCACGGCCACGTGCTCTTGTGGTAATCGACAAGGCGACCAAGGAGGCTGGTGAGCTGACCGACAAGGTCCGCACCTTCATCGCCGAGAACCTCGACCTCAAGACTGAGGTCCCGGCCCTCGAGCTCAGGGCCGACGGCAGCCTCGTCGGTGGCCAGATCAATGGCAAGGACATCTTCGCCGGTCTTGAGAAGGAGAACGGCCCCAATGTCCTCGTGGGCCCTGACTCAAACCCCACCCTTTCTTTCACCTCGGGCAGTGAGGGCAAGCCCAAGGGTGTTCTCGGCAGACATTACTCCCTAGCCTACTACTTTGACTGGATGGCTGAGCGCTTCAACCTCAGCGAGAAGGACAAGTTCACCATGCTCAGTGGTATTGGTATGTAGAAAAAACCTCTCGTTCGAAAATGTGTTGGAGACAAGTGCACTAACACGCGGCAGCCCATGACCCTATCCAGCGAGACATCTTCACCCCGATGTTCCTTGGTGCTCAGCTTTTGGTTCCTTCCAAGGAGGACATCCAACACGAGAAGCTTGCCGAGTGGATGAGAGAATATGGCGCTACCATTACTCATCTGACCCCGGCTATGGGCAACGTGCTTGTCAGCAACGCAAGTGCCGAGTTTCCTGCCCTCCACCATGCATTCTTCGTCGGTGACATCCTTATCAAGAGAGACTGCAAGGCCCTCCAGAAGTTGGCAAGGAACTGCTACATTGTCAACATGTATGGCACGACGTAAGTACAAGTTAAAATCCTTGACGGCGGTAAAGTTTGCTAAACGAAAACAGCGAGACACAAAGAGCAGTCAGCTACTACGAGATCCCTAGTGCCAGCGCCGATCCCACTTTTTTGGAGAGGTTTCCCGACAACGTCATTCCTGCTGGTAAGGGCATGAAGGACGTGCAGCTGATCGTTGTGGACCGCGAGAACACAGATCGTGTGTGCGATGTCGGCGAGGTTGGCGAGATATACGTCAGAGCCGCTGGTTTGGCCGAGGGGTACTTGGCCAACGAAGAGTTGAACAAGGCCAAATTCGTCAGCAACTGGTTCGTTAAGGACAACAGATGGGCAGAGCTCGACCAGCAAGCATCTAAGAACGAGCCCTGGAGAGAATTCTACAAGGGTCCCAGAGATCGCATGTATCGCTCAGGTGACTTGGGCAAGTATACTGAGGACGGCAATGTTGTCTGCGTCGGCCGTGCGGATGACCAGGTCAAGATTCGTGGGTTCCGTATCGAGCTGGGAGAGATCGACAAGGTAAGATCCCATCACTAGGAGACCTGCCAACACCAGCTGACATTGAAATCAGTACTTGTCGGATCACCCCATGATTCTTGACAACGTCACCCTGGTCCGCCGCAACAAGGACGAGGAGAAGACCCTGGTCAGCTACATTGTGCCCGACATGCAGAGATGGGCCGAGTGGCTGGTACAGAACGATAAGAAAGACGATACCTCTGGTGGTGACAGCTTGACGGGTCGCCTTCGCAGATTCTGGCCCCTGGGCGAGGAGGTCCGAAAGTACCTCAAGACCAAGCTGCCCATCTACGCTATCCCGGAGATTATCATCCCTCTGGAAAAGTTCCCCTTGAACCCTAACGGCAAGAAGGACAAGCCTGCGCTGCCATTCCCTGACGCTGCTCAGCTCGCCGAGGCCCGCCCGCACACCGAGGTCGCTGACCTGTCCGAGACCGAGCGTAAGGTTGCTGGTATCTGGGGTTCTCTCCTCGCCAACATCGACGAGCGCAGCCTTGGACATGACGACAGCTTCTTCGATATCGGTGGTCACAGTATCCTGGCGCAACAGATGCTCTTCCAGGTCAACCGCACATGGCCGGGTGTCGATGTCACCATGGCCGTTGTCTTCCGCAGCCCCTCGCTGAAAGCTTTCTCTGCCGAGATTGATGGCAAGCTCTCTGGAAAGGTCCCTGAGGGAGCGAACGCCACGCCCGAGGGAGAAGACTACTTTGAGGACGCCAAGAAACTCCTGGCCACTCTGCCCGAGAAGTTCACGCCTTTTGATAAGAAGGCTGCCGACGTCAAGACAATCTTCCTGACGGGTGCTACTGGATTCCTGGGTGCCTACATTCTGAGAGATCTCCTCACCCGCAACGCGCCCAACGTTAGAGTCATCGCCCACGTTCGTGCCATCGATGACGTTGACGCCTACAATAGAGTCGTCAAGAGTTGCCAGGCATACGGTGTGTGGCAGCCCAGCTGGAAGAACAGTCTTACTGCCGTGCAGGGCAGCCTTGGAAAGCCGCTTCTCGGCCTTTCGCAGGAGCGCTGGAACTCGTTGGCTAACGAGGTTGACGTCATCATTCACAATGGTGCCCAGGTCCATTGGGTCCTGCCGTACTCCAACCTCAAGCCGGCAAACGTCCAGGGAACGCTGGATGTCCTCTCGCTCTGCGCGGCCGGCAAGCCCAAGCAGCTGGCGTTCGTGTCTTCGACATCCGTCCTCGACCATCCGCACTTCGTCAAGCTCTCCCAAGGAGGCAGCCTCGTTAGCGAGGAGGATGACCTCTCCGGCAGCTCCAAGAACCTCGGCAACGGCTACGGCTCGACCAAGTGGGTTGCCGAGTACCTTGTCCGCAACGCCGGTAAGAGGGGCCTGACGGGCACCATCGTCAGACCTGGCTACATCACCGGCGAGCAGTACTCCGGCACCAGCAACACGGATGACTTCTTGCTGAGAATGCTCAAGGGCTGCATCCAGCTTAACTCGAGGCCCAAGATCGAGAACACCATCAACATGGTGCCAGTCGACCACGTCGCCCGTCTTGTAGTCGCTTCTGCGCTGCACCCTCCTCGTCAGCCTCTTGGTGTTGCGCAGGTGACGAGCCACCCCAGACTCACCTTCAGAACGTATCTGAGTGCTTTGGAGAAGTACGGCTACAATGTGCCGGAGGTGGAGTACAGCCAATGGAGCAAGAGCCTGCAGGACTACGTCGCTGAGGGCAAGGAGCACGCTCTGTAAGTCCTCCCGTGAAGTCATTTGAATACGAATAGCGCTAATGAAGCATAGGATGGGTCTGTATCACCTCGCAACTACCGACCTTCCCGCCGATTCCATCGCTCCCGAGCTCGACGACGTCAACGCCGCTGCTGCCCTCCGCAGCGACGCCGAGCTGACTGGAGAGGACCTCTCGGCTGGTGGTGCCGTTAAGGACGAGACCATTGGCCGTTATCTCAGCTACCTCATCGCCATTGGCTTCCTGGAGGCGCCCGAGAAGCCCGGCCAGTTGACCATCCCTCCTGCCGAGATCAGCCCCGAGCAGAAGGAGGCTCTGTTGAGGGTCGGAGGTCGCGGCGCTTTGGTCTAAGGGATTGGATTACAACTCTAGTCTTGAGGAGATTGGGGTTGGATGTTAGATATGAGAATTCCTGAAAACCAAGGAAAAATTGGGCAACATGGTTACAGGGGGGAAATACCAGAGACTAGACGACTTAAAAATAAGAGACAAACATAAACAAATACGATTGTATATTGAGCTTAAATGAGCCTATGAACTTGAGTGACCTTTGGATCAGGGAACACCACGCTAACAAATACCCCACTGAACCTTGCCTCGTTTTGCTTCGACACAGCCCCAGTTTTGTTAGTCAATCCATAGGCCGCCTTTGGAAGACGCTGGAAATCCATGACTACACTTTCAACCTCACCTCAACTTTCATAGCGAAAAAGTACCTTGTAGTCTCACTTTCACTCTCACCACATCACACCCTGTCTAGGCCTGCAATGACCGACGCCCAGCCCGAGATGAAGATCGACCCGGCGAGAGCAAAGGCTCTCATTTCCCAGCTGCAGTCCGTGCAGGAGCGCGTCGCCGCTGTCGCCGCGGGGCGGAATGTAAGTTCCCACCGGTCGTGCTGTAACACGGGGAGTGAGATGAGACGCTGACGGCAACAACGACAGGTCCGGCTGGTGGCCGTCTCCAAGCTGAAGCCCGCCAACGACATCCTGGCGCTGCACCAGGCGACGCCGCCGCAGGTGCACTTTGGCGAAAACTACGCGCAGGAGCTGGGGCAGAAGGCGGAGATGCTGCCGAGAAGTATCCAGTGGCATTTCATCGGTGGATTGCAATCAAGTATGCCCCCCCCCCCCCCCCCCCCCCCCCCCCTTACCAGTCTGCTGGCCTCATTTTCAGAAGATTCGCATAACGTCTGACCTGATTGATATAGCACACGCCAAGAAGCTCGCCAAGATTCCGAATCTCTTCTGCGTCTCGAGCGTGGACACCCTCAAAAAGGCCCAGCTGCTCAACGCCTCCCGCGCGGAGCTCATCTCCTCCTCTCCCGCCGAACCCCAGGTGGAACCCCTCGGTGTGCACGTCCAAGTCAACACCTCGGGCGAGGACTCCAAGTCCGGCGCCGCGCCCGGCCCGGAGACGGTCGCGCTGTGCCGCGCCGTCGAGGAGGAATGTCCGGCGCTGAAGCTGCTAGGCCTGATGACCATTGGCGCCATCGCGCGGAGCAAGGCCACTACGCCGGAGAACGAGAACGAGGATTTCCTGTGCCTGAGAGAGCAGAGGGACCTGGTGGCCAAGGAGCTGGGGCTGCAGAGGGAGCTGGAGCTGAGCATGGGTATGAGCGAGGACTTTGAGGGGGCTGTGAAGTTAGGCAGCGGGGAAGTGAGGGTGGGCAGCACGATCTTCGGCGAAAGAGGCCCTAAGAGCGAGGCGAAGATTCTGGTTTAGGGAGGCGAGGAAGGTGGAAAGGAATGGTTCAGCGGTCGTTGACTATTAGGTTGCAGATGTTGGAGATGATGGTGTTTTGGCCGCCGAGGTGAAGTTTGAGCCATGAGTGATGGGATTTCAGCGGTATAGAAAGGAGAAAGAGCCCGCCGTCGTTGACTTTGACTGTAGGTATAGATATCAAGACTTTAGCATTGCTGCGACAAATCTCCTTCGAACCCGGTGGTCTCATGGATGCCGTGCCCTGGTGTTCCGGGCGCCTGTGGTCGCTTCGAAGCCAGTTGATATCTTTGGCAGTATTGCTCAAAGCAGACTCCGGGTATACGATAATGCCCTGGTAACCTTTGTCTCCAGTTTCTCGGTCTCACGACGTTTGTTTAGATATCGTCCGTCACCACGGATGATTCGTCGATGGCCTGGGATTCTTTAGTTAATGGAGGTTGTTTACGCGACTTGTTCGCAAACTGGAGATAAAGTCAGTCCCGCCGTCTCCTTTTGCCTTTTGTTCTTTCATCTACCGGAGTTTGATCTCTGATCTCCTTGGTATAAACACCCTTTCTTTTTCTTGTTGACGTCTCTTATTTCTGTTGAGCATCCCTCGACTTCCGACGTTCCTGCCTTGTTCATCTCAGGCGGACAAGTTCGATTTGACTACCTGGTCGAGACGACGATCTCGCGTCAACGGTGATGGAAGCACAAACTCCGGAAATTCATCATTGTCATCACAAAAAATAACACGAAGGATAGCCCAAGTAGGTTTATTATACTGCTGCCATGGCGTCTTGAGATACGATTCCTCTCCGAGAGACAAGGCATACGGAGCATCAAAAGGGACGAGCGCCCACGAGGCAAACGAAGCAGTCAAAGCCGAGATGACTTCAAGAACATACATCACATCATAGAAGGCACGAAAAAAAGGTGTACGGGAAGGAATTTATCAATTGCCTGACACACTGCACCTTTAAGTATCCATACTACAACCGCCAAACTCCAAAACGCCTTAACAAAACTTATTGTGGTGTCTTATCGCACCGGGTATTCCTGAATTACCACATAACTCCCCTTATTAGTCTCAGACTCGAGCGTCACTCTTCTTCTCTTCTCTTAAGATCACCTTTCATTAGTTGGTTGTTCCCCTTAGGGACTGATTCTCTTCCGTAGTGTTTACCACTTCTCAAGCAAGATGCGAAGGCTCTACGCCAACGCAGCGCTGATTCGATCCTCGATCTCCTGGCGGATTTGCTGACAGACGGGATGAACAGAACCAGGAGGGAAGTAGCAGTGCTGTTGGACATCGTTTTTGAGCAAATTCAGGGCAATGTTGTGGAGCATCACGCGCGCAACAAGTGTGGTTGCCTCCTCAAGCTGAGACTGGCCGCTAAAAACAATCATGATTAACAAAGAGCCGACGATTTCAGCTTGCTTCATGGCCGCTTCTTTGAGCTGAGGGATGCGCTGGTTTCGAGTCTCTGCCAGCTTGGTCGCTCCTTCGTAAAACGGCGGGCGGAAGGGACCCATGGCGAACCGGAACTCCTTCAAGGGGCTTCTGGTCAAGCCGGAGATGATTGCGCGGACCTGTCGTAAGTCGCCCATGTTGTGCAGAAGGGCCTGGGCAGTCTGTCTCTGTTCGGGATGGTCGACGAGTTCGGAGCAGAGGAGGACGGCGTCCTTGAGGTAGTCGTTGACGGCCGTCACGGCGGCATCCAAACGCTCCTGGTTGGTCTTATTGGTGCGGCCATCGGTGCCGGAGACGTGGCACACACGGTTCTTCTTCTTGCAGTAGTTACAGCCGTCGGCGTCCCCCTCGCGAACGCACTTGGTCTTGCTGCGACGGCATGCCTCACAAGAATTGGCCTTGACCTCTCTGGCCTTTTTGTTGCTGTTGTTCTTCGTCACTCGCTTGCCCTTGTTGTTGGGTTTGATGGCTTTGTCCACAATGTTCTCCAAGGCTGGGGATGCACGAGACACAGGCTCGGCAGGCGACGGGGACTGCAGAAGACTATAGGCCATGTGGCCTGCCTCTACAGTCCGCTGCGAAGCATCCCCAACAATCTGCTGGTTGTTCTCTGGGCCATTACAGGGCAAGGGAAGGGAAGGGAGTGCAAGAGTAAAGGAGGGGAGAGCGATAGGAAAGGCAGAGGCCGGGACAGGAGGTGCTTGCTGTTCCCCCAGAAGATAGAAATCAGGGGAAGGAAGGTTCCCCTCGACTTCTTTCTCGCCGAAGAGCGAGTCAAGGTCAGACGAGGCGTCGTTTTGGTTGCCCTCCTCATCTTTCTTGGCCTCCCCAATGTATTCACTATCTTCTTCGGGGTGAATACCGACCGAACCAATATTCTGGAGCGGTCGGGGGTCAATGTACTGCTCCTGTTGATTGCTGCCGGTGCCGAAGAGAGAGGCATCATAGAAGTTGCCCTTGTCATTCCACCTGGCCTCCTCGGTGTATTCATCATTACCATAGGGATGAAAACCGACAGAACCAGGGTTCTGGGGCAGTTGAGGGTTGAAGCTCTGGCCCTGCTGGTAGCCAGGGAAAGGCTCAACTGCAGCAGCGGGGACAGGAAGACAGGTATTGCCATCATAACCCGGGTTAAACGGGGACTGCGGCTGATCCTGCTGCAGGTAACTGGTCATGAGTTGGGCGAATTCTTCGTCACTCATCTTGTTGGCAGACTGCATGTTGAAGTCGTTGTTCATGCTGTCCATTGTGAATAGGGATTAGAGTGAAGCCAAGTATTAAAATGAAGTAAGAAGAAGAGTTGAAGAAGAATCGAAGCAAAAGTATGTGTCTCTGTGTGTCTGTGTGTCTGTAATGCAATGACGAGGGAGATCAGAGCAGCAACGGCAGGCTTGGGGGATCTAGGCTGTAAATTTATATTCTCCTGTCAAAAGAAACTCGCAACGATATTTGGGTCCCGGAGAAAGATACGACACCACGAACTTTGTACAAGAGTGTACTGGGCCCGTTCCATGGTTTTGAGCCTCGTCGAAGCTCCTCGAGGAAGATTTGACAATGGATCACGTGGTGGGCGTTCTCTTTGCTCCGGGGGTCGTACGGTCGAAGGCGCTGATTGAGCGAGGAGTTGTCTTTGTGAGAGTATAGTTCGGCGGGTTCCCGGCTGTGAAGAGGACCTCAGGTGCTGAGGAGTCAGTTGCTGATAGTTTTGGACATGGTTACGAAGAAACCGGGAGAGGAAGGAAGTATGGGGGCAGAGAAAAATCTGCATATCCCTCCGGGACTTGGATTCAGACTGTGAGGATGGTACGAGGACGATGAAGACGACGAGGGCGATTATCTACTTCTGTTCGATGTAAAATTTGTCTCTTGCATAGTATAGAATCGATAATCTAGCGAGGTCATCATCTATCTAACTAAAAAGGTCTATCTTCCGAGGAAAATGGACTGTGTTTGGCTCAGCTTAGACACCAGAAGCCTGGCAACTCGCATACCAGATGTCGAGGATGTGAGGGACGTTGAGGACTTTGGGCTTCTCCTCATGTCACTACACCCTATGAAAATGTGCCAATGCTCACCTGTTTCTACACCTTGAGCAGGTTTTTTTTGAGTTTGTACTCCAGACCAACCACCATCTTTCTACAAGTCAAGGTCTGCGGCTGCCTGGCGTCCTTCAAGAGGCTAGGCTGTGCAGGTACTCTCAGTCTCTATCGCCAGGCGGATTTTGCGATCCTCAAATTCTTATCTTGAACAGAATGAAAATTCCTTTAGCCTCATTTTGTTCCAATCGTCTCGAAACGCATCCTCTGTTCGTTGTTTGAATGCCTGCCACTGACATGCTGTGTAGTCAGGTTAAACGCACTTATACCGTTTGGCAGAACGGGGGTGACATGTTCTAACTGCTGACTACTGCATGTAGGGCCCTGTGTTTTAGGCGGATTTATAGCGTCTGATTGGCTTATGCACTTGATGGGCGGCGCATTTCAACGGTCTTAGTGGATCATCTTGGGGCCAATGCACTCAGTCTCAACCTTGTTCCTAGTAGCCCCTGGCGACGGGCGACGACGCTTCGTTTGCTTCCCTTCGGCACGAGAATACGTGTGCGTTCTTACCGTTGATGGCTGTTAATATACGTCAATATGAATCGAGGTCTCAATTTTAACCGGCGAGAATCATTGTACATGATCCTCGGCTTTTGCATTCAGAAACTTCGTTTTGGGGCGGTGGTAGCAAGACATCCCGGCCGGCGGGCGTTTGCCCTCAAGGTGGAAAAGTAAACAAAACAAATTCTTTCAGCAGACGACCTGCCAAACCAAACCTGACTGAACTTTATTTTTGCGTCAACTTGAGGCAGTATAGCTTGTTCTAGGATGTACTTCCTGGTTCCTCTAGGTGATGGGTTCATCGGATTGAGTGGCCTGGCAGCGTTTTCGCAATGGATGGCGCACGGGTACATGTGCACCACGCACGAGTGCAAGGAGGAACTGGGATGAAGTAGCGCGAGATATGGCAGAGATCTAAGTGGTGAAATAGTAGCGAGGGTGTGCATGGTGAGTGGGTATGCTTCCCAGTCACATCTTTTGGGCGGGGGTGTATGTCAATAAGAGTGGTGTGGCTAACAAGAACGTATGCTGCCGTGCCCTTGGTCTTTGGAAGGACGTCTTCGTGGACATGTGTTAAGTTCAGAGGACAATTAGAGTGGTGAGAGGCATCCAAGGCAGATTCTGGATTACGTCTGATGGTCGTTTCCCATCAAGTTCGAGTGAAATAGCGTTGGCCCTCAAGAAGGATGCCCACGATTGTCAGACCGTAGAGGGTGAGGCTATGTAATTTCATGCTGTCCCTTTATAAGTTGATTGAATATCTCATGTTCATTATCAGTACAGTGAACACTGATGCTGCGGGAGGAGGTTGCATGAGCTGAGCAAGTAAGTCAACTAGTAGAAACCGAGTAGAGTGGCAGTGCTATATCTGTACAAATGAACACATGAACAATAGGATACACAAGGATGATTACCGCAAAGACATGAGGCGCGTTGTCTATGCAGGCAGGTTGATGTGATTGTGCAGATGTAAGTATGCACTGGCTAGGATGTTGAAAGCTAAAGAAATATGCCCATCTCAACAATGAGAAAGGGAATCCATGATCATGGCAATATTCCCTTTAGAAACCCGATGCTGCCCCATCGTCACTGGACATCCCTCATAACAACACATACACCATTCCTACCACAGTCGCTGCAAATGATAGGCTCAGTGGAACAGCCAAAACACCAGCGGCGCCATCCGGGCCACTATCTTTCGACGTCTCCGCTCCCGTCGCTTCCGCGCTCCCAGCTGTCGTCGTCGTCCCAGTCTGGAGCGGAAAGGTGCCATTACCCTCCGCCGTGACTCCCGGGCAGACACCCTCGAGGAGCTGTTTTGTGAATAAGTTCGCTGCCTCGGTGGGGCAAACGATCTGAAGGCAATGCCTAGTGATTCATGTTAGAACAAAACGCCTTGCAGAAGAACAGAGCATAAGACTCGCATTCCGATGGTCTGGTAGGCCGGGCAGAAACAGTCAGTCATGACGCCAGCGGCTGCCGTCGCGTCGGTGTCGTCAAGTGTCCTTGTCACGTACGGCGAACAATCGCTTTTTGAGAGTTGACCCAGCATCGCGGAGTTTGTGCAGTCTGCCCAGGACCTGCGTGTTGATGTCGGTCAGTAGCTTAGGGATGTATGGCGTTCAGATACGTACAGCCATGGTAAGATGAGGCCCTTGGTTGTGCACAGTTCCTCCCATTGCGTCGTTCTTGGCCTTGCTGGGCCCGCTAGTGTGGGCATGATGGCTGGTATCGATGTCTGCGTCGGTGTCTGAGCAGCTGCGTACTGAGGCATGATGAGCGCACCGAATGCGAGAAGGGGGGACAGAAGTCCCGTTTCACGAGCCGAAAACCTCGTCGACGCCATCCTTGGTATTATTTCAGCAAGAAATTCAACCAATACTACGAACAAGATGAGTTGAAAGGCAGTTGCGTCACAGAATAGGCAGTCATTTTGCATGTATCTGAGAGAACGCCAACCCCCGCGTCGCGGAGAACGCGTCTATTAAAAGTCCTGAAAGCATGCTCTTCCATAGTACGACGCATAGCCAGGGGGAAATTGCGCTTGGTTCGATTCATCCGCAAGTTCACCTGCTGTGCCGCCTGGTTGCATCGTCAGGGACCGGCTAAAGAATATGCGCAGTAGTCTGGACCGAAGGAGTTCCTAATGTGATCTCGTAGGGGTACCATGCCAAGCGGCGAGGCAGACTGATCAATCAAAGTTGATTAGGACTCATATATAAGCGCAAAATCCTCAAGGGAAGGACGGCGGGATTGCCCACGATGCAAACTACAATCGTGAGGACTGTTATATTCACTGTTGTCGGAGTTGAAGCAATATAGTTTCTTGGAATGGGAGGCCACTTGAGTTGAAAAGGATAAGCAGCTGGCAACAGACGGCAGCTGGCGGCCTTGGCCGAGGCGTTATAGAAGCCGACGATATGCGGCCAAGCTCTACAAAGCCCAGCTCTTCTCCAGTGGCCTTTCAATTTGCCAACCCCTCGTTGACATTCTCTGAACAATTCAACGTCAAAATGCTTGCCATCCGTCCAGCGATCTGTAGAGCGTGCAGGAGGGCCCAGATCCGCCCTGCGAGAGGGTTTGCGACCGCCAGCGGCCCAATCCAGCAGCCGCCCCGCGACAACTACGTCAAGCTCGTCGAGGTCGGCCCCCGCGACGGACTGCAGAACGAGAAGAAGACGATATCCCTTGCCACCAAGATCGAATTGATCGAGAGGCTCGCCAAGACGGGCGTTTCTACCATTGAGGGCGGTTCTTTCGTCTCGCCTAAATGGGTTCCTCAGGTAAGCCAAACCAAGTGGTCTGACAATCTCGGGGAGCTGTCTTGTTGACTTTGAATACTTGCAGATGGCCAATTCGAACGACATTCTCGAGCACATCTTAACACGAAAGATTTCTTCCCCGTCGCAAACATCATACTCCTTCCTCGCCCCGAATATCAAAGGATTGCAGAACGCCCAAGCCCTGCTGGCCAAGTACCCTGGCGCTTTTGCGTCGCAGCTTCAACCATCAGCAGACAAGACAAAGCCCGCCATTGAAGTCGCCGTCTTTGCGGCCGCGACCGAGTCTTTTTCCAAGAAGAACCTCAACTGCGACATCGCGACATCACTCGACCGTTTCCGCGAGGTTATTCGCGACGCAAAGGGAGCCGGTCTCCGCGTCCGCGCATACGTTTCCGTCGTCCTCGGCTGCCCCTTTGAGGGTTATGATGTTGACCCGCACAAGGTTGCTGAGATCTCAACGGAACTATTGGAGTCGGGCGCCGATGAGGTTTCGCTGGGAGACACCACTGGCATGGGCACGGCGCCCCGGACGAAGGAGTTGCTAAACTGCATGAGGGCTGCGGGTATCAGGAACGAGGACATTGCTATGCATTTCCATGACACGTACGGCCAGGCGTTGGTGAACACGGCCGTTTCGCTGGAGCATGGCATTCGCACGTTTGACAGCAGTGTTGGTGGACTCGGAGGTTGCCCTTACAGCCCTGGTGCTACTGGCAATGTGTCCACGGAGAACATGATTTACTTTATCGAGAGTTTGGGCATGGAGACTGGCATTGATCTAGACGCCATGTCAGATATCGGTGCTTGGATCACAGGCGAGCTGGGCAAGGCCAACGATAGCACTGTTGGTAAGGCGGTGTTGGGAGCCAGAGCTCGCGAAGCGGCAGCGTGATTGAGTTATAGGTCATGATAACCCTCAAGTCTAAACAATCGGATCTTGAGACATCTTTTTTCAAAAAAATTATTACACGCCCTTTCAGATGAATGGTGCATTCCGGTTATGTCCTCCAAGACCGGAAGAGGAGATGCAGTCATGTGATGTCACTGCCACACTGGCGCTGACGCCCAAGCACTGACACCGACAGAAGCTCCCAGGCCCGCGCCCACGGTGAGGTGACCACTGATCTTATCGGCGCCACCTGAGACCCAGCTTGCCGAGTGGGCTCCACCAAGACGAAGCAAGCTCCAGTGCTGTGCATTTGACGACACTGCAACGACCTGCCAACCTCCTCCAGCTACGTTCGTCGCCTCGTAACGTCTCCATTCATCCACACGCCCACGCCCTTCCTAATCGACGCCCTCGACCCAACACGCATTGTCTTCTACACGGGCGCTGTCTCATTGATAGTCAGAAGCAATGAGTGACCCCCGAGAGCCCTCCTACTCGATCGTGCCGAGAATTCGGTACAACACCGTCGGCGGTGTCAACGGACCCCTCGTCATCCTCGAGAATGTGCGTGTCGCCCGCCGCGCTGGAAATCGCAAAAAGATGTTTGAATTACGGCGCTAACTTTGTGCTTAGGTCAAATTCCCTAGATACAACGAGATTGTCTCCCTAACCCTGCCTGATGGAACCAACAGACAGGGTCAGGTCCTTGAGGCTCGAGGTATTTACCCATCCGACTCCCCATTTGCGTTGACCTGCGTGCTGACCAAGATCTACAGGTGACCGAGCCGTCGTCCAGGTATGCGAGCCGAGCGATCATGCGAGAAACACCGATTGACGATGGAAATAGGTCTTTGAGGGTACATCAGGCATCGATGTCAAGAAGGTATGAGATCATCGCCATCTCGACAAAGGATGCATGCGCTAAATTTCTACCAGACGAAAGTCGAGTTCACGGGCCAGAGCTTGAAGCTCGGTGTGTCGGAGGACATGCTCGGTCGTATTTTCGATGGTTCCGGTCGTGCTATCGACAAGGGCCCCAAGGTCCTGGCTGAGGACTACCTCGACATCAACGGCAGTCCCATCAACCCCTTCTCCCGTGTAGGTTCACGTCTCCCTATGCCTTCTGGTCTCGACTCTGACGCAGCGTAGGAATACCCCGAGGAAATGATTTCGACCGGTATCTCTGCCATCGACACCATGAACTCCATCGCCCGTGGTCAAAAGATCCCCATTTTCTCCTCGTCCGGTCTGCCGCACAACGAAATTGCCGCCCAGATCTGCAGACAGGCCAGCTTGGTTCAGAAGCAGGGTGTTACCAACAAGGGCGTCCACGACGGACACGAGGAGAACTTCTCCATCGTTTTCGGTGCCATGGGTGTCAACTTGGAGACGGCCAGATTCTTCACCCGCGACTTCGAGGAGAACGGCAGTTTGGAGCGTGTCACTCTCTTCCTCAACCTTGCCAACGATCCTACGTGAGTACATCGAAGCATAATTGGAAAGCCCATTGACTGATTGTCTTGCAGTATTGAGCGTATCATTACTCCTCGTCTCGCGCTTACGACCGCCGAATACTACGCCTACCAGCTCGAGAAGCACGTCCTCGTTATTCTGACCGATCTGTCCGCCTACTGCGACGCCCTTCGTGAGGTTTCGGCCGCTCGTGAGGAAGTCCCGGGTCGTCGTGGTTACCCCGGTTACATGTACACTGATTTGTCCACCATTTACGAGCGCGCCGGCCGTGTGTCGGGACGCAACGGCTCCATTACGCAGGTGCCTATTTTGACTATGCCCAACGAGGATATCACTCACCCCATTCCCGACTTGACGGGTTACATTACGGAGGGTCAGATTTTCGTCGACAGAGGTCTCTACAACCGTGGTATCTACCCGCCCATCAACGTCCTGCCGTCCCTGTCCCGTCTCATGAAGTCTGCCATTGGTGAGGGCATGACTCGCAAGGACCACGGCGATGTTTCCAACCAGCTTTACGCCAAGTACGCCATCGGTCGTGACGCTGCCGCCATGAAGGCTGTCGTCGGTGAGGAGGCTCTGTCTGCCGAGGACAAGCTTTCTCTGGAGTTCCTCGAGAAGTTCGAGCGCCAGTTCATCAACCAGGGCCAGTATGAGGCGCGCACCATTTACGAGTCTCTCGACCTTGCATGGAGCTTGCTCCGCTTGTACCCCAAGGAGCTTCTCAACCGTATTCCCGGCAAGATTCTCAACGAGTTCTACCAGCGCGCGGCAAAGGAGGCCAAGGACAAGGGCAAGCAGAGAGCGCAGGTGCAGCAAAACGAGGAGAACCTGATTGACGCATAAGCGGAGGACGCTCCGTGCGGGCGCTTGATTCTCCAGAGGCCGGCAGCGTGGAATGGCAACCGGTTGACGTTTGTGTATACGTATGTGGGGGGGCCCGAGAGTGCGCGATGGGCAACTTTTGGACCTAGACAATGGCATGCAATTATTAGTACTTAACCAAGCCATGTCTTAGTGATGTTTCTGTCTGTATGAAATGCGCCGCGATATCTACTGTGCCTAGCTAGAACATGCTCATTCGCGTCTCAGATGAGGAGAAAAGATGTGATTTGAAACGATGCCATCCATAATTGAGGAGCTCATCGCGGACAAGTGACATCGAAGTTATTGATGCACTGGCACGATGATCAAGACGCCGTCTGCAGCGGGTTGACATTGAGGAACACTCGCACGGGCCAGCGTCGTCAACCGGGCGCACCGCCTCATCGAACCCCACATCCTCCACACTGGGCCAACTCCCCACCATTGCCTGCGGCTACCTTACCTCACCTCCCGACCTTACCTGACGCAAGGCGAGAGTTCCTACGCAACGCCCACGACCGACCCCGTGCCATTGGACTGCTTACCGACAACCCACGATCCCTCTTCTTTTCTACGACACATACGTTTACCTCGAACCGATCATCACTCCGACGCTCGTGGGCAAATTACCAACCATTGCGACACAATGTCCATCATCCAGCAGCACACATCCGCCTCGCTCAGCGATGCCTGGCGGACCATCAACATTGACGCCCTGCAGGAGGACTCGGCCTGCAACTTTGACACCTCAACGCTGCACCCGCCGCAGCCCGAGATCGGCGAGGATGAGGTGCGCCAGCTTGCCGGCCAGGTTCGGCAGCTGCTCCGTGGCGGGGATGCTGAGGGTGCGCTGAGGGGGTGCTTGGAGTTTCCTGTCTACAACGGCCCCGATGCTGCCAAGGTGCGTTAAGTCCCGTTTGGGCCCTTTTTATCCCATACAGCAACACAAATGCTGGCGACAGGTACCCGAAACAGCTGCTAACGTGCCTGCAACAGGACGCCCACCTCCAGACCATCACCGAGGTTCTCCAGTCCATCAAGGCCTCCGAGATGACGCCCCTTCTCAAGTCCATCTACGGCTCGGCCGGCGGCCCCGAGCTGCTCGACGTCCTCATGAAGTACATCTACAAGGGCATGGCGGGATCCGCGGCCGGCTCTGGCGGTCTGAGGTCGCCGCCGCCGCAGGCCGCCCCCGGCGGGTTCAGCCAGATCGGCGGACGACCGGGAGGCACGAACGAGAGCGTCGGTAGCGCGATGAGCGTGTTGCTCAGCTGGCACGAGAAGGTTGTCGACGTGGCTGGTCTGGGAACCATCGGCCGCGTCATGACTGACTGGAGAAGGGTTTAAGGGGGCTGCAGGAAGAGAGGAAGACGCGGGCTGTGAGGGGGTGGTAATGAAGTTCATGACGAGCGTAGGCATGCTCGGCGTAGGCAGATACAAGCTTGCCTTCTACGATTCCAATTTAGACAGACTGGCGTGCCGAAAATGAAAGCCATAGATTTTTTGTTCATGTTTTACAGGCTTGGCGGGGTATTGTTACAAGTGCCACAACATCTTAGTTGGACTCTAGAATGTCCTTGAGATTTACATCTCCGCTTCCTCTGGGCAACGGCTTGGGTTGGTCGCCGCCCTCGTGCCACCCGATCATGTAGATGATTCTAAATGTCGCAGGGATGCTCCCGTCCTCGTTACCGTGAAGCTCCCTATAGATACCCTCGTTCGCCATCAACACCTCTCTTCTGATCGCGCCCATTTCCCTTCCCAGTATGGCGTTGCCCTCCCCCATAGCCTGCAGATCCTGCATGAGCGCAAAGGTGTCCGGGTAGTCGACAACAATGTCGTCAACGTCTACCGTCAACATCTTGAAACCCGCGCGCTGCATCAGCCCGCCCACGTCGCGGACGTCAGCGAGCGGCGAGACGTGGGCGAGATTCCGCCGCGCCTCTCCTGCTCTGCAAGCTGAAGCGAAGTGCGCAGCTCGAACAGACTGTCGCCGCCAAGCATGGCACCGATAAAGGGACTGTCGGGCTTCAGGACATTGTTGATCTGGGTCAGGACGCCGGGGAGGTCGTTGATCCAGTGCAGGCTCAGGGAGCTCATGACAAGATCAAAGGATTCGGGGGGGAAAGGGACGTGCTCCTCGTCGACGAGGACATGGCGGGTGATGTTGATGTCGGTGTTGAATGAGAGGTCGGCATCGCGATGCAGGAGGGCGTGGGAGGACTCGGCGGCGACGAGTTCGTCAATACGCGTAGATAGGGGCGGGGTTATAGGCTTCGCGGGGTCCGGGTCGGGGTTCTCACGAGTGAGGGCGCGGGCGATGTTGCACGAGTTTGCGCCGAGGTCGAGAACGCGGGGGAATCTTCGCTTGATGTCCTGCCGTTCGTTTATGAATGTCAGTGACCTGTCGACATGTCCGTGTCATAGCAGTTATGCGTCTCGAAGGACTTACAAGTAACCTTTCGCAGAGCCGATTTGCGACCTCATCCTTCAGGTAGTCGGCCTGCCGGCTGGACTCAAGATTCGAGGCGGCACGCTCCTTTTGCAACCATTTTGTGCGGCGGTTGAAGACCTGGAACGCCTGGGCGCCACCACCGCCAGAGGCGAAGGCGTAGGAGCGACGAGAGACAGAGCCCACAAGAAGCCGGGAGCCCGGCGCAGACGGAGCTGCACGGCACAGGCGTTTGATCGTGTGGTTCATTACTGGCATTACATTTCTGGACCGGGCGGAGGCGAACATGAGGGGATTCGTATCTCAATTAGGATTGTTGCAAGAGAGGGGAAATGGGGATTGGAGGTCTGAGGAAGCTCGTTAGTTAAAAGAAGGTTTTTTTATCTTCGGACTGATGGCCGGGGGGAGCTTCAATGGGATTTTACGACTTCGATGATGCAGCACATTTCGAGCTTCGCCAATTGACAGGAACGAGGTCAGGTTAGCGTGCCGAGGTACGTACTCCTCCCTGGCAGAACGGGTTTGATGCACAGGCCCGTCGTGTGCGCGCTCAGGAACATTCCCCTCTGTACAAGTACCAAGTCTCCCCCTCCTGCATCCCATCTCGTCCCCATCCATCAGTCAGCAGTGAAAGCAAGTTCCATATCCAATGCTCTTGGTACGCTCCACACTCCCACTAAACACGAGCGTCGATGGAAGTACCTTGCAGCCCCTGACGCGCCGAGTCTCCTGGTCTTTACGCAATAAGCAACGAGCAGCGCAGCGCACCCAGCAGAGCTGTCAGACGCTGGGACGTTGGACTTGCAGCGGCTGACTGCCCGTGTCAAGCGTATCGGGGGAAGCTGGCGGCGGTTTGACAGGCCCGTTCGACTGCACTCTCGCACTCTGTCCGGTCCGTAAACCAATTGTGCGCCGTCTCGCCATCTCCACACATTGGCTGCGTTCCCAAGCCTTCCGGGCCTAAGCATTAGCCTGAGCCTCCACTGTCTCTAAAGTGTCGTTTTCTCCCTCTCGCTCTCCCTCTAGCCCGCGGAGCTCACCCCCCATCGGCCCCCTTTCCTTGGAGTTTTTGTTTCCCTTCTTGTCCACTTCTCTCCCCCCGGTTCAACATCGCGAATCGACAAGTCCCCTATTTCGAGACGAAGTCAACCTACTGCCTCTTTCTTACTCGCGTGCGCGTCAAACACTCCGCAATCAGACCTGTCGACAGTCGCCCCCCGAGACGCATTGTCAAGACACGCCCGCAGCGGGACTTGCCGGCCGGTTTCGAGTTCGAGTCGCCGAGTCCACCGAACCCGACCGTTGATCCCTCCTGTCCCCCAAAACTCCACGCAGCAGCAATCCAGCAAGCGCACCAGCTGGGGTAAGCGAGCAGCAGTCCCAACCAAGACCCCTCGCGCGCATGGAGTGATTGTCCAACGCTCGCCCAGAGCATAATTACACACGCACCGATCCCGCGTATTCGAGCATCGAATCATCGAGACCGCCACCGCGCCGCCTCTACGAAACACCTGTGACGACAGTCCACCGAAGCCCGTCTGTCCATCGACTCTGCTCGTTCCGTCCCGCGAAGTGGAGGGGGAAGAACTGTTGGAAACAGAGAGAACACCACCAAGAACGCCACCGGTCGAACTTGACAACCAACGCCAACATGTCGTCCTCGGCGGCCGGATTCCTTGGCCGCTCGAGCAGCAACAACTCGAACATGCGAGGCCTGGTGCAATTTATTGCCGACTTGAGAAACGCCAGAGCTAGGGAGCTGGAGGAGAAGAGAATCAATAAGGAATTGGCCAATATTCGGTGAGCAGAGCACACTTCATTCGGCATGCCGACCTGCGACGCTTTGCGATGGTACTAATGGATCCCCTTGCGTTCAGGCAAAAGTTCAAGGGTGAGGATCGACTATGATGTTTTGATGGCGCGGTGCGGTCATGCTAACCCTTCTCCAGATGGAAACCTCAGCGGCTACCACAAGAAGAAATATGTGTGCAAGGTAAGGGAGGTCTGCTCTACCATGGGTTTGGGCGTTGGGCTGATGGTTCGCGAAGCTTCTCTACATTTACATCCTCGGATGGAACGTTGATTTCGGCCACCTCGAAGCCGTCAACCTGATTTCAGCGAATAAATACTCGGAGAAGCAGATTGGCTACCTCGCCATGACCCTCTTCCTGCACGAGAAGCACGAGCTGCTGCACCTGGTCGTCAATAGTATACGAAAGGACTTGCTAGACCACAACGAGCTGTTCAACTGCCTGGCTCTTCACGCGATCGCGAACGTTGGTGGCAGGGAAATGGGAGAGGCTCTGAGTGGAGAGGTCCATAGGCTTCTGATCTCGCCGTATGTCTCGGTCGAGCATGGTTCTTGAAGAGTCGGCTGACATTGCATACAGGACATCCAAGGCGTTTGTGAAGAAGAAGGCATCGCTTACCCTCCTCCGTTTGTACCGCAAAAACCCCGACATCGTCCAACCGCAATGGGCCGAACGTATTATCTCGCTGATGGACGACGTGGATGTCGGCGTGGCTCTGTCCGTTACGTCGCTTGTCATGGCTCTTGCCCAGGACAACTTGAACGCGTACAAGGGGGCATACGCCAAGGCCGCCGCAAGGATGAAGAGGATAGTCATTGATGGAGAGTACACTCCGGACTACCTTTATTACAAGGTTCCGTGTCCCTGGCTCCAGGTCAAGCTTCTGCGCCTGCTGCAATACTTCCCTCCCTCAGGTGAGTTATGAATGAGGCCTCAGACTGAGTGACAGAGTCCTAACTGCTTTAGACGACACTCATGTCCGTGAGATGATCAGGGAATCTCTCCAAAAGATCTTGAACCTCGCGATGGAGCAGACTAAGAACGTTCAGCAAAACAACGCCCAGAACGCTGTCCTCTTCGAAGCTATCAACCTCATTATTCACCTCGACAATGAGAATGCCTTGCTGAAGCAGATTTCATCTCGGCTGGGACGGTTCTTGACTTCTAGGGAAACCAACGTCCGTTACCTGGGATTGGAAGCCATGACACATCTCGCAGCCCGGATTGATACTCTGGAACCGATTAAGCAGCACCAGGATGTTATCCTAGGGTCTCTCAAGGACAGAGATATCAGTGTGCGGAGGAAAGGTCTCGACCTTCTTTACAGCATGTGCGACTCTTCAAACGCTCAGGTCATTGTTGGCGAGCTTCTACACTATCTTCAGAACGCCGACTTTGCGATCCGCGAGGAGATGGTGCTGAAGATTGCCATCCTGACCGAAAGGTATGCCACTGATGTACAGTGGTATGTGGACATATCGCTGCGTCTGATCGCCATGGCTGGTGACCACGTCAGCGACGAGGTGTGGCAGCGTGTCATCCAGATCGTGACGAATAACGAAGAGCTGCAGGTCTACGCGGCCCAGCACTCCTTGCAGTACGTCAAGTCGGATCACTGCCACGAGACGCTGGTCAAGATCGGAGCCTACATCTTGGGTGAATTCGGTCACCTCATCGCCGACCAACCTAAATGCAGTCCCATCGAACAGTTCCTGGCTCTTCAGAGCAAGGTCGCCGCGTGCTCATCAAGTACAAGGGCCATGATCCTCTCTTGCTACGTCAAATTCGTCAACCTCTTCCCCGAAATCAAACCTCAGCTCTTGAAGGCCTTCCAAGTCTTCAGCCACACACTCGACTCTGAGCTTCAGCAGAGAGCATGTGAGTATCTGACGCTAGCAACACTGCCAACAGACGATCTTCTGCGAACTGTTTGCGACGAGATGCCCCCCTTCTCGGAACGCCAGTCTGCCTTGCTCGCCAGAGTGCACCAGAAGCATGCCAACACCAGTGATAAGAGAACCTGGATTGTAGGCGGTAAGGATGCCAATGCAGATGTGGCAGAGCTGAAGATGGCCAAGGAGGGCGGCCTCAAGCGAACTTTCAGCACGAACGGCAACCCCCACGCTGCTAACGGAGGCTCGAACGGTACGAATGGCCACGGTAACGGCGTTAACGACTTGGCTGGTCTAGACATGAACAACATTGGACCCGCCGAGCCCAAGACAAAGGCACCAAACCTGGCAAGTGCGGCTCATTTGTCTCCCAACTGGGAGGTAGGATACAACAAACTACTGCTCAAGGCAGAAGGCGTATTGTACGAGGATGGCCAGCTTCAAGTCGGTGTGCGGTCCGAGTATAGAGGCCAAATGGCGTGCTTGATTCTTTACTTCAAGAACAAGACACCAACGGCGCTGGGCTCTTTTACTACGACACTGGACCTTGACGAAAATGAGAAGGGCAAGCTTACGTGGGACGTGAAGAACCTGCCGGAGAGCACAATTTACCAGGCCGGGCAGTCCCAGCAGGTTATCATGTTTGAGTGCAAGAGGGTGTTTGATAAGAGCCCGACAATTCGCATCAGCTACCTCGCTGGCGCTCTCCAGGCGGTCACCCTCAAGTTGCCCATCACCGCCCATAAGTTCATGGACCCTGCAGACCTCTCCGCCGAAGACTTCTTCAGGCGTTGGAAGCAGATTGGTGGTGCCCCACGTGAGGCTCAGCAGATCTTCGGCCTATCCTCGGGCAAGTCGGATAGGGAAATGAACGAGTTCTTCGTCCGGCAAACGGTTGAGGGTTTCAGGTGGCGCGTCCTCGACGGCGTCGACCCGAACGCGAAGAACTTTGTCGGAGCAAGTGTTCTTCATACTTCAGAGGCGGGCAAGTTTGGTTGCTTGATGCGTCTTGAGCCGAACTACGGGACGAAGGTCAGTTTACATCTCATATTTTACCAACCGCTGTCCATCGCTAACAATCACTACTAGATGATTCGCCTTACCATCCGCGCCACGGACGAGAGCGTCCCCGCCGTCCTTCTGAAGGTTATGCACGAGCGCCTCGCCGCCGGCTACACGCCCGAAAAGTTCCAAGCTCCGACCCCGGCCGACATATCGGACGCATTTAGCAATATTCTGGTTACATAGCGCAGCACCCTCCTGTTGTAATACACACCTACTTCGTAATGACATACCCACACCCGGCTTTGTTTTTTTCTCGTCTCTGCTTGTCGCTGCTGTAATCCTTGATATTGGTGTTTTGATGCGTGGCAAACTACTGGCGTGGGCGTCCGATGGCATGGTGGCACTCATTCCCTATAGCTAGTGAAACAAAAGGCGAATGTTGTCTGGTATAATGAGAAGTCCCTGGTGGCTGACCTTAATTCGTGGTCGTGAGAGTACAACCGTTCACTATGAAGATGGCGACCCGAATAGATACATGCTATAGGAAACCCTTACGTCCTGTGAGTGACACTTCAACTGAATGATGTAGGGCGCAAGTCTTTCCGGAGGGCAGTCCATCCGAAGCAGTAAGATTGATACACCTGCTTCATGCAGTATGCTAAGCACTCCAAAAAGCTTTCGCCAATAGGGCAGGAAACAGGTCTTCAACCCTTAATCTCCAAATCATCAATCCACCGATACGTATCTGAAAGCTCAGAGTCAGTCCTACCAAGCTCTATATTGTCAACCTAAAGCTTCAACTGGCTGTCATTGTTTCTATCATTGCCCAAGACGCTAGTTTGCTCTTGCTCACCGACAGGCTGACAACAAACAACACAGGACAGTCTATGTCGGGCGATATTCGAACTGTACGAGCGAGGTCTGATGAATGTGCCACATGGCAAAACTAAATGATTTCCAGGCTCATGCAGTTCACGTATATGTCGCTTGAGGTTGTCTTGCCTCAAGATGATCTTGCCACAGAATTGGCATTGATGACCTCCAGGTGGCTGATGTCGAGTTTGGTGAGGACCTTCAGCCTGTGACTGGTCGTTTGCGCTATCCCTTCGCAATTCTGAGGCGATCCCAGTGTCGGCATCCCCAGCCTCGTCTAAGTCGCTGACTTCTGACTCGGACAGCACCTCATAAGAGGAGGCTTCGGCTTTGGCATGTTTGTCGAGGGCGTTATCACTCTCATCTCCATCGTCCGCGGATTCCGGATCGCCTTTTGGGAGCGCAAATAAGGCAACATCACGCTGATGGCGCCCGATATGACTGCGATATACCTTTAGGGATGAAAGATTTTTGAAACAGAAGGGACACGAAGACTTTGAGTCGGGATCCAAGGGTTGTGAACTTGCCGTTGCCGGTGTTTCAACTTGACTGTTCTGTTGTTTTCCAGGATGTCTCTTCCGCATATGAGCGACTAATTCGGATTTGGACAGAAATCCTCTCTCACAGTCAAACTGGCAGCGGTGAGTTCTCAAATGGTTTTGTAACGTGTGTTGTATCCACTCGTGACGGCTTGCGAACCGGATCTCGGGAGTTGTACAATCTTCGAAAAGACAACAGTAAGGCATGAGATCGCAGTACACATGCTCTCTGGTGATCTTTTGTGAGCTTAATACAACAATATCTTAGCAAGTTCGACTTACCTCCAGGATACCTCATCCGGAATATTCACCAGTTCATAGCAAAAGATGCATTCAAACGGTCCTCTGTATGTTTCTTTTGGCAATGGAGGGATCCTGGGTTTCTCGTGGCCTCCCATGGATGTTGCAAATGAAGTCAGGGAGACAGTATCTTTCAGTTGAGCCGGCTCGTCCAGGTATTTGAATGTGTTCCCCTGCTTCATGTTGTCGGGTATGGAAGATATCACGGTAGCCGGTATGATTTCTGTTATGTTCGTGTCTCCGTGGGTGTTGAGGCCATGAGAAATATTCAGATGATGCTTTTCTCTGTATGTGAAAAACTCTCGCCGTTGAGAATTCGCTTTGCCAAGCCTCTGTGCCAGATACTCCTGGATTCCTCTGAACTTTTCTCTAACATGATTGATATCGAAAGACTCGAATCTTGAAGCATTCCTAGCTTTTGAAGCCAAAAAACGACCATGAGGAGCTGGTTTTTGTATGGCGACACTTAGACGCAAGAGACAGTCGACCATTCCAGCAATGCCAGCTGCAACATGCTCCATTTCAGATTCTTCGTCTGAACCATCCAACGAATCCCCGTCGTCCTCCCATTTCCCTGACGGAGTCATCTGGCTAGTTGTAGTCTGAAAAGCCTTTTCGAGCCATGTCCTCAAAGTGAGAAGGAGCTTCATGACTTGCTGTCGTATGTGCGGGGCTTCGCGTAGTTTGTATTCCAACGAAGCTGCGTCTTTTCTGTGTGCTCCAACATTGCCTGTCCATATCTTGAATCGATCAAACTCATCATCGAGCGTCAGAGACAGAGGCGAAACAGTTAGGCGGCTCTCGACGTCCTGCTTAGTTTTCAGGACCCGTTCGAAACCTATAAGGACTTCTCGCACTACATCTGCAGTAGTGCTCTCCATGACCAAGTGCTTGAAATTGGAAGAATACGTGGCGGGTTCCATTAACGGATTTAGCCAACCAAAAGAATAAATCTTGGCCACAGATATATGAGTAACCTTCTAACACAGCTTAATATAGTCAAGGCGTGTGGCCTTCAGTTGGTATTGGTAGAGGACGACGATTTTCCAGTGTCAAGCTTGGTCTGTTGGTTTCATGTAGTAGCGGATCTTGATAGGTAAGAGGCAATTTTTATTTCTCATCAGGCTGAACCATTGAACTGCCAGAGATATTACCCCGCACTGTGAGCGAACCATAAGCTTCTTACGTGGTCTTGTGTAGGCCAGCCGCGGGGCTGCACGTTGGTGCGGGCTGGTTAATGTCACTCCCCTGATGATGGCGATGTATGGAAATCCCACTTTTCAGAGTTGCGCATCTTATGAACATTAAAACTCACAGCATCTAATCGGTCAAAAAAACATGTCTGGCTTCGAGATCGCAGGTATCGTGTTAGGAGGTATCCCTCTGCTCGTCTCGACTCTAGAGCATTATCGGCAAGGTCTCTCTGCGCTAAAGAGGTGGTCAAGGTTCGAAAGAGAAAGGGAGATTCTGGTCTTTCACCTAGAATCCGAACAAGTAAGATTTCAAGATATCTGCGGTCATCTTCTCGGCGACTTGGTCTCAGAGCCTCAGCTTGAGCTACTGGCCAGTGTTCCGGATGGACCAGAATGGCACAAACCAGATATCGAGCAGAAGTTGAGGGCCCGCCTCTCGAGATCATTTGACTTGTTTCGGAACACAATCAAGGATTTGAACTTTGCAATTCAGGAGATGCAACGGCGTTTAGAAATACGGCCTGACAACAAGGTGGGTACTGGTAGTTGAGTTGAGGGTACATTATGTTAACATTGCGTTATCGTCAGACCAGCATGAAGGCAACTTCAACCATCATCAGGGAATACAAGCGTGTCGCCTTCACACTTGGTAAAACGGACTACAGTGACCTTGTAACGAGAATAATACAAGGCAATGACAGACTCGATCGGTCACTGAAGGGAATCTTAGAACAAGAGCCGAGGAGAAAGCATTTCTCGCAAGGGAAGCTCCTAAGACTAGTTCGAGAGGTTTCTAGTAGCGTGTATCGAGCGCTACTTTCTAGCTTTTCGTGTGCATGCACCCACGAACTTCACTTGGGTCTGGAACCGCGGTTGACAGAGCCAACTTTGGGGGCGGATGACAACGATCTCATCCAGAAAATTGTGTTTCACCTCGTTATCGACTACGAGACTCAGAAGACTACATACGAGACGCCGATGCTCCCTCGACAGCTGCTGTGGGAGGACTTAACCATCCACGCCATTCCGCAACTAAGCCATGAGCCTATAGCTCAAGATTCCCTTGACGTCCAAGTTTCTCAGTCTATCAATGGTCTACACCAGCCAAAGACTGTGAGCTTTTCACTGCCTTGGCGCTCTCGGATGAAGGAAGACTGTGTTGAGCAAAGAGCAGCTGGGATGGCTGTTCAGAGCAGTCTATCAGCCATCTCCAAGAGTCCAGCCAGTAAAAGACTTTACGAGAAAGTCCAACTGTGCAACACCATTCGCAATGCACGAAAGCAATCTGGTACCGACTATTATGGCATGATAGTGGACCCAGATGTGAAAAGTAGTCAGATGTTCAAAATCTCTCCGGCCACAAATGCCAACAATACCGAGGAATGGTGAAGAGTGTCTCTAAGAGAAGTATTGGAGAGTCCGGGCATGTTTCAAGCAATGCGTCGATCAGTTCGGCTGCGTCTGGCGACCACTATCGCATCGAGTTTCCTTCAGCTATACCAAACACCATGGGTTCCAGAGCTGCTGTCCAGTCGTAACATCTTCTTTCTGATTAGAGGCACACCGAAAGATCCCAGCTGCTACAATCACCCTACTGTTGTCAAGACTGGCCCGAATGGGTCTCATCAAATTCAGCATTACGATTACGCAGCTACCTGTTACAACCCCGCTCTAGTCTCACTAGGTATCTTGCTTATGGAGCTGGAACTAGGAAGAACCATCGATTCCCATCGCACACCCCATGAGGCACCGCCAATCGATATTTTATCACTGGACCACGATTCCGCGACCGCACACAGGCTGCTGGAAGAAGGGTGTCTGAGAACCCCTAGTTATGCCAACGTCGTAGATCTATGCCTCAATGGAGGAGATGGCCTACCGGAACCAGATCTAAACAACGAAGATTTCAGACAGGAAATATACGAGAAGGTAGTGCTTGCTATAGAGAGAGAATCAAAGTGCGTGACTTGGAACTATGGCATGAAAAACGCCTCCTCTGCATAGGCAAGGGGATGCGTGATATGTTACGAACCGACTCTATACGGCCTAATAGCTCACACCAACCCTTTCGTAGAACTAATAAATCATTGAAGGAGCTTTGGTAGCACTTGAGTACTTGATCTCTGGTTGCAATGATGAAGAAAAATGCTCTCAGTGTGATTGTGAGACTTCGTACAACCCAACGTAGCCGTTGCGTTTCTGTGCTGCGACAAGGTTAGTATAACTTCTTAATGAGGATATTCACATGCCAAAGCTAGTAAAATTCTGTGGGTCATGGAGTTGCCTGAACGCCTCAGCTTTCAGAGATCTACTGCTGTTCCACGTACGATGTCTAATGTCAATCCTTCTGGAAACAATCAATTGCTCCGGAGGCCGGCAAAGGGGGCGTCCAAGTCTGACATCAAAGTGTATACATGGTCCGTGCATTTCACCAGACTCGTCCTTGGTGAGCAGAATCCGGAACTTAGCCTCCCACAGGGAATTTCGCCTAGTGTCGCCCAACAACTCATTCCCGAAAGTCTGACACTATTCTTGGCTCTTTCCGGCTTCTAGGAAGGATTGTAGAACACGTAGTAAGCTTTAAAAATCATCCAATTGGCCCTGCTCTTGCGCTTTTGCACAACCCCCGCATACGTTACCATAACCCATTATCAACCAACATCAACAGAGTCAACGACAAACACCAAAAATACCATCGTAGAGACGTCAGAACGGCAAAAGAAATGACCCCCACCCGATTTGAACGGATAACCTTTCGATCTGGAGTCGAACGCGCTACCGTTGCGCCAGAGGGCCAATTGTTGGTTGTTGAAGATATTCGCAAAAATGCCGCATAAGAAGGCTACCTCAATCCTGGATCCACGCTTGGATGAATGCCCATGTGCGGGGATGATCCCGCCAGAGCCACTGCGCGGCCCTGTTCGGCCAGAACCTTAACTACCACGTGGGTTCAACAACTCGGTATGAAACAGTCAATTATGTCGTCCAACAGTCTCCGGCTGGATTCCAGGACGGATTTCTATTGTGGGCATTGCAGGGACGTTGTGTAAAACTAGTGCCGTCATATCCGCGTCTCCACGGGTTCGTCAGAGGCCAAGTGAGTTGCCAGACTCTTGCCAACCAACCCGCACGTTATGTCCGCCGTGGCCCCTATCAAGTGCATCTCACTTCCACACATTGCGGCCCGGCCAATTGACATCAACGGGTGATCGGCATCCATGTCAACTGTGATACACGCCATTAGTCTGTCATCAGTTAATTGCAGTGTGCTTGATGGCCCATCGGTTTGAGATGCTTGCATCGGAGGTTCGTTACCGTCTTCGGCAGGCGGCTAGAGCTTCCTTGCACGATCCCGACTTTGGCCGCGCGCACGGTCAGAAGCGTCCATCCTGATGTGGTAGTTGTTCTCAGTTGTACTTTAGATGATTGGCGGTTTTACCCGCCAAATGGTCAACCCGAACATCTTCAACGGCGGGCAAGATGACAACAGTATGGCACTACTTTGACTAGCTCTGATGGCCGCTGATTGTCAATTACGGTTCTGGTGTGAACTCCTTAACACAGAACTCGCCGTTGCTCTAATCATCACTTGCAGCTAGAAGACATGATCGCTTCCATAGCCGTCACTCTTTCTACATGTGCAACTTCACATTTCTGAAGCAAGAAAAGAACATACGTTTTTTTATGTGCCACGGAGCCATCATTAGAGAGCATAAAAACTCTCGCTCCTACTAAATAAAGATATACATGAAGTAGTCCATGAGGCTAGCCAACCGGTTTGCCTCTCGACAAAGTAATTATCATTACCTTCTCTCCACCCCTCATACCCTCATAGCCTCCCAAAGCAAAGGCCTGAAGTACTCGCCCTTTTACAACGCAGCCTTGCCGAGGTTGTTGACAAAGTTGGCCTCCTTCATGGGCACATTGGCGCTGCCAAAGTCAAAGTTCTCGAGAGTGGTGCGCGCGGCGGTAGTCAGCGACTCCCACGCAATCAGGGGCTGCTGACCGCCAACATCGCTAGTGAAGATCATCTGGTGGTTGACGGGCCAGATGCTACGGTAGCCGACACGCGGGTGCGTGGTGCCGGTGAAGTCGATGCCGGACGTCTTCGTGTCGTAGTTGCCATGGGCTGAGACGGCGACGCCCAAGACCGTAGCGGAGTTGGATGCAGCAGACAGCCAGACGACGACATTCTCCCAGTCGTAGCGGTGGCCCAGACCGTCTGAAGGCTCGTCCTTGGGCATGAAGTACGAGTACATGATGGCGTAGGCGCCGTTGTAGGTGCCGCCGCGGGCGTAGACCTGGCCGGTGCTGGAGGAGCAGCCACCGTTGGAGGAGCCAGTGGGAGAGAGGCCGCCGCTGAGTGGTGTTAGTGAAATGTTTGGGCGAGGAAATCGGGGGAGTCGGTGAACATACCTAACATCTCCAGCGGCATTGACCGCGGGGAAGGGCACGCATCCGTTCACGACCTTGAGGTACGGCTTGTACTTGAGGTACAGACTACCAACGGTGCCCGAGGGGACAGTCTCTGGGAAGCCGACAACGGCATCGTGGGCGATGGTGGCGCGGCGCTCAAGGGGGCAGCGGTGACGGTGCCAGCTGCGGCTGCAAGCCACGAGGCAAGACGGAAGAGGGAAGGTGCCATTATGGACAGAGGATACGATTTGGATGTCGCGAGGTAAGAGTGGGCGGATTGGTAGATATGGGAACTGTCAGACGAACTGGGAGATCGTCTCTAATTATGTGTATCCGATCTCTGAAACTGTCACGGCTGCAGGTGACAAGAGTGACGTGATATGTCTGACTCGGGAGAGTAAAGATGGGCTCGAGGAATGAATGACCAGGCTTGTTCCTGCATCACATCAGCGTCGCCCTGCATCTTATAATAATGTTTCTTAACCTCTTCGCCCTGTTGCGGCATGCCATTCACACACGGGCGAGCGAGGAGGGTGCCAACAAGGGTTCTCCAAAGCGTGGCCCAGGAAACCAATATTCTACAACGCCGTCAACTCCGAGCTACGCTTCTAATTACTCGAATTTCCTCTTCGACCTCTTGACTCCGCCCGTGGCACGACGTTGCGACGCTATTGGGCCAGTGAGAGCAGGACCCAAGTGCCGCGTGCCGGTACTAGCATCGCGAACGCCCACTCTTTGCTGTCAGCGAGCGGTCGATACCCGCATCGCGGAGGAGTAAGCTCTAGCTGCAGCCATCCAGGGGGGCACGCACTAGAGCGTAAGCAGAAGGTGGTTGGAGGAGGTTGAGAGCTGGGGGCCGCTGGGAACATGGAGGTATCCGCAATATTGAAGGCCCATGAATTGGGTGCCGAGCTGATCCCTGTCGCGGTTCCTGGATCCGGCATGTTGTCCGCCGCCAGTGGGAGACCATGTAACCTTGACGAATCCTCTCTTCTGTACCGGTACCTCCCCGCCCAAGCGTTTGAGAGCTTGACTCTGGGTCGCACATTGGCGGTGACGAAATCCACCTTATGATGATTGAGTTGTGGAGGAGCGAGCCCACGTTTCTTCGCTCAACGGCCAAGGTTCGGCCGAGTGGGAAACAAATATAACACGGACTGACGACGGATGCATATCGACGATGACGAAGAGCATAAAGGTCGCTTAACACATCCCGCGTCAGTCGCTACGTGCGGAAACGGTTATGCGCTTGCGCGTCTTGCCACGCCTGCGCTGTTGAACCGGGTTGTCGCCTCTTGTTGCTATGATTGGCAGTTTTACTACAGTTTCGACGCAACTGCTACTCTGCCGGCGCACGCATAACCATCGTGGCGATCCCGGCCAATCTCGCCTCTAGGATCATGTGTGCAGAGATCGTGTTGGTGGGGGCCTGCAATACTCTATTGCACCTCTGTTGAGATTGGAACAAGCATTCAGGGTTTAGCATGACAATCCGAAGCCGGGCGCGACTACCTCATGAGAGCGATTTGGGTACCCAGCAGAGAGGCCTGTCGGTAAAGGGTTGGGTTAGGTGTGGTCAAGGCGCCAGAATGCCAATATTGCAATCTGTTCGAGTCAGGTTTCGGTACCAACCGATTCCGTGAACTCTGCAAAGGCCTTTTGATGGGTCTCGGAGTACGAATGCGGACAAGAAGTCTGGAGCACCAAAAAGATTGCGGCGGATGCTGGCCCAGATAAAAAGATCGTGAAAGGAAGGTGAAGGGGGAAGATGGAGAAGCAAAGAGGTAGGCAGATTTTGTCGACCTCGTAACACAGCATTGCAAAGTGCAGTGTGACCCCCGTGACGGAGCCCTCCGCAAGTCAAGACAGATACGATTGTGCTGCATTACATATCTGACCTAATAAGAGAGGAATTGAGATGGGTATCACAAAGCTTTCCGAATATCGTTACTACAACAACCCGTGACAAGTTGTCGTCCTTCAAAACTCAAGGACGTCCCTTCCGTCAACGGCCTCCAGATTAACATCAATTTTCTCTCCCCCGTGTCATGACACCCATCAAACCAAATTCAAAAGACACAGCTTCAGCTAAAGTCCCACGACTCTCCCCACAACTCGTTCAAGTTCAATCCCAGAGCTTCAAGACTAAAGTCGGGATTGAACGACTGCGCCTTTGCCAACACACTGTCAGCGACGAGTGCTGGGGAGAAGTCGCCGTGAAGACTCACCTGCGGGTCGATGGATGAGGGCATCCACGGCAGCGGCTGAGGCAGGAGTCCGTCGACAGTGTTCTGCGACGACGGATAACCCTGGAATGAGAATGGCGTGACCGACTTTGAGAGGTGGGTCAGCAGCTGCTCAATGCCCGACGACGACGCCGGGAGGAAGTCGGGGATGCTCACCTTTGGTCTCTCCGGAACCTCCAAGCCGGGGATCTTGGAGAGTTCCGATTGCTGACTCGACACCGGGGGCTCCTGGTTCGCCAGCAGCTTGTAGTGCAGGTTGACAAATCGCTCCGCGGACGAGGCCTTGGCCTGTTCAGTCGTCTTTGTGCCCAGATGCGCCTCGAGCAGGCCGAGGGCCGAGCACATGATGGAGTAGCCCCACGGCTCGGTGTTGCCGCAACGGAGGAGTCTATCTTCCTTCATGGACAGACACTTCTCGAGGAGCTTGACAGTGTGTTGGGAGTTGATCATGATCATATTCGTGGAGCCGCGCGGCTGCAGCATGGTGACGCTGCAGAGGTTGACGGCCGTTGTGAGAGCGTCTTCGCGGAGGAAGTTGAGGCAACGGATGCCCTGCTCATAGAGCTTGTCGTGCAGAAGAACAATGTCTCGCGCGGCGTTGTAGTAGATGATTTCCGAGTACTGGTACTTGGCGTTGGATTTGCGCAGCTTGAGGAAGGGTTGGTGGAGGGGGATGATGTACTGGCGGAGCTGGATGTGAAGTAGAGTGTAGGCGAGAAGTGGGCGCTTGCCGCCGTGTGTGTTGTTGTTGTTGTGTTCCCACGAGGGCAAAGAGTCGATTTCGTGCGTAATGTCGTTCGTGTATCGGATGACTTGATCATAGTCTATCTCTCCTGGCGGCCCGCAGAGAAGCCGGCTCAACTCCATGCGCAGGGGCAGACTCTGACGGGCCAGGTTCTGGTAAGAGGAGTAAGTATATTCCTTCCCGTGTTTGGACGGAGGCAGTTGGGTGGTGTCCTCGTCAAAATCCTCATCGTCCAAATTCCTCGGCGGTTGCACATCGTAGTGCAGCTGGCTCACCAGCGTGGGCAGGCCGTGGTCGAAGGAGGCTTGCATGTCAAACTCCTGAACCGTTGCCCATATCCTCCGTCTCATCTCCTGGTTGTACACTGAGATCTTGCCCGACATGTGGCTAGGCTCCCGGTGCAAGCCGACTGAAATTCCATCCTGGATGAGAGCTCCCGAGTTCGTCCAAAAGCGCTTCTTCTTCACCGTGTTAACCCGCTTGCTGAGATACAACAAGCAGGCGATCTGGTAGTGAATGAGTTTCCGGTGCTTCATGCTCTGACGGCTCTGCCACTCTTCGACAGCCTTGATCCATTTCTCGGCAGTAGTGTGCGCATTCGAAATCATGCCCGTGAACCTCAAAGACTCATGGGTGTGGATGCAATTTGCAACGGCGCAGATTGCCAAGACGAGAGCAGTGAGCGCGGCGTAGCGGGATTCGGTCGGGTTCTCCCAGAACTGTGAGTATTCCCTACGGAACGTAGGAATGTGGATGATGCGGTGCATTTGCTCGAACTGGTCAATGTAGACCTCCACCAGGGCATCACAGTGGTCTTTGGGTGGAAGCAGAGACTCGAGCCGAGGGTCGGGCTGGAGATAAAACTTGTCCCGATCCTCCTTACGCTTCTTGCGATCTTTCCGGTCATGAGCCTTGACCGGCTTCAGCCACTCATCTGCGGTCTCCTTCATGAAGGGACACAGTCCGGTCAACTATTAAAGAGTCAGGTACGGGTTCAAAAAAGGCAGAAAAAGGCACTCGTGTGTGTGTGTTGGAAAGACTTACCTCGATGAACGCCATCGTCGCGTTGTGAGGCCCAAAATACCGCGTCCTGAACTCCTTCCCCCTGAAAAAGCGGAGCTCGGACTTGTCCCCATCGCTGTACTGATGCCAGCAAGACTGCATTTCCGAGTTGTTCGCGCAGGGATCCGCGGGCGCTTCACTGGTCTCGTCCTTTTGAGTGAGTGGTGAGTTGGTACCGGCTACGGTGCTTCCGTCGAATGAGGACATGGCCTGTCGTGTGAGTTGAGTTTTGAGCTGAGAAACCTCCAGCTCAAGGCGGCGTATACGGTCGTGGTCCTTAGCTGCCTCGCGGATGACGGACATGTCGGCCTCCTTGCCAGGCATGACCAATTCGCCATTTCTGCGTGAGTCGAGCTGAGCAAACGCAGGCGGAACACCGGAGCTTGCGTTCAAGACAACTCCCGACTTGGTTTCGTAGGTGCAGCGATCCGGCGTGCCGCTTTTCAGACACCGCTGGCAGGGGTAGCCTCTGTCACAGGATAACTTCCTCCGACGACACTCCAGGCAGCTCAAGCGGACACGCTGACGCTTACGAGGGTGCTGCGAGTTCTCATCGTCATCGCGAGAGTTGGTTGGAGACAGACTCCCGGCTTCGTCCACCGAGGGAGACATTGTGTGGTTGGCGGAATTCATTCGGAAGGCGGCTCGATGTTTGTGATGCGGGAGGCAGAAAAATTGATCAAAAGCGAGGGAAAAATATGCTGCGCGCAGGGCAGGCCACGGGCATGGTTATATCACAAAGTACGAAGTGACAATACAGGCAAAACGATCAGCCTCCGGACCGGAGAGACTACTTTTCACCTGCCGTTTGCTGTCAAGATGTGCCTCGAAAATCAAGGGAAGAAACTTCCCCCTGTCAGTCAGCGCCACTTACCGCCGAGGGCGCGTCGTCCATGCTTTAACAGACGACAGCGCTTGGACAGCAGGAAAAATGTTAGGAAGAGTAGAACTGGCTTATGTAAAACCTCCAAATCCGAGCGCCGAAGCTGTATCACCGAGCAGCTCCGAGTTACCTCGACCCACTTCGAAGACACCCGGATGTGGGGCATCTGATAAGATTAGATCGGGCCTTCCCCTCCCAACGTTCTCCATTCTTGACTCACACTGCAGGGATTCAGATCAGATAATTTTTCCAACCGCGTTGCAGCCCACAAGCCGGAATCCCAAAGGAGTCAGGAACTGGAATAAGCCGATGCAAGACGCGCGGTTCCCACCATCTTCACCTGAGCCGACATGCATCTGCCTGCGATCGGGTTACACCATCACCATCGTTGACCCTGAAGTAGGTACTCACACCACACCACACCACACAAAGAGACAATGGGCACGCGAAGCCACGAGGAGGGTGCGGCCTTGCTAGGCTGACCAAGGGAACTCGGAGTCGACGGATGGCGCCCTATGACGCACGCTGGTACAATCCTCCGGCCGTTGAGCTGTAAAAGATTTGCTCATGCCACAAGTCCTTCTGAGACCCCAAAGGCCGTTTTCCTAGGATGGCCTGCTTGATCTGTCCTGGCGGATCATGTCATTCGTCAAGGGCTGTGCCACACCGACTACGACTAGCTCTGCCGACTCAACCGGCCATTGCAATGGTCCGCCTCCATCAATGGATCTCGTTTGTCATGCAAACTACGCAGAATACTTGGCGCTGGTCTGCTCTTCAATTGGGTCGAAATGCCCGACTGTTTTCGGAGCAACCCTCGATCCATTCTCACAGGACGCATCTGCAGACGGCTGCTGAGGATGACGACTTCTGACAACCCTGCACCAACGGCGGATGTCCAGCAAGACAGAAGAATTGATCAACTTCAAAGGGCCACTTTCCTGCTGGGTCCCGAAGGATTGGCTTACACACGGTAGTAATGGGACATCTCCAAGACTCGCAGCTTGGAGCAATACTTTTCAGTCCAAAACATGGGATCAAGACCCAGCCACGCGGGCCAGCAGTTACACTAGATGTCTGTGGAGACGAACTTTCTCAACTGCGTCAATTCGAGGCATTCACGTTTCCTTGCAAAAAGACCCCATCGCTCTAGCTCCAGTCGACTCGAAACCCCCACACCAGACCCAAAAAGCTTCTTGCAAACGCCGGGCAGCGAACCCAACCTCACGTTGTTGCACACACAGCGCAGAGTCTACGCGACTTTTGATCCCTGCCGCGGATTTTCTTCAACCCACCAGGATTATTATCAGATGAAGATATCCCTGCCACCGCGGATCATCTCTCCGAGATCGGTGCATGGGCCGGCGCAAGTTACTGTGCCACATTGAGGCGTTGGAGCGTTTCAAGGGGATCGACGTCAAACACCGCACGGAATGCTTGCTCAACTACGCGACACAGGGCCACCAAGGACCCAGTGTGCTGTAGCATTCTGAGACAACAACCGGGGCGGATGCGAGTCCGTGTTGTTGAAATGCCTTGCAGCGTTTCTTGCCGCGAAAACCCGCGGTTTTTGCGCCGGAATAAACAAACAACCCATCGCATTCCTGCTTCTTGAGATCGTCAACTGACGACTGCAGCGCCACAACGTGTTCGTCGGGCTACGATGCGTCTCCTCTGTTTTTCTCTGGCTGGATTGCTGGCGACCGTCGGAGCCAGTCACATTGGCGGCAGAGCTTTTGATAGGTACATTTCCATCTGGCTGGAGAACCAGGTATGTGAGCCCACAGTTCCTTGTGGACAACGTCCCTCGCTGACATTGGCCGCTCGAACAGGACTTTGCCAAAGTCGTCAAAGATTCCCACATTGCCGATCTGAAGAAAGAGGGGATTCTTCTGTCCAACTACTATGCGCATACCCACCCGAGTCAGGCCAACTACATCGCCGCTCTCGCCGGAGATTACTTTGGCATGAACCACGACGAACCAGTGCGACTGCCAATCAACGTGTCGACCATCGTGGATCTTCTCGAATGGCGGGGACTGCCATGGAAAGCCTATATGGAAGACATACCTGGCCCAGGCTATTTGGCCGCAGCCAGCGACGGCCAGACTGGCAATGACAAGTGGGACTACGTCCGGAAACACAAGTTTGTTGCCCACGAATGTCGCCGAGTCTGCGGGTACTAATATTCGTATAGCCCGTTTGTGTCTTTTGACTCCATCAACCTCAACGGGACCCGACTGTTGAACATTGAGGGATTTGATGATTGGAAGATTGACTTCGAGAAGAAACAGGTGCCTCAATGGGCCTTCATGTCCCCTAACATGATGAACGATGGCCATAATACATCTTTGGAGTATGCCACGAAATGGGCGCACGACTTTTTGAAGCCCATGCTACAGAAAGAAGTCTTCAAAGAGCGCACACTAATCCACCTGACTTACGACGAGTCCGAAGACTATAAGAAACCGAACCAGATTGTGTCACTATTGCTAGGGAGTGCGATACCTAATTATCTCAAGGGGACCGAGGACAAGACCTTCTACACCCACTACTCGATGCTATCAACAGTTGAGTACAACTGGGAGACTCCGAATTTGGGGCGGTACGATGTGGGCGCCAATATCTTCAAGTTCGCACAAGATCTCGGTAGCCAAGTTATCGTTCCGAACAAAGATCCGCCTAATATAGCCTCGGTGAACAACTCGGAATCTTACTTTGGCGCGCTTAACAACGACAGCAGCAAATTTCGCCCTTACCCTCCTCCAAACCTCGCCCTCAATGGATCCAGCGGCTTTCCAATCTTGGAACGTATCCGCCTACAATGGGTATTCCATAATCAGCCGACGCCGTATGATGGAAAAGGCACCCTCTATGACGCGAACTTCCAGCCTCAATACGTCCCACAAGCCGTATAGGAAGCTTGAGCAGACAGGCGAACTCAAAAAGGCTACCGTGTCAAGTCCTGGGGATTTCATAAACCAAGAACAACGCGCATTCACAACACCATAACACCCTGGCTTCATAGTGCTCAGTGTGTCCGGCGATACATAACCGGCACTCGATATACCCGGCTGCACCGGGCCTTCTGCGAAAGAAAACCACAAAGCCACTTGCGGGTGTGAATCAAGGCCTGTAGAGTCTCACTTCTCAGTTGCAGCAAGATGTCAGAGGCTCCATGATCGCAATTGCCAGTCTTCCTGGCCAAACTGCAAAACACGCCTCCTAGTGGCTGTTTTTGTTTGGCGCTGCTAGGTGGTCTCCCAAATTCCTGCAGAAAACCCACCTCGAGAGCTCCTCTTTCTTTACCTCTATAAACGCAGTATACTCACGCCCGAAGCCCAGCGGGTTCATCGACTCAGACAGATGATTAGGTATTCATAAACCCGGATCACTCGATCCGCACCGCGCTAGTCTAGCCAGGAGCAAGAACCAGCGAAGAATCGAAGTTTCCCCCACAACTTCGAGAAAGTTTTGCTGGCCAATGGCAGCTCCTTCAGGAGTTTGCATTAGGGCCATCGCACGGAAACCTCTGCCATGACCTTTTTTGTTGAAAAATCTCCGCCACAAGGCCCAAAGAAAGACAGCTCCTTCTGGTTCCTGATCCACTATCTGTTTTTCTTTACGTACTGGCGTGGCTGAAGGAGGATGCTAGATGCGTACAGAGAGGAAGCCTACCGCAGAATAAGCTAGTCGATCATCGGAAGTGGGGGAATATTAACTCATCAGCATTGAGTCCTGAAGAAGCATAGGCGTATGACGGAAACACGAGGAGCTTGGATCAACGATGCATCGGAGCAGAGTCCTCATCGGGGTACAGAGATATAAGCATAACAAGCTGAGATGTCAACCAAATTCGACGGGCCAGCAGATGTTAGATGTCAATACGTGGACCAGCATCGAATCCTGAGTGTTTCAACGCTTGGGAGGGAGGAGATTCAGCAAGTATGTGCTATCGGCCGACCAGAGATGGAATGCACTGTACCTCTCGTCTGATTCATTCTCGATAAGCTGCATGCCATGGACCCAACTTGCAATATGGACTACTGGTCGTCCAAGCGGCGTCAAAGCAGAAACTTCGAACCATTGAATCAAGCCAGGCTGTGGGCGGAAACATGACTCGATACTTCTGAGGACCCTACGCGAATCTTGAAGAGGCAAGCCTATGACAGTCGTATTGTCCTCTACAAGACGTTAGACTATACACGAGCCCTTCCGTGGGTTCCCTTATACCTTTTTAAAGACGTGCTTGACCTGGGCAACTGGCCATGAGGCATTGCAATATCTGCGGGCGATCTTTTCATTCTTACCACCTCCTCGCTCTTGCTCTCGCACAGGACAGCAGTCTACGTTGCGAAGGGGTGCGACGGGAACACGACACCGGGATTTTTCCATGACTCAAAATACTGTAAGTTTTTGCGGGTGAAGAGACGCGCAGGTAGCCGCCAGTATGGAACGGGAGGATTTTGGAGACCGCTCTCCCCTCATCACAGGACAGCCGTTTGGGTAACCAGGGATCGCTCCGGCGCTGCATGGAGGCGGTTTGGTTGCTTTTGTGCGTCAGTCGAAAGCCGGCTTTGTACCACTGTTTCGTATCCAACACCCCGTGGTGGAACCTGGTCTCCCGTCCCACTCTTGCAGCCAGTCAAAGGGGTGAAAAAGAAAACCGCCGGTCTGACTTTGACCTTTCTACTTTCCGAGGGCAACAACAGCACCAGATCGGGATTAATTATATCAAATGTACATCTCTTAATTATCCTCACTGGCGTAAGAAAGTGCCAAACTGGTTTTCAATTTATGATTCGGGATTGAATGCCGTGTAGCGATGCGGTTGAGTCGAGGCCCCTCTGGAAAAAGCGGCGGTTTGTTTTTTCACCCGATGGCCAGTCTACTGAGCCTTCAAGTGGCGCTTCGGAATTGCTTAGACGTACGCGAAGCTCGATCGGATGGGGGCGCCGTGTTGAAGGTCCACTAGACCGCGCCGGTCTCCGAAGCTCTGGCGTGCTGAAGAAAGCTAGCGGCAACGTGGTCGGCCAACAGAACCGATCTCAATGGCCAGCATCACTTGCCTCAGCTTGGAAGCCCCCTAGACTGCGATGAACATCGTGCATGGATCGACGTTGTAATGCGATGACACTTCAGCGTCACACGAGGTTCGTAGCCGTTGCTAAGGCTTTTGAGCCCCGGACGATGCATGGCAAAAGGGAGATCAGAAACTCCCCGTAAGGCCATGCGGGGTAGATTGGGCTAGATTGAACATCCCCTCCTCTTCTGGGCCTTCAATACTCTTTGTGTATTAGTCGATTTGCCCGTAAATTGGATGAAACTAAAGAAGCGCACGTTGCACGCCTACACAAAGGCAAACATGATTCAGTGAAGCTCCAGAGCATAAAGACTTGGCCCTCATTAGGTATTAGCGGAAGGCACAGCGATCGGAGTAGTGTTGGGGCCACGCGCGTCCTTGCCGTGGGCTTCTCAGGGTTGTAGAAACTAGTGCCTCATTGCGGTATACGGATTGGCAGTGACATATCCAGAAACCAATTCGCCTTTACTTTGGTGCTACGGGATAAGTATGCACGTAGCCGTTGCGCTTCAGAAACCTCACCAGTACGCAAAGCATCAGCATAGGATACACCATCCCATTGACAATGGCGCATCGCCACAGACTCACCGTTGGCCAGTCACACCTGTCATCATCACGGACGTCTGTGCAACTCCGAAATGGGAGGCCTCTAATCCCAGTATGGCAGACGCTTTTAGTTCCCCCATGCGTGAGGCACATCGGGTAACGCTGGTTTCGGGTGCAGCTGCCTACTGTACGCTCTCGAGCCGTCTGCTGCTAGGCAGGAGGTTCCCAAGGGTGCTTGCCACTACCGATTCGTAGCGGACCGCTCGCTTTAGACCTGATGTCTAGGTAGAGTTTGATTCTGTCATAGTTTCCCGCGCGGTCCCCTTGAAGAATTCGGACTGGACTGCATTCCACTGCTTATATTGCGGATGCTTTCCCACGTCCCTAGGTGACATGGCAAGCGTCTGTGCCTTAGGTCCAATACGAGGAACACTCGCCCTGGCCACGGCGAACCTTCCACTGGCTTCTTTTTCCTTTTTTTCTCCTCCTGTCAGACAGCATCACTGCTGACGGACAGCATCTTTGGCACCATGAGGCAGGCTATGTTAACCGGCCTAATGGTCGCCTTCTTCGGAGCCTCAAATGGTTCCCTGATAGATTACGTAGGCAGATTACCTGAATGTGGGGTGAGTCGCTTCCATTGAGGAGACGTCCAAGGACAAAACTGAGCACGTCGCTGACTTGGCTGTCTTTACTTAGCTGGCATGTGCTCTGGAACAAATACCCCTTTCGGCGTGCAAGGTCGTATCGAACGATACCTGCATATGCAGCGACGAGAAGCTGCGAGCGAGTGTTCAAACATGCCTTCTCGAGCGGTGCAAGAGGCTGGAAGCGATAGGTATGCGTGTAGTTGATGAGTTACTATGATGTGGCGATTGGTGGACTGACGCCCATACAGATGTTGCGAGGATAGAAGCCGAAGTATGCAAACGACCAGTCCGCAGGCGAAAGGCAGATATATTGGCGCCCATCGTTATACAAGCTCTCGGAATACTCGCGGTGCCGCTGCGGTTGTATGCTCGTTGGACGACCGTGCATCGGTTCGAGACAGACGACTGGATCATGATCTTTTGCGGGGTATGTGAGGCGTGCAAGGAAGTATCGGACTCACCATCTGACATGCAATAGCTTCTTTTCATTGTATTCGTTATCCTCGGTCATCTGGGTATGTCCAACTTTCGTCTACATCCTGTCTCTGTTCGCTGACAAGAACCCAAGCCGGTTGGGTTGCATTTGGGGAAGACATTTGGATGGTCAAGCCGGAAGAGCTCACGTTCGGACTCAAGGTTGGAAAGAAGATTCATGTCGTGCTGTGCCATCAACGCTGACCATAGGTCCAGATCTTCTTTATCGACGAGAGCTTTTACCTCACCTGCCTAGGTCTAACCAAAATATCAGTGCTTTTCTTCTACCTGCGAATATTCCCGAACAAATCCTTCCGACGTGCCACGTACGCGGCCATGTCCTATATTGCCTTGTCGACTACTATCATGCTCTTCATGCAAATATTCCAATGCATACCCTTCTCGTATAATTGGGATGGGTGGAAAGGCGATTTCGGTCCGCATCACTGCCTCGACATCAACGTGCTCGCGTTCGTGGCGGGTGGGCTTAGCATCAGCCACGATATCATTATCCTCTTCCTTCCGATCCCGCTGCTGTGGCATCTCAATATGGGTCTACGCTCCAAAGTCGGCATTTTCATCATGTTCAGCTTGGGTATCTTTATTCTTATCACCTCGTGCGTGCGCTTACGGTACATCGCCTTGTTTACGCAGTCAATAAACCCGACGTGGGACTTCACGGATCCGCTCATCTGGTCAGGCATTGAGGTGTCGGTGTCGATGGTCGTAGTGTGTCTGCCTTCCATGCGAGTCCTTTTCAAACGCGGCATGCCAAGGTTTTTCAGCTCTGTGAGCTCTGTGGAAGCCTCGGCACCCAAGAAGGCGTCGATTTCGTCGTCTCGCATCGGACAGTACTTGAAGTCGATCAGCAGCCGCGATCAACAGAGCAACGATCCGTTCGGCCGAAAGGCAGCCGCGGCCGCGCGAATCGCGGAGAAGAGGAAGAAGTTCTTCTCGTTCCGATCGACCAACGTAGAGCCAGACGAAAGCCAGCTGGAGCTGGGAGACAAGCTTAGGGGCGAGGTGCGGACACAGATAAGGTATGGAGACGGCGAGTCCTCGACGCGCCGGAGCTCAATCGAGTCGGGCATTCACGTGCGCACTACTACTACATTTGAAGATATGGGTGAGGGCAACGGAAAGCTGTGATGAGAGAGAGCATGACTAAATGGCATCAGACCATTCTCGCGATATCGAAAGTCTGCGGAAGCTGGACTGAGGGCCGGCTTCCTACGAGACGAAGACGAGCGCGATACGGAACCAACTTGCGGCTACAACACTGGTTGGAAGGTTGGGACACGGGAACCAGAACACGCACGAGAACTGGGATTGAGCATTAGGAAAACGGTATACCACTGCATCGGGCGGCGTTGGGCTGACATTTGGCATGTCATTATGAGAGATGGCTGATCATGTCAACGCAATATTGATTTCGGCTTAAAAGTCACTGCATTTAACCCCTTCGGAGTCAATCTAACCTGTGAACTAAAGAGTTTGGTCGACGAAATGTGTAATTGAAATCAGCCATTTCCCAAATGCAACTTTATCCATCGGTATCCAGGCCGTGAGCCGACTTGAGTGGCACATCGACTGCACGCGCCAGCCGCAGGGTTCCTGGCTTCATTTGATCCGGGATCTATCTGGTGTACCAAGCGCAGACAGGATGATAGTCCTGTCGACCACGAGATATATCAGGGTCGTCCACCATCCGAAGCCCAGATCGGGAAATCTCATCGCAAACGCCGTTGTGGGAGCGATCCAAGCGTTTATCACCGCATAATACGCCCGTTGTTCGGGAGGCCAACGCTGGGACGGCTCAGCTATGGGTTTTTGGGTTTACCAAGTCGACAAACTTTTCCTCATAAACGCCCCGGCTTACAGATCCGGCAGCACAGATAGGAACATACGCCCGTCCATGGGGAACCTTGCTCGGGGAGAATTGCCTAGAAGTTCATTCCAAGGGGAAAAGCTCGTCGTTGGTGCTGCGTGCACCTCAGCCCACCGCCAAACAGACACGGTAAGTATGCAAGAAAGATGCAGAGAAGAAGCCTGGTGGTCGAAGATCCTCTTGAGAAGCTTATTCTGTGTCTCATCTGAAGACCATCTCCCACAGCTTGTGCGTATCTCCGCCTTGTAGTTGGCCTTTAGCCCAAATGAAAGGTTGTGTAGTCGGGCTGTATTGGTACTAGTGGTAACAAGGTCTAGCGGCCGCTTGTTGGCTGCTGTCAAGGTGTTTCTCCTGTGGGCATTACAGGTGGCTTGCTTTCTGCAGTAACTCACGACCGCCTGAAGCGCGTACAGGCGGATCTTTGGGATTGCAAGTTTTTCACATGCTTCTCGGCGAGTTCGTGGAGTCGGGACTTCTCGCACAGCCAGCTAGATGCACGTTTCTCATATCACGGAACCGTCGTTCCAGGGCATGCCTCCAATGGCGACCGGGCATATGGTGGTGCAATGATCGAAGCTATTTTATAGCCTGAGCGGGGTATCTTTCTTTTCATCAGTACCCAAACCTATAGTTCTTTTCTTACATCTTCTTGGATGTCTTATGGATTCGGATGAGGGTTAAAGAAAACTGTGCTTGTCTTTCGCCTTTCCGTGCAGGGGCGAGATCAGGAGTCGGTGGGTCGCGATGTTGCCCAGGAGGAATAGGATGAACATGATCTTCTTTGTTCCCGTCAGAGAGGTGAGACGCTGGTTGTTCCAATGACAGTTTTTAGGAGCGTATCGTACTGGTACACCTGTTTGAATCCAGAAGACTGCACAACATCATCACAGGTTCATCCCCTCACTAATTCTACTACCCACCCAATATCGACTCTGCTTCAGCTATGTGTTTAAGCAAGGCAAACAATACCCTGAAAGGATTGTATCGATAACAGCCAAGAAAATATGCGTAGTAATCATAATTAAGAAATTCAAATGACTCTAGTCATCTGAATAAACTTTCCCGGTCTAGCCCTAAGGTTGCCGAGAGCAGCAATGAAAACGATGTCGAAAACGACTACGAAGACGCCTGAAATAATGAGATGAGAAGTTTGTGCATTTAATGAGACTAGAAAACTTAATGCACTGGGCACGGACAAGAGCTGTTATCTGATCGATCTTTGGGTTCACACTATGACAACAACTAGCGCTTTGGTCTGCGCCGTCTCACCCATCGCGCTTTCTCAACAATAAACCGGGAACCTCGAATCACAACCAACAAATATTTCAGCTCAACAAGAAAAAGTATGTCTACAGCACTTCTATCTAAGTACTAGAGGGATGTAGCTGTTAGCATCCAACAACCGTTTGCCTTGCAAATCACGAGGCCCGCCTATCAGGCCCCTTGTTTCTTGATTCGCGGATGTTTGGGATATGGGGCTATAGAAAGCGCCTTCTTCCAGGCACGAAGGAGGGCTTGGGTTGGTGCAGGGGGATGATAAATGAGGCTGTGTTGGTCAAGAGGCCCACGAAAGGCCATGCTTAGACGTCTAACCGGTCTTTGATCGTGAAAAGCGAGGTTTTGGGCACCTTTACCCATGTCGTTCACTCAAGATCTTCGCGAATGTATTGGTGTATGAGTCGGCAGTCTATAAGAATGCCACGCTTTCATAGGTTAGCAGACTCTAACGGGGTGTACTACCCGCCATCGCTGCTCTAGAGGTGCCTTGAACATTCCAGAGAAGTATTTCTACCTCAGGAGCCGTAAGACTATATTCATTAGCATAACTATACCTGTTTCCCGAAATCCATGATGCGGGTTGACGCGCTCGGCGTCGGGTTTGAACCTGGTTTGTTTGATTGAACCATACCGGACACATAACATGTTCACATGCTGTCTACGCGAACAAGAAAAAGGAAAGACCTATTCGTTATTCGTTCACACCATTTGACGCATCGGTGACAAGCGAGAGCTACTACTGAGGTTGAACAAACACCTTCGTGGAAGGCATCCCTTCTTAGTATGTATCAATCACAGCGAATACAAGCTCGAAGAATATAGTATAATTGTATGAGGTAAGTGTGATCTAATCCTTGGTGTCATGGGGCCCGGAGTCTCCCAACATGGGACGTCGATAACACTCGTCATACCAGACCCCTACTCTTCTTGAACCTCCACTGGTGCGCGCAACATATCTCGTATAAGACGTTCAAGATGGGCGTAGGCACTTTGTGTCTCTGTCCTTCTCGGACGACCTCGCCAAGGATATTCTCATGCTCAATCAGGTTTCCCTGCAAAGTGTTAGCACCCCTCTTCAACCCTTACTCAATGAGTGCAGATCGAGGCAGGCTCACCTTCTCAAAGTCGACTTGCATACTGGGCTTGATATTCTCCTCGATGGGATTGAGCTTGATAGTCTTCTCTATGATATCTTCGGAGATATCGTGGCCTGCCGCTGCTGCCACGGCGAGAACTTCCCTCATAGCCGGAACGACCATCGTATCCATCGTCCTGCCTGTCATTTGCAGCTCGCTGGCATTCAAGCCTGTCAGAGCACAAATCGGGTTGAACGAGGCGTTGTACACCAGCTTACTCCACCGATCGAACTCAACATCCGGCTTATATAGACATGTGGTTTTGCCTCCCGAACTGTAGATCCCCACAAAGCGCTGCGCGGTTCGGTGCTGCTCCTCTCTGTCAAGTTTGGGGTTTTGGAAAGCACCGACGTGAAGCAGGTCGTGCTGTTTCTGTTCGACGACGCCTGTAGAAACTTCATGGGCGTCGATGCGACTTACGCCCGAGAGAACAGTGTTTGAGGGAAACCGGCTGAAGAAGGGCAGCTGGATGTTGAGGCCGTTCTGGATCAAGACGATGACGGTGTGACCAGGAGACACGGCGGGAGCGATGATGTCAGGAAGTTTCGGGCCGGCATCGGGGACGTTCTTGGTGCAGCAGATGATGTAATCGTATCTTCCAGCAGGGCTCGTGTCCGAGATGCTCGGGACAGAGTTTAGGACTGTAAAGATGTTAGCTTTAGTGACGCCACTGGCCGTCATGGCAACACAGATATAGGCATCACAGATATAGGCAGCAGACTCACCTTGGGTAGGCCGCCAATTCTCCAAGTTGCCATGATCGCATGACTTTATCGAGAACCCTTTGCGACTCACGTGTTCAAAATTGGAACGGAGTACGGTAGTGACTTCCGCCAAGCCTCCTCGCTCGAGGTTGAGCGCGGCTATTGTGCCGATGCCACCACCGCCCACGAGGAGCACTCGTGAATTGCCCATCATGACTTCACTGGCTGATGATGGGCGTGAGGGTCTAGCAGATGGCGTGAAGCTCAGAAGCCTGTGCAAACAGTACAACCGCGAGAGGCATCAACCAAGGCCAAGAGACAGTCTTGGTCTGCAGGATGGGCTGGCGAGGATTTGATGGCTGACGTGGTTGCCCTGCATACAGTTATATCGACTTGTTTGGAAGTGAGCTGGGCATATGAGGCCCTATTTGGCTCGATCGTTAAGGGTCACAAGCGTGTTCTAGATACAAATGGTGCGAACGTGATGTTTCCAGGCGCGCGCCGGAACCGGGCCGGCGCTTGGCTGGCGGTTACCCCGCGATACCCCGCGGTCTTGGCCCCACCAAACGTTGGCCAAAAAGCCCGGCCCGGTCTCCCACCAGTCCGCGAGCCCGGGTCTGCTCTGGTGTGCTCAAGACGCGATTGATCACGTTTGGCCATCGTTTCCGGATTGGTTAGTGTGCCTGTTGGCACGACCGCCGGCAGCCTGCCGCCCCATGGGCCACAACTCACGGCATCCTTACACAGTCTCTCTCGATTGAAAGTTTCGCAAGCAAAGGCAATATGTTCAGACGAGTTGGCCTGGGCGCACTGGCTCAGGAGTGTTGGTGGAACGAGCATCACTCTTTTCTCCAAGTCTACTATGTAGACATTGAGTGTGTTACCCTTTCCAGCCGGTCGGGCTTTCGAGCTGTTCATTTCAAGATTTGACTTTCAGTGAACCTGGAACTGGGGACCACAAAATATCGTTGCTAAGCCCGGAGTCAAAAGACGTTGACATTAAGTGAGGGTGGCTTTTGAAGGTACGGGTTGCGAAGGAACGTGCCTGTTGGACATAACCTAAGAGAAGAGAGAGAGGGAGAGGCCTTCATCGCACTGTTGGTGGGAAAAGCCAGTTGTCCTCACGCAGTGACGATTTCAACGAGGACAGTCTGCGCTATGAGATTTACTAAATTGTCGAAGAAAAAAGGAGGGAAAAAAGAAGAAGAAGAAAAAAAGTGCTGTAGCGTCCCTGGGATGTCGGTGCGTTCTGGCGCAAAGTGACGCGAAACGATCTGGTCGACTGGTGATGGCTGAGGCTGACACCGAACCGACCCGCGCTGGCAAGGACTGCACGTGCCACTGCCGCAATCTCGTTGGTTCCTGGCATGGGATGTTTCAATGAGTCTTCTTCCCAACGCAACCAACCTCACTGACCCCTCCTTTCTTTACACCTTTTTTCTTCCCCCCGATCGCTCCCGCACTCCCGCAGATACGCAGACAGACCGCAAACCTTCGCAATTGCCCTTTTAAGATTGCTTGGCCTTACCGCCGGGTATACGCAGAACCAGGAACCATAGTCGGGAGGAGCTGTTTCCCCTTGGAGGCGGGCACCATCGGAACTCTCTCATCCCGCTCGAGTCTCTCACTTCCCACCCCATACCGCAACCCGATACCCAATCAGAAGCACAAAAATGGCACGCCAGGCCGACGTCGCCGCCGCTGCCTCTACTGGGGCAGCAGCCGCGGCCCCGTCTCCTCGCGACCGCATCATGGCGCACATGAACCAAGACCACAAGCGGGAGCTCTCCCTCTACCTGCGCCATTACGCCGGGCTCGGTCGCTCCGCCGCCACAGCGCCGTGGCTCAAGGACGTCACGCTCGAGGCCATGACCATCGCCGCGGGCGGGCTCGGCGGCAAGGAGTACCGAGTCGCCTTTGACCCTCCCCTCAAGTCATGGGCCGACATGCGCCCCGCCGTCGTCGAGATGGCGCGCGCGTCGCGGCAGGCGCTGGGGGACAGCGACATCACCGTCCAACACTTTGCGCCGCCGCAGGGCTTTGACGTCGTGGTGTTTGGGGCCGTCTCGTTTTACTTTGTCTGCTGGCTCACGCTTGGGTTTGTGCTGCCCGGCACGCCCATTTGGTCCTTCCTCCACAGCGTCTTCCCCGGCGGGCCTAGGTTTTATCGGTGGCTGGTCAAGTCCATCTTCCTGCCCGTGTTGGGCATTCATCTTGCGGAATGCTACTGGTTCCACCGGACGAGGCTCCAGAAGCACGGCATCGAGTTCGGCACGGGTCTCTGGTGGACGTGGATTGGGAGTCTGTTCTTCGAGGGATTGTGCGGCTTCAGGAGGTTCGACGCCATTGTCGTCGCCAAGAAGAAGGAGAACGCGGACAAGAGTCACTAGGCCTTTCGTGCGAGGAGGCCAAGTCCCGAAGCTTTCCATCACCGCGAGTGAGCTTCTCAACCACCTTGCGCTACGCACACGACACATGGACCAGAGACGCTGCCAGCTACAACCGGACACGGTCTGGGCAGTGTTTCCAAGCCTGTTAACCTCCACAACTACCACGAGTCTGTCTCGAATGTGCTGGCATCAGGCAAGACGCAAGGCTGCTTGGTGGCCGTCTCCGCAAAGCCTCGCAAGCCGAGGTTTTGGTTGATGGGAGGGGAAGTTGCTGGTATCTGATTACCAGCCGAGGAAGTGTGCGGAAGAAGCCACAGATGTGCGTCAGTCAGCACCGCCGGGCTACCCGGAAGCTAGTCAAGGGTCACGACGATGAGTGTAATGTTACTCGACGTCGATAGTCACGAGAAAGACGTCCATGTCATAGGTAGACGCGTTCTCGTGGCACCGACGAATATGTACCAAAACCAAGCATCATTTGCGTACCAAGCTTGCTGTGCTCTTGCTTGAAGTGCACAGCCATGTTCATATTGACTCCAAGCGACGTCGTAGGAGGGAACCGTGGCAATGCGGAAAAAGACGGAGACGGGCGTTGTCGTGTGGTGGTCAAGCGAGATGAAGTTTGTGTGAAATCCAGGCGCGAAATGATGAATCCGGGATGTTATTTGCTCCTGCCATGGCACGATGATCACTGACACCTTCGCGTGGAGGAAGGAGACCCACTTGATTGACTTCTCTTGCCTGCCGATCACATCCTTAGTACCTAGCTACCACAAACTTTCTGCGAACTCATTTCCCAACATTGTGCCACTCCTACAGCCTCGTCCTAGACGCGGCAACGGATGCCAACATCCGTCACCAGCGCCATGGCTCCTTTGTCAAAGGTTTCGATCTTATCAACCTGACAGGGACAGACCTCATTGAGCGCTTTTCCCTGAGTCGCGACTTGTCTCTAAGTCAAGCAGCCGAGGCCTGAAGAAGTTGCGTGACGAGCCCGACGTATACTTTCGAGAACAGGCGGCGCTAGCGCGATGCATGGCTGGTCCGCATCTTGTCGTCCACGTCTGTGCTAACCTTTTCGAAGGTACAGTTGCGAAATGCCAATGGTTGACGGGACTTCGACTGCGTTCGATCGAAGCGTCGGCCTTCCGTTCTCGAACCGACACATGCACGGGTGCGAGCCGCCAATTTGTTTGCTCGAGGACCGCCCACCTAGGCCAAGAGTGGCAATGCATTGTCCAATCGCAGCTTGCCTGGGGCCTTCCCCATGCTTCTCGACATCGAAATTTCGGCCTCAAAGCCTCAAGACCTACATATCCTTGAGCTCTACTTGCACAACATTAGGTACATGGTGAGTGGTCCGCATCATCACCGCAACAGCATATGCATGTCAGTGCATCAAGAGCGCTTATCAAGGCAGCTTTCTTTTTTGGACCGCCGCTCTGTTGGTGGTTGGGCAGTGTGGCCCAATGGCGTTCAGACAAACACTGCAATCTCGTTATTACTGTTTTCGACCATGGAATCGAAATTTTTGTTGGAACATTGTGATATGATCGCAGATGCAGAGGGCGCAGTCACCGAGATGCAAAAGGCGCAACGCACAGCGCCTAAGATCATCAAGAAAATGGAACGATGCGTCATAGACAGACACGCTAGTCTCCAACATGATGCAACTCCTATTCTCAGCGGTGTGCATACAAACGGCCAGCCGGCCATTGCCACTCTTCGTTGCATTTTTGCAAATGCCGCCAAAGCTACATGACGCCAGCACAGAAGAACACTGCCTCTTGGCCGCCTTGCTTGTTAACCCCCCTTCTGAAGCCTGCGGGGCACACCACCGTCCAAAAGACTACCGGCGCCGTGTTCATCGTCCATGCGTTGTGCCGAGCGGGGCTTCCCGTTCTCGAGGCTCTATCTGGCCTCAACGGCGTCCAAGGGATCGGCTAGCGATAACCTTCGAGCGGATCTTTCTGCACCTAGCTGCTAGGCGGACCCCGAGCAACTCACTTTCGGCTGTTTATAAGCGTAGCCGAAGTCATTTGTCGTGCGACGTTGAGTCCGGTAACCTCCACTAGCCATCCCCAGTCTTCAGGCCGAGTACGGATATGTGTTGGCTGCCCAGATTCTGTGAGTCCCGTGCTGGGGTTTCCCTGGCCGTCGGAGCTTAGCAGAAGAACGCGTGGCCGAGCTTTCAACAGCCTTCCTGGCGCTTTCTTCCAGTGGGCGGGCATCTCGCTTGCTCGCATTTCTCTCATTGGTGACCCTCAGCCCTGCTCTGCACTCACCAAAACCTCGTCTGGTCTCGAGTGGAACTCAATTCGAGAGAACGGGTAGTTAGAACCGTTACCACCACGCCAAGGCAAAGGCCCAGACCTGGGCAAGGTCGAAGCCAGATCTTCTACGCTCGGTTTTGCTGTCAACGCGCATGGTTCAATGCTGTATTCGTTCATCGCACGCGCTACGATAAGCCTCCTGCTTTGATAACAGTCGCAGCATTGACGTTGGAAAAGTCAAACAGTGTCGATGCTAGGCTGACTTTCCCAGCAAAACCAAAAGGTGCCAATCCTCTTGGCATTGTACCCTAACCGGCCTTGGCACATTTGTGAGCTTACAGCAGCACTGGTTTCCTCTGCAATCATCTCTCGCTTGCACGCGCTTGCATGCGCTTGCTGTTCATGACCGGCGTATTCTCTTCGCGACGCATCCCTTCTTGGGAATAGTATGAGGGGTTTTCTATTCTTTATTTACTAACCAAGAGAGCCCATGGGAGAATAGGCCAACCGAGCCACCGACTGCAAGAGGGTCCAAAATAGCAGTACAGCAAGTTATGGCACTGCCGCGTTGGTCCAGTGACCCCGCTCGATGTTAGCTCTCGTTTGCGTGACGCTCACCTAGGTTCACCGCTGTTGCGGACCCCTCCGTCCATGCATGGAAGCCGTCTTACTCCACCCGCATGCTGCGAGTTGAGCTCTTGGGATTCCAAGTAGTTTTCGAGATGCATATGCGGTTGTCACTCTGCATTCGATAGCCGCACCTGGCTGAGAGAAAAAAGGAGCCACTTCCCGATGTGGGCTCAATATAAATTCTTGGTAGGAATTGGCGCAAACATGTGTCCCCGATTTGAACACGCTTGCGAGGTAACCCAGCTAGCTGGGCCGATCCCCACCGGCCGCCCTATTTTAGCCAAACTATGAGGCTCTATTCTGTATGACTAAACCATTTCATGAACCAGCCTGCCATCCGCTCCTCTCTCCGCCAGTAATCTTCAGAAGGACAGGGTTCCCTGCGCTATACAGGTGGATGGACGACGCAAGACCAGCCCGGCTTTCAAGGAGAGCCCACTCCGGCGCGAGCTAGTAGTCTGGGGGACCCATCGTGACGATGGGACGGTTGAAGGGGACATCGCGCATTCAATGGAAGCGTTCGGAAGAGGGATGGGTCGTTCCCTCAACGAGCATGGTATATTATGGTATCAGCAAACTTCGTTGACATAAAGACGGGGTCAAGGCCATCTCCGAGATTGCGAGGCTGGCTGGATCACGGCGTTCCTCTTAAGTCCCATCTACCCGCAGATTTAAGACCAACCGGCCCCGTCTCCGGTCTCCTCGGTTTCACCCTACCCACCTCAGGTCTTTGGTCTCTCGTTAGTTGAGCGGCATCAGCATCAACATGAGAGTCCAAAGCAGCCTTCACAACCTCCTGAGGGTCGTGGTTGTTACCTCATGTCTCGTTGTCGCCAACCCGATCTCACCTCGCTGGGCCATCGGTCAGTCGATCACGACGACTAGCGGTCCGGTCGAAGGACACGCTGCCTCCGACGCAGACGAGGTACGCATGCAAGAATGCTGTGTGCGACGGCGGGTTTACTAACCAATCTCACTAGGTGTCCGAGTACTTGGGTATTCCGTACGCCGAACCGCCTGTCGGAATCTTGCGCTTTCAGCCTCCCGTCAGGTACACCGGTTCCTCTTTGATCAACGGCTCGGCATTTGTATGTCATCTCTCCGACTTTTCTCATGTTTTGTATCCCGTTTGGCAGCTAACAAGTATTTCATCAGGGAAACCAGTGCATGCAGCCGTCAAGTGCAGCTGTCAACGTCGAAGCGATCAAGCAGCTTGGAGTTCCCGCCTCTGCTGCTGATGTTACCAAGGTGCTCGCGGACACGGGCTCCCAGAGCGAGGACTGCCTGACCTTGAACGTGTGGACCAAGCCACAGACGGGCGATGCGAAAAAGGCTGTGCTCGTCTGGGTCCACGGCGGCGCTTTTGTCTCTGGTAAATATGCAATCGTCTGAACAAAAGCTGAAAGTCTATATAACGTTCTGACTCGGACTATAGGTAGTTCCCGGATCCCAGCATACAATGGAAAGTTCATTGCCGACCAGGATGACGTCGTTGTGGTGTCCATGAAGTGAGTTTCCGCCGATTTTCGGTCTTTGGAAAAATTGCCAGTGCTGACGCGGCTCAACCTCGAAGCTACCGCCTCAACATCTTCGGCTTTCCAGGAAACCCCGTCTCCGCTCCTAATCTTGGATTCCTCGATGTCCGTATGGCCATGGAATGGGTTCGCGACAACGTGGAGAAGTTCGGCGGCGACGTCAACAGAATCACCATGTTTGGCCAGTCTGCCGGAGGATCTATGGTCGATTACTACTCTTACGCATACGCGTCCGACCCCATCGCTAATGGTTTCATCCCAATGAGCGGCGTTGCCAATGGATTTGGCATATATACTAACCAGTCCGTGCAAAACAAGTGGTTCCAGATTTCAATGTTTGTTGGTTGCGGTAGTAACTTGACCGACCATAATGCTGTTTCTGACTGCATGTCGAAAAAGAACGCAACCGAGATTATTGCCAGCCTAGCGAACACTACCAGCCCTGTCTCAACTGGGCTCACGTTTGCGCCCGTAGTGGATGATCATCTCATCTTTGCCGACTACAGTGTCCGTAACTCGGCCAAGGCGGGATATCTCATCGGCAACACTGAGAACGAAGCTGGTTTATTCAAGATCGGAGCCCCTGCTGTAAACGAAACTTACTGGTATGGGTTCAACCTCGTTGCGTATAACTGCCCTGCCGCGAGAAGGGCGGCACGAGCAGTGTCTGCTGGGTATCCCACGTGGCGATACCGTTATTTCGGCGACTTTCCCAACATGGCCGTCACCACGACGCCGCCTAGCGGAGCATGGCATGCATCCGAGGTTCGTCACGCTTTCTGCTTTCATCAAAATTCTGGGCTTAAGACTCGTCAACTGACACAAATTAGCTCCCTGTTCTCTTTGACACTGTACCACAAGAGGCAATCGGAAGCACGGAGCAGGAGGTTGCCGTCGGTAAATACATGCGTGGTGCATGGGCGGCCTTCGCCAAAGACACGAAGTCTGGTCTCCTCAACTACGACTGCAATGGATCGTGGCCGATGTACAAAGAAGACGGCACCACTCTCAACCGTATCTCCTTTGAGAACCAGACCGGCACGAGTCTGGCCCCTGGAAACTCTTACGACGGGCTCTGCGCGCAAGTGGGAATCCCCATTTCTTGAGCTCTCCGTTGACAATCTGGCCCGAACTTCTTCAATTCAACTGTACATATTGAACTTGACATACAATATATGATACCAGATAGAAATTTAGTATTCTTTAACCTCCTCTTCGCCAAGTGCCTGGATTTGACCTGTCGGACTAATGTCTACAGGAAAACTCCCCACCGTCTAGGTGAACAACACTAAGCATGATCTGTATTAGCCCGCGGTTAGCAGTCATATCAAATCCGCATGTTCGTTTTCGTAACTTCCATAACCGCGGGTCTTTTCCACTTTTTTGCGTTACGACAGCCATTGGTCATTGAAAGTTGAAAGCCAAACACGGAAGAGTATCTAGCAGGAGAGAAGCATAATTACTGGTCACACATCTGTTAAGCTTGTTCAAGATCCTAATGTATTTACAATTCATCTCGATGCGAATGTGTTTATTGATACCACTCAGTCGCCGTGTTGGTCCGAGTTTGCGGACTAGAGCAAACGAATAAAAAATATCGAGGAAACCCGTATCGATATTGCTTACGCTTTCGATTCGATAAAAAAAATAGAGACTGTCCCAACATCCTATTCTAGATGGGAGATCGCCTTGTTATATGTGATCCCAGCTGGAATACGCAGAGAACATTCTCAAGATCAGTCTCAAGGCCTTGTGGCACTCTGGGTGTTAAGTGAACATGCTTCAGAGGAGGAAGAGCTATGAAGGCAAAAGTTTTTTGCTATTTTCTGTTTCTTATGGTTCTACCTTCAACGTATAAAAGTGCAATTTATATATCCTTGAGCAAGTACAATGCACACTCTGCCCAAAGGCGTTCTCAATAGCCCTGGGTGCCTTTCACTTGCAACTATGATCTGATCATCTCACCGTACCTCAATGCATGTTTGCTTCAAACAGCCAGACAATATGTTCAATTGATTGGTCAGTATAGGTGGCAGACGCGACTTGTCTTGAAGAGCAGTTGCCTGTATCGGGCACGGAAAGCAAAACTAGCGTTGTAAAGTGAGACGTCAATCGTGATCAACGAGAACTCAAGCTTAGCGACCTTTAATGGCTACCTGCGATTTGATACAGTACCAAATATAGTATTCAGGTGGCTTCGATTTTTTTCAGACTATGTCACGCTCTTAGCGTACAGCACAGTCAAATGATTCTGCGGGAGGTATTTTCTCGGTGACTGGTAATGGTGGGTCCATCGGGACAGCGCTCGCCGTCAGGTTTGTCACGACTCACTCACCACGGTTTCACGGACTGTCGGACCCATTTTTGAAGGACACCGTTTCTGAATCGTTCCTCTTCCATCTTTACACCTCAATTTGTTGCCTCATCTCCCTGCGCATCGATTCCCTCAATCCCCGAGCGCTTTTAGTCATAATCTGCTCATATTCTGCTCGGGAAAGAATGTACGTCAGACCAGGCTCTCAAGACTACCGATGTGCCATTTGCGGCGGCCCTTTCCGGACACTCGCGATCGCCCATCGTTCAAGATCGCAAGACGAGAAACGTCCAAAGCGGTTAAAAGGGTACCTGGCCTTGGAAGACGACTACCGGGGACTTGACCCTTACTATTACGATGAAGGAGACGTTGCTTGGCTGGGTGAAGCTCGGGTTCTTGGATTCAACTCGTCGGCAGGGATTGACACGACCAGAGCCTTTATATCGGGCGTCGGAAGGGTTGAGCCAACGTACGGGCACTTCATAATAACGCCAGAGAACAGAGGGGATGACCCGAATGTGCCTGAGCCCGACCAGACGCAACTTTACTGCTATTTCGACACAAGTCAGCATGGGCCGGTTCTCCCGTTTCACCCATGTTGCTATGAGCTGCTCCTTTTGAACTTCTCCATAGAGCACAACATTAAGGCTACCCAGCTTGACAAAGACATACTGTACAATGTCATGTCTGAATTAGTGACAGAGCCATACTCCCTATTCTTGGGTCTGGACTATGGTGTGGACATGAGCAGAGCTTTCGAACCCAAGCCTGGCAGGGACCTTATCACAGTCATTCCGCTAATCAGTGACGAAGTTTCGGGCACGCTTTATGACCTGAGCGGGTTCGCCGCTATGAGATCATTCGATCTCGAGGAGTACTCTTCTGTCCTCGGCAACATTCCATCAGCGGCCTCGGAGTCTTTCGCCAAGTTACCCTTGGAGGTCCTTACTCTGATTGCCTCGTTCCTCGACACAAAGTCCATTTTCCAGCTCATGACAACTTCACCCATGGTCTTCTCAGCCGTCATGCACAATCGACCTTTCTGGAGGTGCCACCTCAAAGACTGGTATCGATGGTACTTCGAGTGGCAGAAACTTCTTCAGGAAGACACCGAGCCCTGCGTCCAGAGAGCAGACTTGATGCAAGTCGCCTTCAACCTCAGCAGACCAGAGCGGTCCGATCTGATTTCAGGTATGATTATGTCGAATAGACGACGTATTTGGGGGATTTGCGATCGGCTTGCCCAGCGTTATGCGTTACGGCACCGGCTGGAACATCGGTACTTGGCGAAACGCTCAGAATCAGCGGCTTAGGGCCTGTTCGGTGCAATCAACTTGGCACGATATAAAATCGACAGACCGGTGCAAGATTATATATGAAGAATGCATATTGGAAAAAGTACGGAAAGGCGTTCTCGTCGCCCACTTTCACCCCCAGATTCTTAGCCATATGATGCGACGCATTGACGCCGGCAACATCACCGTGGGCCGGACGGGGTAGCCACATATTAGGTCTGCTTCTACGTTTGTCCATTTTCATGCCGCAACAATGTCTCTATGTCCCTCATGAGGCAGGGGAATTTTATACAAAAAGTGAAATCGTCTGGGAGCTGAACTTCGTTGTCCCGATTGGAGCCAATTCGACTTGAGCATAATGTGCCTTCGCCATAACCTTCTAATCACTTGACAACTTGCAAGGTTGGTAGTGTTCTTCACGACAGAAGACCTATCTATGCAGAGATGTTGTTGCGAAGCTCCCACTCGTAGGCGGCGAGGAGAAAGGGACCGACACCACGGGTGTCGTTGTCAACGGTAGGAATACCAACATAGTACTACAGGTGCGAATCAGCAAGATGTGGTTCTCATATGCGGTTGACGTGGGAGGGTTAGGTGGGATATTCCTACCTCAAATGAAGCATCACTGTTCAAAGAACCTACCTGAACGGTAGCAGTCCACGTGACAGTGCCGTTGCAGTTCTTAGTGACGAAGTCGGTGACAAGGTGCGTGTAGGCCTTTGTGGCGGGCTCGAGGTAAGTGGCCTCGTCGATATAGCCGAGACGCAGCCCGGCGAGCCAACCCCAGGTGAACATGGCGGCTGCAGAGCTCTCGAAGTAGTTGCGCTCCATTCCGGGGTAGGGTTCGTTCATGACGAGCCACCAACCGTTGGATTCGGGGTCCTGTGCGCGCTTGAGGGCGGCGGCAAGCGAGGTGTAGTAGCCGACAAGACGCTTGTAGCCGGGGTGTTCCTTGGGAAAGAGATCGAGGACCTCAATCAGGGACATGAAGTACCAACCGACGGCGCGGTTCCAGACGAGTGGTGAGGCTCCCGTCTCAGAGTTGGCCCAGACAGCCTCCTTGCCCTCATCAAAGCCGTGGAAAAGCAGGCCAGTCTCAGGGTCGCGGAGAGCTTCTTCGATCTTGTCCCACTGAAGGACGATATCGTCCCAGGCGGTGGTGTTATCCGCGTCAAAGATGGACGTGTAGTGGGCGTAAAAGGTATCGGCCATATAGATGCCATCTAGCCACATCTGGTTCTTGTAGGTGGGTGAGCGGTGCCAGAAACCACCCGTAGGGGTTCTGGGGTGCCCTTCGAGCATACCGCGGATAGTATCGGCGGCGATCTTGTACTTCTCCTCCCCGGTGCGTTGATACCAGTAGAGGATGTTACGGCCAATGCGATAGTCGTCGAGAGAATAGTGATCGGTGCGGAAGCCGGGGATAGTGCCGTTCTCGGTGACGACGAGGCCGTCGATGCGAGAGCGATACCAAGCGAGCAAGGTCTCGTTTTTGGTGAGCTCGTAGACGGCCTCGACACCGGTGTAAAGAGCGGCGCGCCCATACCAATAATCACGCTGGGCCTCGTTGTTGTTGAGAATCCATGAGTCGATGATGCGGCCTGCGAGAGGCTCGTCGACGTCCCTCCCAACTACGGCTACCGCTGCGGCGCCTGAGGCAAAAAGAAGAGCAGAGGCAAGCTTCATTGCGACGAGTTTCAGCTGCTGGAATTGAAGCTCTTGAGCGGCATCGGAAAACTACAAAAACCCTGGTGGCAGACGCCATCTTTATACTAGTGGTGCAGCTCATGGCCTCTCCCAAGTTGGGTCATGGTGCCTGAGATTTGCAGACGCATATGCCAGGGGTAGCTCTCCAATATTGGTTTCCTGAACGCGGAGGCGTAGAAGGTTGTCTTTCTTGGCCCGAATTACTTGTAATTAGTAGCGGCCTGCATATGCACAACGTAAAGCGGGTCAACGGCCACCAAGAATGACTTTTGTCGTTGGCAGCGCAGCATTGTGCCAGGGTCCTGCCTATCAGGGCAGAGTACGATAGAAAGGAATGATAACAGCGATGAAAGAGACGTGGAAAAATAGAGTCCGATACGAGATGAGCTTTGAGGCTCTCCCCACTCCCAGAGCTTGGCTAGGCCTTGGCACATGAGGGGAAAGAGCACGACAGGTCTATTGGAAAATCTGATCCGGTTGATAGCAGACAGCTCAACTTGGCCCTCCTGAGTGGCGTGGAGAAGAACATATCCCAACCTGAGTGTTTCTCTACCGGTTGTGGCGATACTTGTGACGTTAAAGATCAATGATTGAGGCTCGGCGTAGTTCGATTACTATGCGCAATTGTTGACCAGGAAGATGCCGAGTCTGCCGTCTCCCGAGGAGCCAAGGGTTTCGGCTGACTGAGGCTTCAACTAAAGACGGATAATCTTTTCTCCTCAAGTGCATGTCCAATAACTTGGCGTGCAGTAGGAGCCTGGAAGTTTATCAGAATGAAGCAGGGTGAGTTCTAGGCAGTGCCGTAGATACTGAGGCTTCTTGACATCGTGGCGGTGCACCGGAAATGAATTGTTTGGCTTTGGATGTGCAATAGTGTGTGCTTCAGGGCCATCGTCCAGAATATTCGATAACTCGAACAACGAAAGTGGTTGTTAATCAGCGCAGGCTGTGCTTTCTTCGTTGGATGACAAAATCGCATTGCCTAACTCGAGCATCAGAGGAAACCTTTGCAAGTTTCAACTTTTCCTAGAATCTTCAGACGCTTTTGTTTGATATGCAATTGGGTAAATGAACAGTAAAGTGTTGATAGTTCGTAATGTCATTATGGAAACTTTTACTGGCAATCTGTAGTCCGAGAACTGCATGTACATGCGCTCGCCTTCGAGAACTTTAAGGCACACGAAACCTGATCGGTCAGAGTAGATGAAAGGGTTTAGTGAAAAATTTTGAAACGCTGAAGAAAGGCACTAAGTGAGTGATATTGAGGAAGAGAGCAAAGGCAATAGAAATCCTCCTGCTGATGGGGTGTGCTGGCAGCGATGGTTTCGAGGTTGGTTTCGGTGAATAAAGACACACTTTAACAGTGCAAACAAGCAGGTCTCTCTTGCCATCCTTTCACCACAAGTGTCTGTAAAAATCCTGGTTGAAGATCCACTCTCTGGACCTCTTATTTTCAGTCTAGGCCGGTACTTTCACTATTTGTAGTTGGTGAATTTAGTGAGTTATCTGACCTTCCTATGTTGCTTACATTTTCACCGTCTTTGTGCCCAGATGGGATAAACAACACTCCATGACGGATGCGAACTCAGCCTCTCTGTGGTGTGTCACGCGCGATAGCATTTACATAATGCTTCTTTTTCGACATAATAATGCTTGGCTGTGTATGGTGACAATATAACGAGACGATGCAGACGACCAGGTAGGCGAATTTAGGACGGCCAACAGCACATTAGCTATTGCGACGACGATGGATATGTTCTTCTATGATATTGTCACTTTACAGTAATTGTCGATAAAACACCATACAGTAGAGTTCTTTGTTTCATTTGAAGGTTGGATTTGTTATATGCCCCTAAGATGCTTGATGAGGCAAGCAAGATCATGCTAATCAAACCGAAACCAGACTCTTCAAAGAATGACAACGCCTTTACCGAATGATACTGCTTTCACTTGATCGTCGACTTGTAGTATCTTTTGTCATTTAGCATTGATACTAGCCTTCCAAAAGAACAGGGGAATGATTTGCGACCGCTTATTGCTACGGAGAAGAACTTGGGTGCCATATGCAGAAGAAAAAGACGATCTGAGAAATCCCGTTGGATGAGAGATACCAACAGGGGTACCACTTCTAGTGATGTCCTGCGCTTAGGGAGTACGTACATGCCCTGATTCCTCAGGATGAGAGCCCAAAAGTTGACACCGGCATTGACAGTTGCACACCACAAACTCTAAATGAACATCTTGTAGAGCTTTGTCTCGTAATTACATCGTCCCTTCTTCGATTCTCATTTTCTTCGCGCCATCAACACAGATTCTCAACGCCATTGAAGCCAAAGAGAATGGAGGAAACACACACCGACCAACAATCCGACACACCGTGTTGTACACACCGACATCCGTAATCAGGAAGAACCCGCACTGGCAACGATCACGTGTGATATCTCCTCATGGCCGGTTCCTATCCCCAGCCTGCTTAAGCTGCTGCAACAATGCGTCGACCTGCCGCGTCTTCTCATAAAGGCGGTCCTTAGCTGCGTCATTGCTGCCACTAGCCACAGCCGTCAACGTCTCTGTCACTGTCAACGCCCTGCTCGCAAGGTACTCCGTCAACATGACGGCGTCCGTCTGCGGTACCAACTGTCTAGAATCGGGTTAGCATGTCTGCCTTCCGCATTTTGCCGAGGAACTAGCCCCTCCTTTCTTGACGTGGCATGCCAGGAACCATACCTTTCACCGGAGTTCATTGTTATAATCACCTCTGATTAGAGGATTGATGAGACACTGGAGACGGCCGGCGATGTCCGATTGATGGCGTCTCTTCTTGAGTTCACCCTATTGAGCACTGTTGCAGCCTGCGTACACAAAGTGTGGGTCTAATCTTGTCGATTGGAGTACTTAGTCCGTTTGTGGTTTCCGTCTTTCTCTCGGAGAACATCAATTGAATCGAGTTTCTTATCACCAATGTGAATGGATAAGTCAAGGGATGAAAGCATTACCAGTCGGATATTCAACTTATGTATCTTCCCCCACAGTTTCAAGTGAAGTCATTTTCGATATCGCGCAAATGAGCAGGACCAAATGCATGAGCCCTGGTCCGCGAGATCGTGAGCGGATCCATATGCGCGACATTGCGTACTCCACCGTTTAACCGGGCATGACAGACAGCTGCTCCCCGGATTATCAGATCTTCACGAGGGCCGTCCAGATACCAGAACGTCCAATGAGATTAGCAGACTAGCATCATCCCTCTCAGCCCCTGCACCTGCTATTGGATTCTAGAATGAGGCGAAATATGTGCGACGGGCCCCCTCTCATATCTTCTCAAAGATGTTGTTCGCAAATGCGTGCGCGAGTGCGGGCCTTGATGTGGCAGACATGAGCAGCGACATTTGGGAGATAAAAGCGACGAGCCGTCCCATTCCTGGCAGGCTATCATCGCCATCCAAAAACAAAGATTGATTTCTGTGTCACCCCAGTATCCAAATATTTGCCAGTCTCACTTTGTTGCCCCCTCCCACATCTTCCAAGGCCAAGGAGCGAAACATAATGGTCCAATCCCAGCGTTAGCGTGCACTGCTCTAGAATGCACGCAATACTCAGGCCTGCGCACCCTACTCCTTGGTTAAGAACAAAACATTGCAAAGTTATTAGGAAGCATTCGATTCCTATCGACTTCAGCCTAGTGATCTCCCGGTTCATCCACAGCTGGTCCGGCAACCGTGCAACGGACATGCCTAAGGCACACGAAAACCCCTCCCCCAAGCCACACAAGTCCTCCAACACTCGAGCCAGTTCGAACCTTGCAGTGAGACAAGCACCAGTGAGCTAACACTTCACCGTACCTAGTAGTTCTGGTTCTGACAAGAGTAGGGAACAGAAAGCAACAGGTCCGCAACATCTGGGGCCGAGCATAACGGGGGAGGAAACGAGGCTCAGAACACCTCTCATAGGTTCGTTGCCATCTGGTGATGCGAGCAAGTATGTTGGACTAATTTTGGTCATTTAGATCACACTCTCCACGGACTAGTCAAGTCTCAGACCTATCCCAGGGACCGGCCAGGAACTCCGACTCTGGTGACAATCTCAGTAAGCCCAATATCGGGCCCGGCGCGTACATCGATAGCTACGTGGAATATCGCAAGAGATTGTTCATCAAGATCTTTATGGAGAAGGTGCATGAATGGCTTGACGAGAACGTCTGTCCCCTTGAAGAGGCATGCGACTACGAAGAAGGGTCTTCGGGCAGCTCTAAGTCATCTGGCAGTACGAAGACGAAGAGTAACAGCAGCCGAGGAAAATATCTCGCTGGAAGCAAAAGACAGCTGAGGGGGGATGGTCCAGACGACGATCAAGATGATGGCGACGATGATAGCCGCCGGGACCGCAACAAGAAGCGTGCAAAGACGGATGGCGACAACGACCCAAAGCGATTCGCTTGCCCGTTCTACAAGTACGACCCTGAACGATACAAGGATCATAGAAGCTGTTTTGGTCCCGGATGGACTGAAATACATCGATTGAAGTAAGTCTCTACGCAAAACCCGAATGGTGTCTGTAATAAGAATGACTCACAAATATGCAATTCAGGGAGCATATTTTCCGTCGTCATCGCCTCTTTACGTGCAGTCGTTGTTTCGAACATTTCGGAGATGATGGGGCTCTTCAGAAACATATGAGAGCCAGAACCGCTTGCGTTTTGCGAGACGAGAGCACCCGCGAGGCGGATCCGGGGGCTGGGATGGACCAAGAGGCGGAAAAGAAGATCAAGTCCCGCAAGCCGGGTAAGCAGACCAATGTCAGCAGGTGGTACGAGATTTACAGCATTCTCTTCCCGGATGAGGTCGAAATTGAAAGTCTTCCAAGCCCTTGTAAGTATTCAATAATACCATGAAAAACATGCCTTGATCCCCAAGTGTTGACCCAGGCATTCCCTAGGGTATGACGGCCCAGCCGGCTCAAACGGTAAAAACACGCTCTCCGACTCGGATGACCTGAAAACCCAGTACCAACACTTTCTGCGGCGAAGAATCCCATCCATGATTCGCGAAGAGCTCGAGACTGAGGTCGCAAAATCTTTCAATGACGTTGGTTCCGTGATGCAGAGTCGCCTGTCGACCTGGATCCGGAACTCGGCGGCGCGTTGCGCCAAAATCTTTGAGTATATTCCATCCCCGACGGAAGCGGCAGCCCAAGGCGACCCGGAAGCGGTGGTACCTAAGTCACGCGAAAGTTCGCCGATCTCCGGTACTGCTGGCGCTGCTGGCTCTTACAAGGGCGGCGAGGGCACAATCGATGCCTGGCCTTTTTCTTTACCAGAAGATCTCAGCCTTGAATTTCAGATTTCAGAAGAAGACTTGTCCGCTTTTGATCAGTTCCTACAGACAGGTTTTGACTCCGCTTATGGGTCTGGCAGTATGGGTGGTTCTTCCTGAGCTTGAAAGCGGATAGCCCGAAAACTGGTTTGAATACATTTGAAAATGTCTCACGATGGTACAACTATCACCACACAACGGCTGATGTGCGGTATGACTTTATGCTATACCGTGTCATTTTCATTGAGTTGTCAAATTCTTTTGAACATTTCTCCTCACTCTACCTGTACACTATGTTGTCTTTTGTTTTCTTTGGCCATAACCTCGGTTCTGTGACACAATACGATAGAAAGAAACGAAACGATGAGAGAAAGTATCGCCCGAGTTTACATACTGGTGCTGTGATATACGGTCAGAGTGCAGTGTCAGCATGTGCCTACTTACCTTCATTGCAGCATTAGGGACTGGCTTTACGACTTTGTCAAGGCTCCAGAGTAATGATTGAAATAACTATGTGTCAAAAGGCGTTGCGAGACACACTAACAGCTTTGGTTCAGGCTCTTCTTATGGGGGGCTCTTGTTTCTTGGCTGAAGAAGATCTAGAGGATCAATGATAGTGCGCTCACAATAGCTTCCATATCCAAGTCGGAGGATCAGACTGTGGTGTGGCTTTGTATGAATCAAACCAAGATTTCAGTTCACGCTGGGCTTATGCTAAAGGGCTAAGTTCCAAAGAATTTTCATGTTGCAGAGCGTCGAGATAACTTTGCTCCACTACTACTCTGAAAGAAACACTTTGAGTTGAAGTTGTCAGCAAATAACATATATTCTAACGTTTTGCAGACACAATACCTACTCTGGAACGGTATTCATAGTCAGGTGCATTAGAAACCACTATGGCAAGAGGTTACAGTGAGGAGGAAAAGAGATTAAAAGCTGTCCGGTGGTTTCTGGTCCTTGGCCAAATCTTGCCGGCCGCTTTTTTCATAGTACCAGATAGATCAGCGCCTTCATTTTGAAGGCTTAATATAGTTTGTGGAACTTGAGCTGGGGGCTGCTGGATAATTGCGATCGTCAGCATTAGTTCTACTCAGTGACTCGGTAGATTAACAAAATATAGTATTCGAAAACGCACCAGCATTTATTGAGTCATGCCTTAGTATGCACTTGTCCTTCCGTGTTGGTTGGGTCAATTAGAATTCTGGCAAGAGATCCGCCAGAACTTACTTTAATCTACGCTCAACCACTGAATCGATTATTCTTCTCAGTTGTTAGCTTCCGAGCTTCACCGCTGCAGGACTTCGCCATGTTGCGAGATGCCAGCTACTTGAACATGAGAGTGATGGCTACTTTCATGAGCAAAGCTCTGTAATCTGATGAATCTATTTATCAAATTGTTAAGCGAAAAGTTAGAGTCTATCACTCAGAAAGATTGGCAATATAGCAGAAGCGTTAGTTTATGCCTTTCTTCCATAGAGAGAGAAAAACTTGGAAAGCCACTGAGACTAACCTATGCGCAAGGATCTGATGTGTGAACACGAATGTAAATTCACTAATTGAACCGGCAACAAGAGTTCGGGACATCAGATTTCCGAGCGACAAAATTTGCCCAGTGACACTGAATCGTCACCAGATTCGTGTCCCATCTTGACCGTTGTCCCCCGCCGCCGTAGAACAATTGGAAAAATTGCCAGCTTAGCCATCTCAATTACTGAAACCACTGTGTGGAGGCTGAGCCTCAGGGAAGTAGAGCATCTGGTATGTCTGCACAGGACACCCGTCTCAACTGTTCCGTCTTCGTCCCAGATGGGGCCCATTTGTCTTAGGTTATTCAGGGTCTACACTCCCTCATGTAGCAGCTTGGCATGGATCGTGCACTGTCACAATTAGCCCAAGCTCGTGACACACATCTTCGGCTACATGTACTCTTGATCGCCAAGGGCATAAGTGTGTCACATATGAACGCGCATGCGTTGTTCTAACAAGCTTATACAGACGATCAAACCCATGAGCCAAGAGTCTATAAGTATTGAGTTGGACGGCATTGACGATAGGGGGCATCTTATGGAAATCTCTGGTAAACTGAAGCTTGTGCACCCGGTACTCCTGGCGTGTTAAACCCTCACGTTTCAGTAATCATCGGGTTGCATCCACGGTAGTCGAGTTCGACTACATGCGTTGACGATTTCGCGCCTGTCTCACGGCGTCGCACCAAATGGTCTATTCTTCAAGAGTCGCATGTCGGAAGTCTAATAGGGAGGACAGATCTCCAGATGCGGGTGATACTCCACTACGATCATTAATTTTTGTTGAAAGCTGGAACCGTAGAATCAGTCAAGTTTCACGCAATCGTAAACAATCATCATGCGTGTACTGATGACCCGCCGAGAACACTTCACAGCAATATCCAAAAGCAAGAACTCCCTCATAGCTCCAGACACCGACACTTCGGCAATGTCGCGATGATCGATCCATAAAGTACATGTGGGAACTTCAAATCTGCAACTAGATGTTGATTTCAGTAACGTTAAGCGTTTCGCCAATAATAAAGCGGCATAGAGACGAACATGTTCTTAATCGATAGTTACTCTTTTTTCATCGCAGGCGCAAGTTTGGACCTTGAGAAGTCACAGCTTGGTTACATTCAATCACCCACAACGACCAGGCGCGAGTCCCAACTCATTCAGTGTTGATTTTTGATGTCATAGATTTTTGCCGTAGCAGATCAGCAGGACCAACCCTGAACGCTTTTTGACTGGGATGCGATGTCGTCTTTTTGATTAGTTGCGTCGCAACAGCTGTACCCCAGCTCCAGAGATCATCCCCGGCCCTCCGTTTCAATACCACGCTCAGCCTCAAATTTGGGGAAGGGGAAGACAGAATCACTTAGACGGAGCGGCGGAGAGTAAAACTCTCGACTGATAAATATAATATGCTTTGTGGCTGAATATGTACTCGTTGGGCATTTTCTGCCCAATCATCAGAAGGGCTAAAAAACACAAGTTCGCTTGTCAATCCAAATAACGCATGTGCTATACGAGGTCTTATTTTCGCAGGAAATGCGTTTCCCCGCATCCCAATGCCTCCCCCATTCATCCATCCATCCTTGAACTCCAGTTTTCTTATCTCAGTCAGGTCTTTCCCTGATGAGTTTCGTATCGATGATCCCAACGACGTGCCTTTGTAAATGAGACTGTGCAGGTCTCAGGGACGGTCGGGTGTGTTTTGTGAGAGAGCCTATGTTGCGCAAGAGGGGTGGCTGGCCAAGCCAAGTCTAGGGATCATGTGGCTCCGAACCGATGCATTCGCTGTGTGAGGTGACTGCTGGAATACCTTTCGCTCGCGTAGGGTAAGGTGAAGCAAAAGTGGTGAATGCAGTGGACGTGCTAACAACTGTCGTTATGCGCTCTTTTCTCGTGATTCGAAGCCAATGCAATGCTATGAGACGGGTCCAAACGCTTCTTGCGGATGGGAAATCACTGCCTCTGCCTCTTCTTTTAAAAGACAACCACATCGCTATTCCTAATTGTGGCTACGGAAACCTGCGAGGTGGTGGTGGCGATAGTCCTTGCTGAACATGTCCCTGCTCGACGTCTAAATGAGGGGTTGGACAAATATCAAAGTCGAAATCCAGGCTCTTGCCAGAATTAGAGCCGTTTAGATTCGGGCCCTCGCTGCCTGATAATGGCCACATGTCGGGAAGCGGTGCCGTAGGCGGGCGTGGTTTGAACTCGGGATCCGATGGTGATGTCGTGTTGGACTTCCAGCTTGGCGGCATGTCATCGCCGGATTCCTCAGGAATCTCTCGCAGCGCAATTCTCTCGTTGCCTTGCTTGTCATTCTGTACGACGCCGGTCGAGACTCGCTTGCCGCTGCTCAGCTTGCTTCCGAACGTCGTGCTACGGCCGTCTGCCGTGTCGAGTCTCTTGGACGTCAAAGATGTGTGGATTTCACGGAGAATCGGACGCAGGATGGGAATGCACTGCACGATGATTGTGCCGGTAATCTCCGATGAGTACCTATCTGATATTAGCGAGCGTGTTCCCGGGTGGAGTTTGTCGAGTTAACGGAAGCTTGGGGTATTAAAAAAACTCGTACCAAACTTGGGAGACGCCGTTGCGGTCTGGTTGATGATGTTAGCGCATGCAGGATTCCTGTAAGTAGTTACATCAGCTTACAGATGTACCAAGGGTCACGATTATTTCCCTCATCTTTCCAGCTGACTCTGACGGCCGAGACAATGGCGACGCTGTGAAGGGTCAGTCTCTCCTAACGGGCTAACCAGCTGACTCGAGCTTAACCCACATCATTCCTAAGCTCATCGTAATGCAAAGACCGACTTTTTCGGCACGCTTCATCTCCAATGATCGAGTGATCAACCATGGGAAACATGCGAAGATGAAGTCCATGATGATGTTGTAAACTGCGTATCAAGTCAGCTAATGCGCAACCATTAAAACATGTTATTGCGAATGTTAACTCACCATTTCCGCCCTCCTTGAAGTCGTTACGGAAATGCTTTTCGAGGCAGAAATCGAGTCGATAGTCGCCGTCGTAGGATTTGCTGCCGCAGACCTTTGCCCACTGGAGAATAACTTTGGCGATCATGTACACGTTCATCGTGACAATACAAAAGTACAAGATCCATCGTTGCCATTGATTGCTCATCCGGATGAGGGTCACTCCAAAAGCCGTCTTGGTCCATGCCTGTCCGATCAATGTGCCGCAGGATGAGATGTTGATGAGAATGTGCATACGATCGTCCCATTGCTTGGACGAGTCTTCGAGCACATAGCCGGTCGCGAATTCGTAAACAATCAGAGTGTTGTTCGCTAATAGAATCGACTAGACGATTGTCAGCTTGCATGTTCAGTTGAATATGTCCACCTCTTCCATTCGCTTGGGAAGCACAATGACTGAAGGAAGTCATGCATTGCGTTTGGGGCGGAAGGGCGAGGATGCGACTCACCCAGGATACCACAAGTATATAATCATCGTACCACAGCCCGTGTCGTCTTGTGATCTTGCACCAAAGGCGCAGTGCAAGAAAAATGGTTGCACCGGCAAAAAGACACCATAATCCAACATTGAGCTGTACAAAAGGGTTCACAAATGTGTGTACGGAGTCGTCGTTGTCCCGTGCTTCGGTACTCATCGTTACATTCTGGGCCGGGCGTGGGAGCCGCAAACCTTCGAAGCGTGATTTGAGAGTCGTAGGATGAGTCGGACGGCGGGCGGCAAACACACGGTTTGGAAGGGGAGATGAAAGTAAAAGGGCGAGGAGAGGATGAAACAGAAACAAAAGGCGAACCAAAAGAAGGCAAGGCGACCAGGCGCGGGAACGGGAAAGTCAAAAAGGTAAAAATGAGTGTGATGGGCTAATCAAAGAGTGTTAGCTTGCAGGAATGAAAGATGAGGAGAGTGAGAGTGCGGCACAGGATCATGCGCAGGCAACATCCAAGCATTAGCAGAGCTGAGAGCACCACGCACTACCTACAGGGGGGGACGGAGAAATAGAGAAAAATAAATAAAAAAGGAAATGGGAGGCGAAGGGAGACACAGCCTTTGCCGGCCAGCATGTGCTTCCACCAACACGCGAGATTCTAGAATTGGCGGACCCCGCGAAGGCGACAACTCCTGGAAATATATGAACGACCGGGGTTGCAAGCGTCAGTATGCAGCTTTGCTCCACCAAGACTCACAACCAGCATTGGCTGATTGGCCATGCAAGTAAGGTGTTCTATGATGATGTACATGGTTCAGCAAAAATCCCGCCAAAAGGTACATTACATGGTCTCATGCAGTCCAGTCCCACACACGCTTCCAACAGTTTTGCAATCCCCGGACGTGAGGAGCCAGATAGGCAGGTGAGCTCATGGAAAGGATGAAATGCTGCGCAAGCAGCTGGAAAGCTGGGAAGATCTACCGGTCCTAATTCCTAGCGAGCGAGGCCGTACCACGGGAAAGATTGGCAACGATTGCTAAAGGGATGTTGGCAGTAATGGTGCACCTTTACCGAAACCACGCTGTTACAAGGTCTGATAATTACTTGCTTTCTTGGTTTTTTTCAGGTTGCCCTTCATGACTAGTTGCACCTACAACCTTACTGAGTCAACATCCTCCAAGCTGGAGCAAAACGGGCTGTGCTAAAGAAGGGGATTGGAAGCGTTTCCACGACGCCGGACCTCTGAATCAGCCCCGGGAGTGATCTGCTCCCTCCGCTTTTGAGGGGTGGGTTGGACCGTACTCACGGGTACGGATTGTTCGACTGGTGGTTTCAACCATTCTACCTTGGCGTTACCGAGTCGGAGTCTTGGTCCGCACAGCGATGGGATTGATTCCCTGCTTGGCTGGCTGGGATCCCCGAGATGGCCATCGACTCGTGTTTGACGATATAGATGAGACATGCACCCCCCTGCTCCAATTCCCACTCTCTCCACCAACCTTTGCACTCGGCAGATCGTTTCTCATGTCCACCGAAATGCTCCGTGCAACCACGGAACAGAGAAAGGGGATTGGCCTTTGTCTCTCGTGACTGATGCGCATACGGGTTTCTTCCGCGAGCGGGCAGTCCTGGACCAGGTGTGCGGCGCTCCAACCAGTGGCATATCATTGTTGGTGTTCCCAAATGCACGCGAGAGCATCTGCGAACCCGGTATGGCGATATCACGGGCATGGATGTGCCTGGGTGAGATTTCGGGGACAGGGGCGTTGTGGCGTAATACTTCCACCTTAGGGTACACCTTGGCTTAGTCCATCCTGATTTAGGAGGTGCCGACTTCTTCCTCCAGTACTGTCCCTGGGACAACTTTTCCCACTTCCCGGTTCTGCTCTCAATCTGTGCGGCCACGTGGGTCATTGAGAATCCGGCGAAGTCGAAAGCGATAGCAATCCATCTCATGGTGCTCCATTCGCTCCAAAAACGGACCGGGTGTCACCATCATACACAAGGCCTCGCTGCATATCGCCTTTACACGCACGGGAAAGACGTCCGTCCCTAGTTCCATCCTATCTTTTGACACTTTTGACGTGACTGAACTCAAACCCGGGGTGTGTTCCAGATTCCGCGCCAATGGAAAACCAATGATGAAGAACAAACTCTAGAAAGAGGCCTACTCTTCGTCATGGGTCAAATCCGCACGTCTGCTTTGGCTATTGGTGACGACCGAAGTATATCCGAGGTTGTCTTGAGCTGCTACTTTGCTGGTCGCGGTGTGACAGACTCCATTTACGCCTCTTGCTTTGACCGAATACATCATCAGTTGGCTGTATCGGACATTTTACGGCGGTAGTGACCATGTGTCGGTGCTGGATTTGTGGGAACGGGAGTCTCAGGAAAAGAGGGGAAGGACGTGGGGAATTTTCCCCCCTTCTTTGCATAGTGTTCGTTTTCCTTTTGTTTCTTGCGCATTTCCTTTTTCTCTGCGTTGGCAGTCGACTTGGAACACCATCACCAACGTATGTGACAAGTATAGTTGCGCTTCCTCTTCGGATGCATGGGAGAGCCGCGTGGTTGCAACCATTCAATTAACGACATCGCAGTTACCTGACCTCTGAAGCGGGCCTTCCTCGCATCCAGGAGGCTCGGCCGTTCCACGGGAAGGTTGGCCGCTGTCTAACTGATTCATGAAAAATTTACGAACGGTCCAGCGTTGTAAAGGTACGGAGTACGAGAATATTTGGTCGCAATATTGATGGGTCACGCTCTCAACCACAGACGGACAGGACAACAAGCCGAGACTTGTGAGGCAATGACGAAAAGCAAAAACAGATTGAGATCAATCGGCGAAGAGTATCCAGAGGTCGTCGATTTGTCAAGTTCCACAAGCGAAGGCCCAAACCTAAGCGGAATACACGTGGAGCCGCTTGAATTGGACTTGGCCCAAAACAAATCCTTGGTTTCGGGAGATTCCAGGAACATGTGCGCTCAGCGGAGACAATGGATATCGCGGGACCTTGAGTGTTCCGAGGTGACAAATTACGGCGCTGACACCGCGCAAGAAGAGAGACTATCAAACCTCCTTTCCCGCAAATTACGTAGTAATGCCCTTCCACTGTTGGAGGAGAGGCATTTCTTGTAGCGCATTCGAAAGTGCCTGACGACAAGCGAAATGTGGTTCGCCACCCTGTGACGACAAGAGGAAGCGAACCTGCAAGTGCCGGAGCTGGGTTCCCAAAAGATAAGCTACGGCCGGATGAGCGAAATCAGGAAGGGAGAGACTCTGAATGAACCAAGCGCCAATGCACACCACAGCCGACTCCTCGGCTTGAACGGACAAGCTACTTGTACTCCTCCGACTTGAGAAAATAGCCTATGTTCTTCAGTGCATTCCTTTTGGCCCCCAAATGCACGGAATGGGTCTGTTCCCGCTCAGAAAAATGCACACTGCGCTAGAAAGCCACATCTGGCTTCATCGTTAAAAGCGTCGTCACCGAGTGACAGCTCTGCCATGTATCATACCCAAGGCTCTTACACGAATAAATAGACACATGTTTTGGAGCATTGAAGGCGCTTTTCTTGAGTGTTGTAATGGGATGGCCAGCCTTCACATCTGCACCAGCTATCTTGAACAAATGCTGTTTTGCGGTGGATCTTTTTTGTACACGTAGGCGACCTGGGAAACTAATCGAGCGTTAGTTAAGCAACCGCGGCGAAATATATGCTGAACACATGTTGCTTTTGTTCATTAGAAACGCATTGCATCCCACTGCCGACATGTACAGAGTTCCAAAGAGGCGGTGGCTGTCGATTTTTGTCTTAGTCTTGGGAACTTGGTGTCACGCGGAGAAGCGCATCAAGTCAAAGACGTGCAACCACACCGCAAGCCACGCTGCGAGCTAGAGAGGCTCACGGCTCAACGCGTTCCGCCAATTAGATGAAGCTGCTGGACAATAGACAGTACGACCGATTTTGCCATCGAGAATTTGGGCGGGTTCTTGCACCAAGGCTTGATAGTGTAGCGGAGAGGGGACGCCCGTGAAGCGGGGTTGCTCAAAACGATTGGGTACTGCTCATGGTGATGGTAGCTTCAGTGCAGCAATGAAGAATGTTCCGTGTCAATAGATGGCTGCTGCACATTATCGCGATATCATGAGGTCTGCCGTTTCCTCCGCGAGTCAGGTGCATGTTTGAGGCTTGTGTGAATTTTTGACCTTAGCTCCAGCAACTATTGAGTGCCGATATTGAGAAATAAGTCCCAGAGACCTTTGCTAGAGCATGCTGCAAATTCGGTTTCGGGGAAGGGGTTCCGAGCATGTAGCTAACTATTATTCAAAGTCCAGAACACGATCCATGTTCCGGGACCTCTGTTCCGTGTGAGTCAGAGGGTCAATCCAAAGCTTCAGCAACAAGTCGTTAGGCTGCTAGATGTTTCTATATGGCAAAATCCACTACCTAGTTCTGGGCACATGTTGCTGGTGCATGTCACTGTGCCTTTGAAAGTTAAAGCAAAGGCCTTTCATCTCCATTCATTGTGCTTAGAAAGGATTCTGTAGTCACTACGACGATTCTCATAATGGTTTCTGTGTTCCTTTGTGATAGTCATGACTAAACTCAGTTCACAAGTAACTTGGCAAGAAGTTCACATCTCTGATCACATGATTGAATAGCATTTAACCAT